GGAGTCTGCTCCCCGGACGCCCGCGCGACAGCACACGGCGGTGACTCGGGGGCTGTCACTCGGTCCATGCGGCTCACCTCACAAGCAAGAAGTGCTCCTCCACCGCTTTCATTTTTCTTCGATTAGTAGTTTGCTTATTTTACCATTTTTTTGTGGTTCATCTTCTGTAAAATACCTGTTTACCTGCCTATGAACATATCTCCCCCTTCCTTTCCAGTGCTTATCCCTCTTAAAAAAATAAAAAGGATAGCTTATTGAAAGATTTCATTTATGTTTTTAGACAGGGCAAGGGAGGAAGAACCAGAGGGAAACATCAACGCGTGGTTACCTCTCACACGCCCCCTACTGGGAACTGGTGCACAACCCTGGCATGTGCCCTGACTGGGAATCGAACTGGCGACCCTTTGGTTTGCAGGCCGGTGCTCAATCCACTGAGCCACACCAGCCAGGGCTCCCCTACTTATTCCTCTCAATAGTGCCTTATTATGTTTCCAAGCAATTCAGATGAATCCTGTAAAATGATATTAACATTGTCATATTTGGTGCAAATGAGTTTTTTGTCTGTTTGCTCTTTTATCTTGGCTATATTTTTCTTTGACTTACACAGGTTTTTCAAATGTAATACAGTGAATTCTGCTGACTTCTTAAATACATTCTTAAGCTTAGAAGGTTGCCTTGCCAAAAGGAATCAAGAGCAGAGGAAGGCAGGGAAGGAAAGTCATCGGAAGGGGGCAGATACTCCGTGACATTCGTCCTGGCTTCAGGCCCCGCCATCCTCTCTGGCGGATGAACCAGGGCAACAGTCACGGTCAGATTCCCACCCCCTACCCCGCCACCCGCCCTCCTCATGGGGGGAGGACGAGGTGGGATCGGTCCCGGGGTGGGGGGAGGACAGCTGAGTCCCTCCCAAGGAGGGGAGTCCCTGCTCCTCCGGGTTAGAAACAAGGCTGAGGGGACACCGTGCAGGGGGAGGCCGAGACGGAGGGAGGAGGAAACGGTGGGTTCACTGGGAGAAACTCGGCCAGATTTCTGGGTCATGGGCCCGAAGCCCACCTCGCGCTCCATGATGTGTGGTCACCTGGTCTTCCCCTCCCGGAGGGAGACGGCCCCCCTAGTGAGCCACACCAAAGCCTGCGTGTGCCCCTCCTCCAGGGAGCAAGTTCACATTATTGCCACCAGGGGCTCGCACACTGGCGACATCATCGAGTCCCAATGTCCAGAGCCCTGTCTGCACGTTGCGCCTGGCTGCTGCGTGCTGCGACCCAAAGACGCAGAACAGCCGGCCCCTCGGACCTGCTGCCGATGGGCCGCCGTTTGCCGGGCTCCCCCCACCAACACTCTGCTCCGGGCGGGGGGCGTTTCAGGTGCCCCGGACTCCCCGCCCTTCCCCGTTACCTGCCACACGCCGTGACGCGGACACTCAGCTGCCAACGCGGCCTGTGCTCCCCCAGCAGCTCCAGGTCCTACGAGGGACGGAAACGCAGGCAAGAAGCATGACACCGGGTGAGAGGATCTCACGGCCGTGGACTCGTGCGTCGGCCTCCTACCGCGCAGCACGGCCGTGCGCAAAGCCGGGACCCTGCACCGTCCCCGTCCCTGTCCCCAAACCACTCCACCCCAGAGGCAACCGCTCTCAGTTGTGAAAGTTATTACTTGGTGTTTACCCTTACTGCTCTCAATGAAAAGCATCTTGAAATGCTACTTTTTAAAAAATGTTTTTTATTCCCTTATTTATACAGAGAGGGAGGGGGAGGAGGAGAGAGGGGGGAGACAGAGAGAGAGAGAGAAACATTTATCAGTTGCCTCTTGCACGCCCCCAACTGGGGACTGAACCTGCAACCCATGCATGTGCCGTGACCGGGAATCGAACTGGTGACCTTTCGCTTTGGGGCATGATGCTCAACTATCTAAACCTTACTGGTTGGGGCTTAAATTGCTACTTTAGATTTTAGGCAATATCTACTGCCATCTCTGCATGGAGGACGAGAATCTATTCACACACACACACACACGTCTTACACGCATCCTTTCAGTGCAACCACACTGTACCCAGGGTTACTCCCATGCCCGTGTAAACATTGGATGTCGCTGACCCCACGCAGTCCATTGCAACCACATTCACTGTCTTATATAAATGTCTTATTCTCTCTTGGGTTAACTTTTGTCACTTGTGTAGCTTCATAGGTACCTACCTCATCCATCGCTCAGCTCTCCTACAAAAGTACAACTTCCTTTCCAGAAGTTCGGCCACGCCAGGCATTTCCTAGCCTCGGCTTCTCCGGGCCGGTTCACGCAGCAGACGGGCCTTCTCGGTGTTCGGCTCCTTCACTGTCTGTGCACGAGAGGGGTGACCTGGGCGTAGGTGGGCTTGTGCCTGTGGTCCTCTCCAGCATTCTGTGCGGTTGGAACATCTCAGGTGCCTTCCTAGTGGTTTGCTTCTCCGGTGCTTCCGACAGGTGTGTGCCAAGCTCTGGTGTCTGTTACTTTGCTGTCTACTTACCTCCTTTCCATTTCCGTCAGAAGCTATCAATTTCCTTAGCACAAGATTTTGCAAAAGTACTTCATTGGCGATTAACATTTTCTCAAACTTGGGGCAAGGCAGCGATATTTTCTTCCCACATAGTGAAAAACACTGCATCAATATCACATCCAATCTTGGAAAAAAATGGTGGTGGTGGCCCTCAAGTGGGTACAACACTTTTGGGAAATAATTTGTAAATACGCGAGAGAACCACAAAAATCATCATCCCTCCGCCTTTGCAATTTTAGTCTAGGAATCCATTTTAAGGAAAGAAACTGAAGCATGGGAAACGCTGTATCTGAGAACAGCCACCGTGGTATCATTTGTACTGGCGAAAAAATGGAAACAACATAATGTCCATTAATAGGGGAATGGCCAAAATGCGGAACACACCTTTGCTGTTTGCACCCATGTAATACTATGAGAGCAAATAGCTGCTGTAGCAGCAAGCAAAGAGCCAGGGTAGCGCGCCGGGTGCCCTGCGGTGATGACAGTGTAAAAGGCACAGGTCAAGTGCGTGCGAATTAGACTCTCCCGGGAGTCTCCCGGCCAGGCGAACCCCTTTGCTGCTCTTAACAGGAACTTCTCCCCAGACCCATCAAAATGCCAATAAAAGCATCAATTAACAGTCTAAGTTCTAAGGTTCTTGGAACCCCTCAACTCGAAATCCCTGCCTTGCTCTTCCTACACACCCTAAACCACCACATCATGATCTTGACCCCATTGCCAGGTCTGTCCACTCCAAGACCCACCTGAAACAAAACCTTCGAATTTCGATGAAACCTGGTCTTGCCGTCGTGCCACCGCCCCCCACCTCCGGAGATGCTGCCACGCTGTGTGTGTGGTGCTCCCCCTGCAGCAGCGAACTCAGCTCCTTCGTCGACAGAGCACTGTGACACTGTGTGCCCGGCACTCAACATCGGAGGAAAACCACGCCGGAGGCGGATGCCGATGAAGACGAAAAGTGATGGTCACGCTAGGGAATTGGCAGCCTGTCCGTCTTTCCAGCCCGCTCCACGGTTCCCTCATGCAGCGGGGGCGAGGTGCTACCTCCATCAGCAACGAAGAACCCACCTCGGCACAAGCCGCCCCCGAACGCATGACGCTCACGGGAAGGCAGACTGGTGTGACCTGTCATTCTCTCCGTTGGCTTGTTGCCGAGCCGTCAGGAGCCAGCCGAGGGGAGGACTGCTCGGAGAGCCGGCAGAGCGCCCCAGACCGGAGTTACGCTGGCAGATCCAGACGCCGGTGAGCTCAGTTGTAAGGACAGTGATCCAGAGATGCTCCGAGATTGCTTCGTGCACGTGGGGAAGCGACCAGGAGGCCACCGACCACAGCCTTTGGGCGGGTTTTGGTATCTCATGGGACAGAAGCCTTGGACAGTGTGGCCTGCGCAGCACTGGGTTACGTAAACGTCACAGACCCGGCCCCGCAGAAGGGCATCGCACCACGGCGGGAGCCAGGCTTTCGGAGCAGACACCGCAGTCAGTGTGTCACGCGGGGTTTCCCAAATACCGTTCTTACCTGGGGCGGTTCATCCGCAGCAGACTTGGGTGGTTTGGCTGGTTCAATCGGTTCTGGTTCGACCCATTCACGGCCAGCCCTGCTGGTAAATGTCACCTTGCCAACTGATACGAACCCCACACGACTCCTGTTTCAGCCTCTGTTCTTACCACGCAAGTGAGCTTTGTAGGTGGAGGGAGGGAACCCACCAGGACATAACGACAACAAGGCAGGACCGACCAACAAGGACGTCTGACCGTTTCTCTGAGACACAACCGAGAGAGTCACACGGCTTCTGGTCCGCGCGCAGAGGTGCCGGTGGCGGGAAGAAGGACAGAAGTATCAAGATTAATCAGGTAATTTTATTTAAGATTCACCCTCCAGCAGCAACCGACAGAACGCCCGGGCTCACAGACTCTCCCGGCGTGTCCTGCCAGCCCGCTGCCTCGGCAGTGCACGCCCGTGAGCGACCGCTCACGGCAAAGGTCTTTTTCTAAAAAAATGGCTTCAAGAGCAGATAACACTGATGTAGACCGTGACTATGCACTTGTCAACAAATCTATTCAACTGCAGAGGAAAAGGAAAGCGAAGCAGCTTTGTTATCTTACGCATGTCACCTTGGGTCGATGGAAGGCTTCACTTCTTTGAAACGACAGAAATAGGGGACTTCCTATAAACATCGCGCTCTCTGTTTTTTAAGGAGGAGATCACAAACACGGAGTGTTATCAGCAGGAGCAAAAGCTAGTTCGAGAAATTTCTGACGGCAAAACTCGCGAGATACAAAGCTAAAATTGATAGGTTCCTTTTCTCAATTATGAATACCTTCACTAAACATAAATATTTTAACATATATTAATTCTTCTGACATTCAAAATTGTAAAGTCAATATGGCAGAATTATTGTTAAAAGCACATATGTACAAATATTCTTTTCCCACACATAAAGTATTTGGCATAATTATAACAATTATACGGCTTCCACAACGGTTTGCTTTTATTTTTTACTGTTTTTTTTACACATAATGGTATCTCTTATTAAAATTAACCAGTTATGTACAAAAATACTTGAACATTTATTATAGAAAACCTCTATAACCAGCCTCAACAGCGTGTACCTGCTGCATGGTTTCATTGGGGGGTATAAAAAATGGTCACTGCCTTCCAGGTGAGCTGTCAACACGGACACACACAGGTAAACTGAAAGGAGCTTCCCAACAAAGCAGGGAAAATATCTAACAGCATGATTCAAAATACAGCGCAAATCTATGGTCAACTGAGTGTTAGAAAGTCAGTAAAAGGAAAGACAAAGATACAAAATACATTACTGCGTACAAGGTGCCTTGTTCACACTCCTACGGCTGTGGCCTTTGCCTCCCTACCTACAGAGCTAAGATGCGGCATTCTAGAACCTTCTACAGCCGTCCTCCTCCAACGAAAGGGCGGCGGGGACCGCCCGGAAGACAAGCTCCGCCGGTGAGAACGGACAGTCGGGAGGAACCTTTTATTTTGTGCGGGATCGACCGACCGTTAATGCCCTCGCCTTGTGAAAGTCCTTTTGCCATTTAATCATGCTAATATATTTTCTCTAAGGTTTTTTTTTTCCCTTTCCATTTACGCTATTGATTTAACACTGTCCTGTATTGATTCCTGGACTCCTGGTAATGGGGCACATTAATTGGTGCCTGTTTACTACATGGGTGCCTGCGCCTCCTCGATGACAGGTCTGGGGGAGACAAGGGTCGAGCGAGCGCACCTCGGAGGGAAACCCAGCAGGTGCCATGGTGTCCGAGAACGGGAGGGCCCGCCGAGCAATGCACAGAGTGGGGTTGGGTGCACGCGGACGGCCCCCCGCGGAGGGGGGGTCCAAGGCCACCTCTCACGGACAGAACAGTGCGCAGCCCCGTCCATCCTGGCGGCCCCTGGAGGGCGCTGTCTAGAGAGCCTGCTTGGACGTTTAATTCTGCGCCTCGACCCGTCTGCCCGTCCAGGGAGCCGGAGACCTCGCCTCGTGGCCGAACACCTTCCAAAGGGCGGGCCCTGGGGCGCTCCCTCAGAGTATCAAGTATTCCGTAGAAAACATACAACGTCATCACGCGCCGAGTTGTTCGACAACACTGTATTGGTCTGCACGTTAAACTATGTAAAAAAGGGAACATAAAAAGATACAAAAGGAGTCTCGATCACCGCTGACCACTCTCCGATGAGAAGCGTGTGTCAGGACGCCCAGCCGCCCTCCAGGTCGCGTCTGGCGAGTCGGGTCAGTAGCGTCAGTATTGTGCAACACGGTATTAGCGGGGTTCTAGTCCCACGCGGGGAAGACAGACCTAAGGTATTAAAGTGCCCACACTCAGCGTCTTCTCGTCATACTTCTCTCTCTCCTGTAAACGGCAGGGACGCCACCGCGGGCCCGCGTCCGGGGCTCAGAGCTGGGACACCTTCCTGGGCAGGGGCCGGGGCCGCGGGCCGGGCTCAGTCCTCCTGGCGCCGTTCTCCAGGTGGCTGGCGCGCGCGGCCAGGGGGCTTGGGGGGGCAGGGGCGGGCGGCTCGGGGGTGACGGGGATGGAGAGGCTGTGAGGTAGCGGGACGGGGCGCCGCAGAGTCCGCTCGTACACGCTGTAGGGCGGCGGCGTCTTGCTGTCCTTGCGCGGGGGCTCCTCGGGCCCGCCGTGGCCCGCCCCCGCCCGCGGCTCCGCGGCCTGGCTCTCGAAGCCCGAGGTCTCCGACGTGCTGCACCGGCTGAGCGAGGAGATGCCGCTGCTGCAGCTGCCCGACAGCACTGGGGAGTTGGCGAGCAGCCCCGGCGAGTGGTGCTCCACGGGGGAGGGCGTGAAGGACTGTCCGGGGCCCTGCACGAGGGGACAAGGAGACAGAGAGGGGCGGGGGACACAGAGCACAGTCAGACCCCGGGACGGGCTGACGGCCACCCCGCCCTATTCAGAGGGGGAAGCCCTGACCCGCACCTCCGACGGGGCTGTATTCTGAGATGAGGCCTTCTGAGAGCCGGTGACTTGAGCACGAGGCCCTGGGGGGAGTCCTAATCTAGCCGGACTGCTGTGCTTACGGGAAGAGGAGACTCGGACACAGAGACACCAAAGGCGCGAGCACGCAGGGAAGAGACCTCATCTCGACATGGGGCGAAGGTGGCCCGGAGAAACCCAGCCAGACCTCGATCTTGGAGGTGGAGCCCCCAGGACAGTAAGAGAATAAATTCTGTCGTTTGAGCCAGATTCCTGGCATTTCACGGAGAACTGGAAGTTCTGGCAACGATGGCCTGGCTTCCCTGGGGCTTTCTGCAGGGTCTGTTCCCTGCGGTGGGTCTGCTCCCTGCGGTGGGTCGTGGGTTCTTCTCTCGGGCACCAGAGACCCCCCAGACCACTGGGAGTCCCGCCTGCCCCCTCCTCTCACCCCAGCTGCGTGTCCCACCAGCATCCGGACCTGCCCGTCCCCTGACTGGTGGGTGTCTCAGGGGGCACCGTGCTGTGAGCAGGTGCTCGCCCCGGGAGAGGCTGTGCACGTCTCCACCCGCAGCTTCTGGTCTTACCGTGAGGGGGCTCAGGGACCCCGGTGGGCGCACGTCGGTTTCTAGCCCTGGGGACCACAGGCCCTTTCTCTCCTTTGTCACAACGTGGCCTATAAGTCTGATGTCCTTTGGAACTCACCGTACGTTGCTGTGTGCAACGCGCACTTTTTTGCTCAAATTTTTGAGGGAAAAATAAGGATGTGCATTATACATGATGGGTAGTACTAATTCCGTGTCTATGTAAATGTTTTTAATTCTTTTGTGCATGCTTGTGAGTTAAAAGTATAACTCTAGAAAGCAATGATATCTGTCTGCAAAATAATACCGTCGAATACGATAACCAGTTTTGTTTCTAAATGTAAATGATTTGGTTAAAAAATGAAAATGATTTTTTCTTGAAAGTTTGGGCCAAAAATGGGAGTGCGCATCATACATGGCAAAATACGGTATTTCGAAAACTTTTCCTGGACTCACCTGACCTAGGTCTCTCTTAGTAAACAAAGCAGTGCTGGTAGACACAAACCTGTGAGTTTAGTGGGAGCTTAAAATTAAGCATGGCCAATTTAGAGATCCAAATTCACTGCCATTTTTGTCAAAAAATCAGACCCCAAGTTCAAAAGGAGGCCGGTGAGCTCAGACTCCCCCACAGGGGCCACTCCATCGTTCACTCGCTGAAACACAACGGCCTCAGTTTACGGCGGCACACTGCGGCCTAGTCACCGCGGGGCGAGGACCCCGCAGCAGGGCGGCGCGCCTGGGGCCGCAGCCCACACAAAACGATCCGTCCCCTCTCCCTGGCCCCCCCCCCCAGCCCCACTGTGAGGACGGGGCCACAGGCGTGGCGGCTGGTGAGAACATGCACAGGTCTGCTCCACAGAAGGGCTCTTAGCGGCTGAACATTTGCATCACTTTAGTTGCATCACTTTAGTTCTTGTCATTTCTAAGAACTGATCTCTCATCGTCTTGTTCCTACTCTGCGAAATCTACTTGCACAAGGCAGGCATTCACCCCGGCGCACCCGGCGGGGGCCCGTGGCTGGCATGGGCCCGTGGAAAGCTGGAGCAATGCTGTGGCCACGTCACTGTCCCTCCCGTCCCACCGGGACGGCGGGCTCCAGCGCGGGGCCACTCCGGGCCCACGGACTTGCCGGCGAGGTGGCAGCATGGAGCGACAACGGTCCGGCAAGGAGTTCGCACTGGCCGGCACGTTCGTTCGTCAGGAGTGTGGACGGTGCAGACGGACTCTCACATCCCTGCCGTGCCCTCCCGATGCTCAGGGTGCCGTGAGCAGCGGCAGCGTCCCTCCCCGAGTCTGCAGAAGCCAGGGCGCCTTCTTCTCCCCCGCGAGCCACAGATCGCGCATCGACCGAAAGGGCAGGCACCACGTCACGCAGGCACGAAACCACGCTTCCACGCTCACACTGGCCTCTGGCGGGGTGGTGGCGGCGGTGGCCCTGAACCTCCCCATCTGCGTGGACGGACCACCCATGGGGCCCGTCTGATTCACTCTGGATGGCGGCTCATTCCCCTCGAGGGGGGTTGTGTGTGTTCAGAGACGGCAAACAGCCTGCGTCCACAGGCCATGCACATGTCTGATGGTCACAGCTCTCCAGTGGCTCCCTGGAAACTTTAAAATTCACCTCGCTGCCTTGTTGCCCACGCCCAGGTGGCCCCTCTGACGGCCAGAGAGAGGGAGCTGGTTTGCCTTTGTCCCCATGGGTGGGGCTGAGGGCGAGGGCCAGGGGCACAGGGGGACAGCTGGCACGTTGTGGCCGTTAGAGACAAGTTAAAGTTCTCTGTGTGTGTGTGTGTGTGTGTTAAAAATGTCCCTTACACCCAAAGGCCAGACCGAAAACGTCCTGGGAGAGAACACTGGGCCCGTTTCTTCCCCGATTCGGGGCACATCACACGCCCGTCTGCACGCTCAGGGGCTGCATCTGTGGATAATCTGCACACCTGCACGCCAGTGGCAGTGGCTGGGGAGGGGGGTCCCCGCAGGGCCGCCCCGCCCCCTCACCCCTGCCTCACCTGTCCCCTGTCGGGCCCGGGCCAATGAAAGCACCTCACTAATGTGTACATGCGTGTGTGCGTGTGTGCACATGTATGTGTGCAGGGGGGGGGTGCCTGAAGGGAGAAGGAACTCGGCGCCCGTCTCTAGCCTCAGCTAGACCACACGCCCGTACCTTCAGGGGAGACCGCCCGGCAGGTGAGGGGGACACCGACGTCGTCTGTCTCGCCGGGGAGGCTGTGGAGAGAGAGCACATTTCAGCTCAGAAGGCCAGGCGGTGGTCCGTCTGCTGAAGCCCTCCGTGCGTGCGGCCCAAACGGGGGACCGGGTGCACAGGGACCCCTGGATGAGGGCGAGGGGGCGGGGGAAAGGGACGCCTGCCCCAGGGACGGCAGCGCCAGGACGGGGGCAGCGAGGGAGGAGTCCCCGTGTGCGCCACGGTGACGGGGCCCCACACGGGGCCACGCCCCCCGCATCTCCACCGTCCAGATGCTGCTCAGCCGCGCCGTCTCTTTCCGGAGGGATGAGGGGTGAGGTGCCCGGGGGCCGTCCTGGCGACAGCTGCTGACCTCGGCCCGCGTGGCAGTGGGGAGACCCGGGTCCTGGGTGCGTACACTAGCCCCAGGGGCAAACGTTTGCTCCAGCCCCGCCTCTGCACGCCCCGCCCGCCCCCCCACAGCCCCACTCTGCAGGGAAACCCTTGGCCTCTTCCCCGTGAAGGTGGGAGGTGGGAAGTTTTCCATGCAGCCCCCTGATGCCTGTACTCGGGGCTCCCCTGTGTCCCAGGGACGTGGGGACGGGACCTAGAGTTCATCATGATGGCCGACGAGGGCAGTTCCTGGGGTCCTCCCACCAGGCGGTCAAGCCCTACGTCCAGGGCACAGCGTGTGCGCGGGAGGGAGCTGCTCTGTGCGCGCCCCTGGGGCCAGACCAGCTCCGGGGAGCAGAACCGCGCCTGCGCCTGCGTGCGGCAGCCGCCCTCACGGTGGGCGTGGCCACCTCGCCCAACCCCGCCCACACGGGTTTCAGGCCTTCAGGGTGTGTCCCGAGCTGCCGTTCTCCCAGCTGTCACTGGGAGGGCTGTCACTCACAGGGAAACCACAGAAAGGCTGAACCGAAGACAGACAGCGACCACAGATGAGGACAGGGGACAGACGGGGACAGCAATCAGTGCAGAAGGGCGGGCAGCCTGGGCGGGCAGTCTGGGCGGGCGTCCTGGGGGGGGGAGGTCGCCCACGCGCTCCGGTGGCTCTGGCTCTGGCTCTATACTGGAAGGCCTCACGCGCCTTCCACACCCACTGGGGCCTCGTGGCTTCGGCCACTGTAAAACCAACTGGGTGGCGCGTCACTTACTTTAAAAAGAAAGCCACTTTTCTTAAGAGAAAAGAAAATAGAGAAGATGCCGAAAGGCAGCAAAGGAAACATGGTCACCCAGCAAAGTCCGTGAAGGAAGGTAGTACCCTATTTTCTCTTACATCCAGCCAGCGGTGTTTGCAAAGCTTCAAAGCGACTCTGGACACCGGGCGTCCTGAAAAGACCGCCCCGCTCCGAGGGCGGGTGGGGCTGCCGCACAGCGGGCTCCGTCCCCGTTAGCGACTGACCGCACCCTCTGCCGGCCACCAAGCGGGCGGCTCAGCCGGCAGGACAGGGGCCCTGCTACTGCTGTAAACTCACAGAGGAAGTTAATTTCTTAGGAGTAATTTTTAGCGGTTCCCAAAAATCAAAGTCAACCCTTTGGGAAATGACTCGAATGCAGCCCTCTCTAAGCAACCGTCGGCGGTGGGTGGGCAGACGGGCGGGCAGGGGTCCCCACAAGCCTGCCAGGGTCTGGTCGGTGGGCTCCCATCTGCGGGCAGCCCGCCGCCGCCACTGTGGCCTCAGCTCTCAGTTGGACGGAAGGAAGCAGCGGAGTTGGCAGAAGTCGAGGAGGAGGGGGTCCCGGGGGGCTGGCAAGGCCAGGGTGCCGCCCGAGTCTGGAGGGCGGTACCCAGCAGGACACCCTGTCCGTGGGGTTGACGAGGCACACAGAGCCCCGTTCACCTGAGGTTAGCAGGAGTCCGGCAAGGAGTGTGGCGCCATCGACCAGTTAGGCAGCAGGTACGGCGTCCACCTCGGACCCTGAAAGCCCACCTGGCTCCGAGGGGCCCCCAGGTCAGAGCGGTCAGTGCACATAATTTCACCCCAGTGATGGCTCCAGGGCGTCTGATACCCACCGGTCTGCGTGGGCCTTGGGGGGACCGGCGGGGAGAGCAGCTTGCCGCTCTCCGCCGCGCTCCGGGCCTCCTTCCCACTGTCCAGGCTCCAGCTGCTGGGCGTGGGGTTCACCGCTGGAAGGGAGGGAGAGCAAGGCTGAGGCGTGCGTGCCCGGGGCCATGAGGAGGCCCGAGTTACCCGGAACGGAGGAGCAACCGGACCAAACGGGAGGGCTCCCGAACGCTGGCCCTTCCTGCGGCTGCCTGCCTCCCGGGGACCGCTGACGTGCAGTCAGGTGACGCCGCACCTGTCGCTCGCGCTGCAGCAGCACGCAGGACGACAGAGCAGTGTGTGCAGACACCTGCTGAGGACCGCGGGGGCGTCTGGGTGCCAGACGGCACATGGGAGACGCCGCCACGCGACTGGCTCAAAACTTGGTTTTCAGTGGACATCTCTGGACACACGCCGCACTCAAGAGCGGGGAGGCGGGGACAAGGTGACAATCCCACCGCTGGGCAGAATTACGGGAGGGAACAGCCACACCCCACGGTCCCCGTGGGCCAACTGGGGAAAGGCCCCTTCCTTGCTCCTGAAATCCATGTGTTCCACTGAGGTGCGTCCTAAAAAATAATTTAGAACGCGGACACAACGTTCCTCTTTCGTCATCGGCCTGTTGCATGCTTCAGAAATAGGCACAGAAATGGGTGCGGCCCTGCCAGGAACAGGCCTGAGGCCGGAGGATAGGAATAGCTTCAAGGTTCACAGAGCCAGGCTTCCAGGCCCCAGGCGTGCAGCCGCTCCCTGAGCAGACACTGCCATCTGGTGGCCACGTCTGGGATGTCGACGTTTTGTCGCTAAATGACAGCGTTCATTTAAGAGGATGAAATGACCACTCAAAAATAATATCAATATCTCAAAAACAACTTTTTTTGGTTCCTCTTACATTCCTAACTTCTGCAGACAGAGATCGGCGTTTGACCTGTACCATCAAAGCAAAAGTTGCGTTTTAAAATAATATGGGCCAGGAGTTCCCTGCTTTCGGTCTCCCGAGGCAAGTTTGACATGGAATGTCGATGGACCCGTTCTCCTCCAAGGCAGCACGGTCCAGTCCCCAACGAGGACAACTAAGGTGCACCTGACGGGGACATCTCGTGAGTGACTCCCAATTCACTGTCTGTGGGACCGCAGGGGCCCGTGAAGCCGGACCCGGAGAGAGGCCAGCGGGTGACTGGCTAAGCCCCCTGCCCCCTGCCCCCCGCCCCCCCCAAGAGGAAGTCTGCAGAGCTGCACCGGCTAACCCCAACTGGCTGATCCTGGCAGTGCCTGTAGGTGCTTCCAAGGGGAAGCAGGGTCCCGTGTGACCCTGAGGTGGGCCCAGTCCCTTCTGCACTGGGTTGCCATTCCGACATGGTGCCCGAGTCACCAGCAACAGGAGGGGCGCTGGTGGGGGGAGCCGTGTGGGGACACGGGAGGTGGGGGGACAGGGACGCATCGGGACGGTGCTGTTTTCGTTGTGCGGACGCAGAGCCACCACTGCACCCCGTCTCGGGACGCCCAGGGGTGGTGGCCCGGGGGACTCGGAGAATGACGCCAGAATGACCACCCTTTCTGAAGATGGAGTCCCAAGGGACCGTCCTTCGTTTACCCCTGAAGGGCAGGGGTGTCAGGAACATCAAAGACCCGGAGGCCCGGGCCTCCACGCGGACACACGGACACGGAGAAAACGAGGACGGACACACCTTCCCCAGGCCCGGGCGGGGGAGGGGCGGCCCCCTACCTTTCTCAGGCGCAGACAGGTTGGGGTCGCTGCGCGGCAGGGCGCCGTCTCCCACGTGGTTGAACAGCAGCCTCTGGAAAAGGGGCAAGAACCTGTTTTCACGGCCCCACGCGGGGGGGGGGGGGAGGGGCACACGCGAGGCCTTCTAGAAAGTGAGATGATTGTCGCGGGACTGAGACTTTCTGTTCAAAATAATGTTTGTCTGGTATCGGTGCCCCTGGAAACAGTGTAATTATACTTATGGGGGAACGGGAAGAAGAGCCTTAGATTTTGAAAAAGAAAAACCCAATGTTTCAAAAGGTCGTCTCGGAGTTGGAACAGAAACGGTGAAGAACTTTTCGTCATGAAGTGCAGGGAGAAAGCAAACAGGGAGGAGGGATAGGGCTGTGGTGGGGGGGGGGCTGGGTGCAAACGAGGGGGAGAGAGAAGTGTGAGCTCAGAACCTCCTGGGCAGGGCCTGCATGTTCTGAACCCCGGATTAGGTCAAAATGTGAAACCCGTGGTCGACGTTCTACAACTTTCAAGCCAGAAAATGTGCCGGTTTTACATGTTCTCCCTAATATAACGGGAGAACGAGTGCAGGCCCTTCGAGGTGGACGCCCCACGGTGACGCGTGTTATTGAAGTTTTAGCAACATGCGCCTCGCTTCGGATTTTGCCCAGGGCTGGCAGCATGCTCTCCCGGAGCAGATGGGACCGAATGTCACGGTCCTTTGCAACGTCCCCTCGCCACGTCAAGGGACAAGGAAATCACACAGGTCAGCACGCAGAAATACCATCTGCTGGGGAGCGGTGCCGTGCAGACCAGGTGCCCCGGGGCCTCCGGGAAGATCGCGCCCCCAGCAGGGGTGACCAGTCCAGTGCCAGCCACCAGCTCGCACCCTTGTCCAGAGCTAACCCTAACCCCTGCCCGGACACGCAGGAAAACCAAGTCACTCCCAAAGGCAGAGCGAGCCCTGGAGGTGCCCCGAGGGCCACGCCCGGGCCAGCCCTCACTCCGACTTAGAGGGATCAGTCCCAGTCCAAGTCCAGGGGCAGGTGAGGGCCCGGTCCTCAACGTGTTAGCGAAGGGCAGAGGCAGACAGAGTGGTCCCGCCCCCGGGGGGGGGGCTGGGGAAGGGAGGGCCTGCCGCTCCCGGGACTGGGCACAGGCCGGAAGACAGACCACTGGGCGCACCACACCGCTGGGCGGGGGCTGCTGCGCGTGCGAGGGGCTCTCCGGATTCCTGCTGCTCCCGCACCCCCTCCCTCACCCACCGGCCACCCCCGGTGACGGTGACGTTTAAGTGGCAGCCACAGCCCATGCATCTGCCCCAGGAAATGGCTCAGGCGGGAAGTCCCTGCAGCAGGCCCCTGTACCCCCTGCCCCCCAAGGGCCGTGCTGTCTGACCCCGCAGTGTTTCTGCGGAGACACGGAGGCCACTCCAGATGCCGTCCCGCAGGGTTTACCTGCGAAGGCTCCACGGGGGTCGGGTAGATGGCGCTGCACGGCCTCTCCCTCGGGGACAGGCAGGCGCTTTCCCTGGAATGCTTGTGCTTGTCGGACAACAGAGGAGAAGCTGGGGGGAGGAGGAGGAGGAGGAGGGGAGAGGGACCGTCAGTGTGGCGGTGGCTCTGGGCGCCCTCAGCCCACCCCTCCCCGTCAGTCACCCACCTCTGGCGCTGGACGGAGCAGAACTGGTGACGTTGGGCGAGGCCGAGTGGGCGGAGCTCAGGCTGGAGGTGGACGGGCTTGGCTGGAAGGAGAGGACGGGTCGGTGGGCACGGGCCGCCCGGAGCCCGCGGCTCGGACACACTGGGGGCAACGCCACTGAGGCGTTTGTTTTGTTTTTTTCCAAATTGGCCAAAACAGAAAAAAAGGAAGGAAAAAGGCCATCTACAAATGCAGAAAAGCTCACTAGCTCCGACTGATAAAATCTGTCCGAATGAACCAAGAATCGGGGATTTCAGCTCCTGCCAGAGGAGCGCCTCCCGCCGGCTCTGTGCGGCGTGCAGGCGCCCGGCCCAGCCGAGCAGAAGGCCCAGCCTGGGGGCTAGTGCCTCAAGGAGATGAGGGATGCGCCTTCCCGTCGTCTCCGAAAATGCGTCCAAAGCACGCACTCAGCAATAGGTACGAGGCCTCTTCCTCAAAGACAGTGGTGAGGAAAACTCAGCCGACTTACTGAATTATTACAGATGCCACGTGAACAGTGTCTAAATAAAACTTTTGTTGCAAGACACGGTGACTCTCAAATCCCAAAAAACTATCTTTTTCTTCGGCAAAATAAAACCCCCTCTTTATTACAAGCAATTGTCTGACATGTACCTAAGCACAGAGATTTTATAATGGACCCGAAACCGTGGGTTCATAAAGGAGGAAAAGCCACTGGGAGGCGCTAGGAGGTGGCTGTGGGGTCCCAGGGGTCTCGGAGCGGCCCTGCCCTGGCCCTGTCGCCTGCCCAGGGCCTCTTCTCTGACTCAGAGAGCCATCGGGGCGCTTAAAGGTTTGCCCTCCGGTCAGGACCCCTCCACCCAGCGCAGCCAAGCGGAGGGAAGGGCTCAGGGTGGAGGCGGACCCGCACAGACAGATGCGGCCGGGCAGGAAGCCGCGCCGGCACCCACCTGCATGTTGAAGACCTCGTCCGAGCTCTCCGACTGCCCCGTGATGTTGCTGACCTCAGCGGAGGCCTGGGAGGACAGCGAGGAGGAGGAGTAGCGGTTGACAGCTGGGTAGCTCAGGGGGCTGTTTCGGGGGGAGAAGGGGCCGTTAACGCAGTCTCTGAGTTGCACTCGCTCCCGTGTTGGCTCGGTATGAAGGTGACAGGAAGAAAAAAACAACACCCGTCCCGCTGGCCTCGCTCCCCTCGCACGCTTGCATTTACTTATTTCTCGTGCCGCTGATGCCTCCCCAGCAGCAGATGTCTGTGGCTGCTATGGTGGGTTAATTATTTCATTAAGAAATAGCAGGTTGGACCAACTGTGCCATAAAGAGCGAGAGGATGACTCCAGATCGCCTGGTGGGGACGCCACGTTGTAAGGTAAGGAAGAGTGCGCCGTACCTGCGCCGAGGAATCACCCGGGCCCCCTCTGGGCTCATGGCGGCGGGCGCCGAGTTCCTGCAGATGCGCGGGCTCCCGTTGGGGAAGTGCACCGGGCTGGCTGGGAGGCCGGCCGAGAGCTCCTGCGGGGGCGGCAGGGAAAACACGCGGAGGGGCAGTTAGCAGGCGTGTCTACAGGCTCGGGACGCGTTCTAGGCGCCGTGACATCTTTACAAAGGGCCGTCAGGTAAGTCTCAGAACTGTTAAGCTCTCTCTCTCACTTCCTTTCTCATTTTCATAGAAGCTGAGCACAGCAAAAAGAAGACCATGCCATCTAAACACTCAGACGGAACGGTGAGAAGGTGCAGTTTGGCAGGAGAACCAAAAGAGGCTGCTGCAGAACACATCTCGGCCCCCAGCCACGGCCACCTCGCACGCACCTGGATACCTAGGCTGGACTTCATCACGAAGAACTGGTCGACCAGCTTCTTGTGCAGCGGCCGCATGTCTTGAGGGACGAACTTCTCGTGCACGGCCAAACCGAACTCCAGGATCTGGGCCTTGAGAAGGACACGCGGGAAAAAGCCACGTCACTGAGCATCTATCTCCACTGAAGCCACTCCACGGTCCTAAACGCTGGATAACCCACACGGCTCACTGCCAGTACCTTCCTCACCCCGAGGGCCACGTGGAGAACTTACCGTGTTCCCTCTGTCCTTGCAGGTCAGACTCGGTAACTCCCTGCTCTGTTCCGGAAGCTGTAAACTGACCCCTCCAGGCCCCGACCCTGGCCGGTCCCTGGGCCCAGAACTAAGGTCTGCGGACTAGGCCCGCGGGGCATCAGCTATGGGCCAAACCAAACACGACCTCACTGATCTCTAATCTGAGAGGGCGTGGTGTGTTCTGTTGCTGGCTTGCTTGTTGCTTTGGTTCTTTCAGGCGGGAAGAGAGCCTCTGGCCATTCCGTCCCACTCACGTGGGCACACATGTTCACTCACATGGGTACACATGTTCACTCACGTGGGCATAAGAAGTCTCCATTTCCTATCTAGCCCCGCCTCCCAACCATCACATAGCCTAGCTCCGAGGTTTTCCAACCGAATCCGGGCCATAAGCTGTCACATGACCCAAACAGACTCTGGAAGACGACGAGGCTGTGCCTGGTTCTGTCCAGTCCGTGGGCTTAGTCCGCAGCGCGGGCCGCCGTTTCCCAGCACAGGCCAGCGGCCGCCCACTTCCCCGCGGCACCGTGGAAGCAGCACCCGCGCGGACTCACTCCCTCACTCGCCTAGTCGTCCATGCTGGGCCCCAAACTGTGAGCGAGACGTCAGCGCCAGGCTCACGGCAGGTCTTTAGGGGGCACGCTTAAAGGATGTTCCAAGAGGCTTGTGAACCGTTGGTTTTAAGGGGCTCGTCCCCCTTCTCCCATTTGCTCTCGCGCCGCAGTGGGGACAGAGGGCAGAGACCAGCGATGCGGAATGCGCTGCGGGTGAACCCGCGACCCCCGACCACCAACGCCAGCGCAGACGGCCGCGCTCACGGTCTCCGGGGCGGCGAGAGCAGGCGGCCGGGCCTGCCCTTACCTGGTCCAGCATCAGCTCCCGTAACCGTGCGATCTTCTCCCCATCTTCAGGGTGACTCAGGATGTAGTCCTTGACGAAGAAGGCCTAGACAGGGAGGGAACGGTCCGTTTACCGCAGGAGCCTCACACGCCGGGGACGGGAGGCCACCGTGGGGTGTATAGACCCAGCATCTTGAAAGAAACGACGCCGTCGGACACCAGGTCTGGGTGGCGCACAGAGGGGCTCCTAGCGAGGGCAGCGGGTTGGGGGGCGGAATATAAAATATGAGGAAGATCAGAGACTGTGTGAGTCTCCTGTAACATGCACAGCAAATCCAGATGCATGAGCTGCACGGGGTCCCCGACCTTAGACAAGCTGCTGCGCCTGACGACTCAGCGGGGCAATGCGGGGGCTCCGGCCCCCAAGCTGCTGTGCCCTTCTGTTCAAAACTGGGAGGGCCGCGGAGCAGCCCACGTCAAGGATCTCCTAGCCAAGGTCAGGCTCGTCTGTGCCCACGAACCCTGTGCTCCGGGGGTGGCTCCAGGGGGGTGTTCACCAAACAGCACCTCACCGCGTGTGTCCCTGCAGGTGCGTGTGCACACTCACTCCCTCACCCTCACCGCGTGTGTCCCTGCAGGTGCGTGTGCACACTCACTCCCTCACCCTCACCGCGTGTGCTCCTGCAGGTGCGTGTGCACACTCACTCCCTCACCCTCACCGCGTGTGTCCCTGCAGGTGTGCGTGCACACTCACTCCCTCACCCTCACTGCATGTGTCCCTGCAGGGTGCGTGTGCACACACACTCCCTCACCCTCACTGCATGTGTCCCTGCGGGTGTGTGTGCACACTCACTCCCTCACCCTCACCGCGTGTGTCCCTGCAGGTGTGCGTGCACACTCACTCCCTCACCCTCACTAAGTGTGTCCCTGCAGGTGTGTGCACACTCACTCCCTCACCCTCACTAAGTGTGTCCCTGCAGGTGTGCGTGCACACTCACTCCCTCACCCTCACTGCATGTGTCCCTGCGGGTGTGTGTGCACACACACTCCCTCACCCTCACAAGGGCGTGCACTGGGGAGCGGAGTGGGGACACGCCACCAAGGATGACTGTCTGCCCCACTTCACTAGGCCCACGCCCGTGTCCGTGGCAGCCCCGCGTGAGCGTGCTCCCGTGTGTGCGTGTCCCGAGGAACAGATTTCTGGGGCCCCGGGAAGCCACGCCTCCCGACAACGTGGAGCGCTCACCTCCTGGTAGCGGGCAACCCCGCCGTTCACGGCGGCGTCGATCACCCCGTTGAGGCACATGGTCAGGGGGTTGACGTTCTGCATCTGCCGGGCCTGGCACTGCGCGATCAGCGTCTTCAGCTGCTGGTTCTTGTTCTCCAGCACCTCGATCGCGTTCTCCAGAGGGCTCATTTCCACCTGGGGCAAGGGAGGCGCACACGGACTGGATTTCGGGACACTCGGGGCACAGAGCAGACCATTCAGGTTCTAAATGACCTGTGGCCCTGCCCCCCCGCCCCATCGATGTCTCCACCAGGGGCCCTCCAGCGGAACGGACAACGATGTCCCTTTGTGAGGTCTGCAAAGGGATGGTGGTGACGGCCATCGGCTGCACTGCGGTTTGGATCATGGGGACCCTTAATTATCTATTAGCCCTGCGACAACCAAGGCACCCTTCAGAGGAAAGGAAGTCAGGCTGTGACTTCTGACACGTCTGTCTTCCCTCCCCTTCCTAGATGCTGGCTGCGTGCAACGCTCATGGGAGACGCAAAGACGCCTTTGCAGGTGCTCCGGGGCCTGGGTGTCTGCAGCCCCACTGGGGAGACGGCACAGGGACGCGTACAGACCCCAGGTGCCCGTGTGCCGCCACCATACGGCTGCTGTGGGCAAGGAACCCAGAACCCGGGAGGCAGGCGTCCCCGGAGAGTGACCCAGAGAAGCCTCACAGCCCTCCGAAGCACACCATGGGTGTTTCGTAACTTAACTGTGCTGCCCGCATGAGGGACCCTGTGAGGTCCGCGGAGGGACTCCCGTGTACCACCCCGCATTGCTAACACTGATGTGGGACCGAAGGAACAGCAGGACGGGCCGAGGTCTTGGGTGTTTGCTTGCTTCATCCGAGACCTGAGTTGGCGCAGAAAGGGCGCGGTCAGAAATCTAACCCAAAGTGACCTCACAGCGGGGGAGGGGGTTCTGATCACAGATTCCTAACTGCACAGGGCATGAGGGGCCGTCAGGCCCAGGCCTGTAACTTCCTTACTAAAAGGTTCCTCTGTGCCTGAAGCCAGGCCGATCCACCCTTCCTGTGCCTCTAGGTTGGCGCCCCTTTGAAATGGGCTAGAACCACCCTCAGGAAAGCAGGGGGTGGTTAACTCTGCTGCAGTCTGATCATGCCCCCCCCCCCCGCCTCCTCCAGCCTCCAAGTCCCTTCCTTAGTTCCCTCCTTCATTCCCAAGGCGGAAAACCACTGACTGAGTTGCTTTGGGAAGCGTTTCATACTCTGTTGCGACCTGGCTTCCAGGCAGAGCCTCTGTTTGGCTCCCACTCTTATCAACTCATTAAAACTTTGTACGGGCTTGGACGTTGCTAGGTGACAAGTTCCTAGTAAAGCCTGCTGCCCCCCGATGCCCCGGCTGAGCTGACAACCCGCCCCTCTGGTCCGCGCAGAGGCAGGCTGTGGAGGAAGAGACGCGGGAGCTAATGAGAAGCGGCTCCCGGCGGGCAACGCGGAACCACCCGAAAACGAGGAAGAGCAGTGAGACTCTCAGCCGATGGCCACGGAGGGCTCTCGCTCAGGCCCGGGGACAAACGACAAATGACGACAGCCCCACAAACAAATCCCCTGGAGTGAACGGACTCCGGGTGACGAGCTACTGGACAGTGACCGGACACTGCTGACCGAGGAACGACTGGTCATTATCTCGACCGGGCACCGGATGCTACGGAGGTTTTGTCTTGGTGTTAACACACACTGAAGTATTTATGGACCGAGTCACGTGGTGTCTGGGGTTTAACGGGGGTGCCCAACCCTCGGCTTGCAGGCCGCCTGCGGCCCAACACAAAATCGTAAATTCACTGAAAACACGGTGAGATTTTTTTTTTGTGATGACGTGTCACAGTGTGTTTAATGGGTAGCCCAGACATGCCAAAAGGCTGGACACCCCACTTGCATCAAAGAGAAAGAGTGAAGGTGCAGAGGAAACAGAACCGGCCTTTGGGACCGCTGCGGGAGTGCGGGGCAGATGAAACGAGTTCGCTCTCCATCTCCCCCACTCTCGTCTGACCTAAAGCAGGCAGCTCTGCACAGAAGGGACGGCGGGCACCTGCAGGGTCCGGGCACTAGGTGGCGCCGGCAGCCGGTCTGGCCGGGAGCGGGAACTGTTCTCAAAGCGGAGCCTCGAGCTGTCCTGAGGGACCTGATGTGACGTGCGAGAGTGGTCCCGTGACCGTCAGCTGGAGCTCTGAAACATCACTGTGTGTGCACTCTATTCTATAGGGTTTCCGTCTCACGTAAAATTTAAAGATAAGCTCACTTGCTCATCAGAAAAACATCGCTTTTTGTTTTACAGGCAGAAAACGAAATCGATCCCCGGGGAGCCAGCAGACAGGCTCCGTGACGCCGGCGCCCGGGGGGCGGGCAGCAGGCCTGTGCGCCGGCCCAGGCCACTGAGCTCTGTGGTCAGCAGCCACTGGCCTCCCTCGGACAGCCCGGGTGCCTGCGCCACAATGCCAGCAGGCGGGCATGCAGACCCTGGACTCAGGCCCTACAGGAATGCACGGTGCTGGATTTGTTTAGGACGCCTGCATGCATTTCTGCTGCTGCAAAATGAAAATGCCATTAAATCCTTATCCTGATGGAACACGATAGTGCTAGGGGAGTCGGGGGTGGGGGGGCTCAGTCACGCTTAGGTTTCTGGTAGGCCAGGCCATTCTCAGGGGATGGTCTGGGCAGAGGCTGCCCCACTGACCCACGGACAGCGCGGGCCTGCTCGCCAGGTAAGCAAGAGTGTCGATGGTATTTTCACAGCCGGCACGCTTCCTACCACGCGAGGGTGGGGGTGCCCACAGGGCTGGCTACGGCCCCTGTGATACCCTGGGGGGCTGCAGGGCTGCCGCAGACGGCAGGGCTGGGGCTGACGTCGACGGGGATCTGCCCAAGGGGCAGCCGGAGCAGCGGGAAGGGCTCTCACCCGGACGTGACCGCCACCAGCAACTGCTGTCCCCGTCCCCACCACCGGGGACTGGAGCTGGGGGCCTGTCTGTCACCCCGAGAGTTCTCAGGGTGCTGAGGTTCCGGGTTCTGTAATGACACCCCGAACTCCAGCAGGTGATCCTCCAGGATCACGTGGCGAGACGAACACACCGCGTCCTGTCCCTGCGGCCTCTCACCGTGTGGACCTACTGCGCGCCTCACACTGTGCTGGGCCTTCCCGTGAGCCTCCGACTTCCAGGAAGGAAACTGAGGCTGGGAGAGGTGAACCCACTGGCTGTGGAGTCAGAAAAATCTGGGGTCAAGTCTGGCCTTTCTCGGTGTCTTGCTATGGGACCGACCTCGGGCAAAGGCCTGTAAAACCAGGGGCAGGAGGGATGAGCACACACAGCTCAGACCGGGGCACGGCCGTGGCCTTCCCCGCGCCGGCTGGGCACACCGCCATCACTGCTGGGCACACGGCGGCAGCGATGACGAATCCCAGCTGTGCACCTCCAGGCCCGTCTGCTCAGGCCCAGTGGCGTCTGAGGACTCCCACTGGCTGGCCGGACGAGGACACAGGACCGTGCCCCTTCAAGCCCTGGTCCTGGGGTCGGGACCATGCACACACGTGCCGACCTGCTCCGAGGGCCGCAGGGACCCGGGTCAAAGGCAGACGCCGGTGGCCAGGGCGGGACTGCAGGCGGGCCGCGGGCCTTACCACTTCGCGCTTGTCCACCTCGAACCAGCGGGAGATGCCGGGCAGGCTCTGCACCAGGAGCAGCGACGTCCTCTCCACCCAGAGGCTCTGCGGGACACGAGGCCGGTCAGTCCCCGGGCGCCCTCCCTCCTTCCCCGCCGCCACCGAGCCACAGCAGGGGGCTGCCCTTCCCTCCTGTCGGGGGTTGTCTCTCCCTGCTGGTCATCGCGGGGCTTGGGGAGCGGAAGCCCTCTGCACCCACGAAGCCATCACAGCGAGAGGACAGGACGCTGGGGCATCTGTGAGTGGGGCCACTGCGTTCCGCCTGCCCCTTCTCCTGTGTGGAACACAGGGCCTCACACGTGAACAGACATCTTAGAGCTATAAACAGAGACTACCACGCTGTCGTCTCCGCTATGTGTCTGAAACCCTAACTTGGGGTCTCTCTACTCCTCCGGGCACCGCCACGCTGGTGTGTGGGGGGAGACCGTCCCTGCTCATCAGTCAGCACAGGAAAGGGCCCAGGGGGGTCCCACAGCTGGGCCTGCTGTGAGTCAGGATGCCAAGACCCAGAGACGTGGCGCCACCTGCTCCCAGTACAGCCCGGCCCCTCCCGCTCTGCCCGGGCAGCGGTGGTTCCTGGGCCGCTCTGGCTGCGGCCATCGGGGCGGGTCTGTGTGTCACAGCCGGCTCCCTTGGGCCAGGCTTGGTGTCCCCAGGACACCTGGGACATGGCTGCCTTCGGCAAGAGCTGACGTACCTATGCCTCCTTCCTCTCATGTAAACACGGTCCGTTCCCAGGGGAGTAACAAACTGTGTGACATTCCCGGAACAGTGCCATTGACTCGGCAGCAGCAGCACAAACAAAAATGGAAGGACTTCCGTGAGCCAGCCAAGGTGTGCTGACATGGCAGGGGGCATCCCCGTGACGGGGGCTGGACGTGTCCTGGTCCTGGTGGTGACGGGGGTCAGCCCGTACATACGGGCTCAGGACACAGGGAAAGGGCGGCTGCAGGTGCTGGGAGAGGACGGAGGGGCAGCTGGCGTGCACGCCAGCCGGGCGAGGCTGGGCAGCCCTTCTCAGAGCAGGTGACAGCGAGTGAGCGGAATTGGGAGAGGAGGTGGCAGTTTGTCGGGCGGGGGCAGCGGTGGGGGAGGCGCAGCAGGGGCAGCAGGCACAGAGAGGGGACCAGACTGGGGAAAGGCACGGGGAGACCTGCAGGGAGAAGCGGGGAGCCCCAGAGAGAAATGGGGGGGGCCCACAGAGAGGCGGGGCGCTGCTGCAGCTGAGGCAGAGGTGGGTGAGTGGTTGTGATGCCGAGGCTCTGGGGGCTGTGCGCCCAGGGAGGAGGAGCCACACTGATGATGATGATGATGATGATGATGATGATGATATGATTTAGGGGTCGGCTCTATCACCAGGGAAACGTTTAGGGTGATGATGAGGAGGAAAGGTGGGAGAAAGAGCAGTGGAGAAGGTGCAGGCTCTGGGGCCGGGTCCCCGGCCGTCCGAGCGGCAGTCCGGGCAAGTCCAGGGCCTGACTCGCGTGCAGTGCGACTGTTCGCTGGAGGCTCCTGCCGTGGAACTATTCCACGAGCTCCCCATCTTCAAGTGGGTTGGAGGGCGGAAGGGAAATGCGTGTCCCAAAGGAGCGGGAAGTCGTCGCAGCTCTTTGCAGCAGCACCCCGGGGCCCCTCCTCCGCCGGCTCCCCTGGCCCCACCCCAAGGGCTGGTCTCCGTCCAGTCCCGTCACAGCTCTGCGAGACCGCCCGTCCCAGCCGCCCCTTTCTGCCTCTGGGCTGTGACTAATCCCCAGGTCACCCAGGCACAGGTGACAGGGCGACCCGGCAGGAGACAACCCTTGGGACAGTGTTCGGTTTCAGCGCGAGTACAGACTCGCGGGGAAGGAGCAGCCTGGCCCAGGAGCCCTCGGGGATACAGCGGCTTTGCCTGCTCTGTTGGAGGGCAGACTACAGACGACCTGGGGCCTGTCTGGGCTCACCGCGCCCCCACTGTCAGCACGAGGACCGAGCAGACGATAATTCATCTCCGCAGTGACCTTGCCCCCTGACCCCCAGTGGGGCTCCGAGAGGTCCCAGCCCTCCCTGGCCGAGGGAGCCCCGACTCGGCAGGCGTCCTGGAACCTCTGAGAACAGAGGGCGCCGCACGGGCCAAGGGTCTAGGGTTGGCTGCTGGCCTGGGCCCGCTCGGAAACCCTGACGGCATGGCACGCCCTGCTGACAAGCAACAGCAGCAGAGGGCAGGGCAGGGCAGTGCAGGGTGCCGCCCCCCCCAGCTGTCCCTGCCATCTGCCCACTGAGCTCTGCCCGGAAGTCCTCTCTGCTCAGCATCCTTTACTCGTCGCCCTGGACTGCACCTGAGAACACCTGTCCTGGGCCTCCCACGGCTGGCTCGCAGAGAATGAGTGAGAGGACTGAGCTCGACCGGGAGAGGTCAAAGACTGCGTGGGGCCCGCGGCCACGGGACCTGCGGCAGGAAGCAGACGCCAGGACTGGCTCTCAGACGCACCGGGTTAGAATCCCTGGGCTGGGGGCCAGGACTCGTCCCGGTCAGTGAGCGCCCCGTGCACTCTGGCGCCCGGCAGAGCTCAGCACCACCGGATGCAGTGATTCCCGTGCCTTCCCAGTTCTCTTGCCCGACTGTACTCCGAGTCCACACGCAGTGAGGGTCTGAACCCAGTGCGCTCCCAGCCCCCAGCCCGGAGGGGTAACAGCATGCCGCTGCCGTACCTTGAACTCGTTCTCCTTGTCTTTGGCTCCTCTGTGAAAGGGGCGGTCGTAGCGGAACTTCCAGATGTGGTTCACCCTGTAGAAGCTTTTGATGTTGTCCGGGACGCCCTCTCGCTGCAGCACCTCCTGGCTCTCCGGGATGGGGGTCACGGCGTAGATCTGCAGGTCTGGGAGGGTGGGGTCAAGGAGGAAACCCGACATTCCGACGGCCGGCTGCCGCTGAGCAGGGTGGGGCGGAGAGGAGGGGCTGGGCAATAGCCTGCCACTGGTTCTGCTCTGACTCGAAGCAATTTAAAACATTCCCAAGAAAGTGCCCAGACCTCTGTTCACACCAATCACTCCTCCAACGACAGGCCTTGAGTTAGCTTTAGGTAGGCGATTCTAAAAATATATCAGTTTAAAATTTCTATGACCCATGAATTTATCACTGATTTTCTTTGGCGGGGGAGGAGAATGGGTGGGGATTGTTTGGGTCGTGGGTGCTCGGGATTGCATGAGTTCTAACCCCTGCACCTTATCTTCAGTCATTGTAGGGGATGCACTTGTCTTTGCCCTCTGCGTGCCCCTTTTTACATGTATCCGTGTAACACTGTATCAGTGCCCGCGACTGGGACCAAAGGCGGAGCCAGCCCCAGGGTGACGGACACCTCCCTGCGCGAGGCTCCCAGTTGCAGCTGGGATTCCCGCCTTTGAGCTCCCCACTCTCCCGGGCCTTGTGCCGAGAAGCAGAGGTTCAGTTGTAGCTGGTATTTTAAAAACTACAGGTATTATAATTGCCTCTTTACCTCCTCTTCGCATTCCGAGAAGGATGGCAAAGTAGTTTTCTCTATGCACAACAATTACTGGCCACTGTTGCATTTTAGGTTCTACTCTGGAACAGTGCCCACAGTTACCAGGGGTCTTTAGGGTCTTTGAGACCCACCCACCGCTTCAGGAAGAGACGGGGGATTCAGAAAGTCCCGGCTGGGGGAACGGCCTTTGTCTCTGACGCCTACGTGACCTCAGCTGAGTGGCTCCTGTTTGCACCACGGGAGGGTCAGCTGCAGAGCAATCACACAAGGCTGCCCAGGATGCTGTGGCCAAGAGCCCCCAAAGATCCTGGGGGACCTCTTTCCAGGCCTCCCTCATTCCAAAATAAAAATGTCAAGGGGAAAGGGGGTGAACCATACGTTCCCGTAAACATAAGGCTGTGATTTCCTTGAACTGAAGCCGTTTCCATAGGGTACGGCAGAAAGAAATGTCTCTAAGGGAAATCACTAAAAAGAGCTCTGAAAGCAGAGCTGAAGATACAGAAAAGTTTTCATGAAAAGGAAAAAAAAAAAACTGAACGGATCTTCAGGAGATTCCTCTTCAACTGACATCATGATCATAAAGAGAACAAGTGTGCTCAGGAGGGGCTGAGCTGGAAGGAGCTGACGGGAAACGGGGAGAAAGAGACCCAGCCGCGACGGCCCCCCGCCCCCTCCCCCTGCCGCGGGGACGCGCATGCTCCCCGGGGCGGGTCGGATACACTGCGCCTCCGCCTGGAAGATGGTCTCGTCGGGCTGGTTGGCGTGCTGCATGGCGATGGCGTGCGGGAACTCGGTGAGCATGCGCTGCTGGAAGGCCTCCAGCCGCTCGTAGTCGTGCCCGCGGCACACGAACTCCTTGTTCTGCGGGCGGAAGGGAAACGGACAAGCTGAGCGGATGGACGCACGCGCGGACACAGCGGGCAGACTGACAGCTGCCGGCGGGGAGCGGGGCGACGGGGCTGGGTGGTGAGAAAGGTGACGAAATTAAGCAAAAAAAAAATAAAAAACCTCACAGACACCGACAGCAGTGTGGTGGCCAGCAGAGGGAAGGGGGTGGGGGAGGTGGCAGAGGGGGAAGGGGGGACACGCGGCGACGGAAGGAGACTGGACTTGGGGTGGTGAACACACAACAAGGGTGATGGGTTACAGAACTGTACACCTGAAACCTGCATCATTTTATGAGCCCCCGTCACCCCGATAAACGCAATGAAGGGTAAAAACAGCCAGGTGCATGAGCCGAGTGCATGAGCTGCAGAGAAGCCAGAAGCTACGGCGGCTCTGGCAGTGAGTGAGCCCGTGGCTCCCCGCCCCTGGAACGGCCTGAGAAACGTGCCCAAACACGAGAAATGCAGGTTGGCGCCCGTGAGCTTCGCTCCCTGGACTTTCAGTAACCCCAGCAGCACGGCCCCACCCTCCCCAGTTCACCTGCCTGGGGAGGCAGAGAGGGTCCTCGCTTCTCAAGACCGGGCGCTCATGCCCCTCCCCTCATTCACCGCACTCAGGCCAAAGATTTGTTCTGCGAACGGGATATCAGGTTTCTCCCAGGATGCGGAGGAAAAGCTGTGTGCACCGTCTCTAAAGACGCACTGCACGGGGCCCTCTCGGAGGAGCTGCCAAGCTCAGCGGTCCTGGGTGCCGGAGAAAGGCAGGCGGAGTCCGCTGGGGCTCCAGCTCCCGAGCGAAGGTTTAGGCTGTTCAAAATGCTGGACATCTATTTGCGTTTTGTCTTGTTCTACAGTCAATGTGCCTCCCGTGGGTCAGGACTGTCTGGCACCAGGTAAGAAGGGGCAAGGTCGTCCTGGAGGTAGACTGGGCAGCAGGAAAGGTGGGCCGATTCCAAAGAGCACCCTCGTGACTGGGGTAGTGACTGGGGTAGACCTGAGGGCGCTCTCACAGGTGAATGATGGTGCCATTAGAACTGCTGGGCAGTCTCTGACCGGGCACTCTGCCCCTGTCTTATTTAACCCCCAAAGGAAATGCATACTCTTAGGGGGGATTTAAGTAGCACAGGGCGTCACTGAGCAGTGACTCAGCCCCCCAATCCTTGCCCCTGGTCACTCTCCCCAGAGAAATTATTCTTCAGATTCACACACTGCCAGGTAAGAGCACATTCTCCACGAGGGTAAAAAAAAAAAGCTACTCAGATCCTTCAATGTTTTAGTCTGTCTGAGCTTTAAAAATTACCTTGAAATTGGACAAACAACGAGAGGAAAATTTAGCGTTGATGTTTGTTTTTGAATTGAACAATAGACTAGAATCTAGCCTAGGGATTCCGAAGGGTGCAGTGCCTTTAAAAACCAATAGAGGGCGACCCTTCTCCTTCATTTGGAAAGAAATGCCATTTATAGCCAGAAAGGCTGTTTTTAAAAGCCTGATGATGTAGAGGTTGGTTTATTCTAATAGACTTTTTAAACAAAATTTATTTTATTAAATGCTAATTCCCTTTAAAATTATGGCTCTTCAATGACTTTGGTTCTTTTAACTTTATACTTTTAATTCATGTCAATTGCATATGCTAAGTGGCCATCTAGGGCACCTTACAGAGCGCTCGCTCGTTGAACTTGAACTTGGCCAGGACGCATTATGACTTCTGAGAGTCCCTTCCGCCATAAACATGCTAGAGATCTACTGCACGGCTGCTCTGGTATAAAGACATGCATGCATATAACCACAGTAACTGATGTATAACACAATAGAAAATATAAAACTTTTTAAACCTCAACGTTCACTTTTTTCTTCTGATTCTTTAGAAGAAATTAAAAACAGATTTGTGGACCATCTGAAAACACCTTGTCTAACCACTGCCTACTGTGCATGACGGACCAGCGAGCCCTGAGTCTAGCACGGAAGGAAACATGATCTCTTACTTCGCACGACCCTGAGCTACCAGGAAGTGGGTCTGCTGTAGCGGGGTCCCCCGTGAACCCTCCTGGAGGTCACCCACGGGGGCCTCGGGCCCCCGTGCTGCTCACGGCCCTAGCATGCCCCCGGGGTCTCTCAGAGCCTGGTCCCGGCCAGGGCACCATGCAGGGGTGCCGGCCACAGCCCAGGCCCGCAGCGGCCCGCTCCCAGGACTCAGCCTTGGCCCCTGTTCCTGCTCCAGAAGGGAGCTTCCCCCCGTCCTCTGGCCACCCGTCTTCAGGGTTAGCTTTGGGACCACCCCAACATCGCGTCTCAACCCAACACGGAGATTTCACCCGTGTCCCTGTGGCACAGGTCAAACCCAAACACACGGTCACTGCAGCCGGTGAAAGGTGGGGCCAGCCTGTCGTTTGACGTCTGTTCCACGTGACGCTGGAGTGAGCCTGGGTCTGGTGTTCGGGTACTTTAGAATATGATAGTGTACACTTGCCCGAGCCCGAAAGAAACCAGTTGGTTCAGGGGCACAGGATCCTAAGCCCCGTGAGCTCCCGGGCACCAACACCTCCCACCTGAAAGGCCGGTGACTGTTTTCTGAGTGACCATGAACTTGGGTCAGCGTTCTCCTCCCCCTGGCCTCCCGGCACCCCCCACCTACATCTACTCCCGCGTGCTGAGGGCAGAGCAGGGTTTGGGGACGCACAAATACCACCTTTGTGCTGCACGTTGAGATTTAAAGTTCGTAATGAAGTCACTCGATTTAAAGAACCATCCCAGGCTTGTCTCCCTGGTTGCTTGGGGAGGTGCATCTCCTCTCCCGACCAAAGCTTCCACAGAGCTTAGACGCTGCCCATCGGTGTGTCCGGCAAGCCCCGAGCACACGAGACACTACTCGGCACGACGTGAATAAACGGGACAGCGGAGCCGGGCACTTGACTGCCCGGCAGGGACCCTGGAGCACCTGGAAACTCCCCTTCTGCAGAGCGAGTTCATGCCGGCAGTCCGCGGGCTCCCTGTGCTGGGTGACGCGTACCCTGCCACAAAGGCGTCACGGTGCCCACACTGCTCTTCCCCCGGACCTGCAGGCAGGCCTCCACGGGACATGGGATCGCCACGTGGTCCACGGTGCGGGACCCCCACCCCCAGCTGGCCTGCCCTTTCCTCTGATGCTGCCTCTGAGGAAGAGTGACCAGCAGTCACGCCAGAGAAACGACTCTAGTGACCAAAGATTGCTCATCCATTCGGCAAAGTTCGAGACTTGGGGAGGAAAATCAAAAGGTTGTTGGGTGTCTTGGGAAATTATTCAGAACGGGGCCCTCCCGGTAAGTGTGGGGTCTGCAGGCTAAGACGGGAGGAGGGCATCTCCTGCCGTTCTGGTGTCTGAGAGGGTAAATGCCACGAGCGTCTCCGCCGTCCGGACCGGGACACCTGCTGGGAGCGTGACAGCCAATTACACAGCACATTACTCACTCTTAAGAAAAACGGGAATTTCTTCCCATAAAATCCGACTCTGAAGAACTCTGGCTCGAGCCGCTGCTGGTCCATGATTTTGTCGTACAGAGAGGCCTCCATCACCTGTAGGGGAGACACTCGGCTCAGCCCTCCCACTCAGCCCCAAGGAGGGCAGCAGAGGGCGTCTCGTCCCAGGAGAGGAGGCCCCGTTCTGGTTCTCGGGGGGCTCACGGGCCCCGGCTGTGAAGGGTCGGGTGCATTCTTCCGTGTTCTTGCTGGAGAACATGATTTCTGTGCACACCGTCCACGGGGGAAATGTTCTCCTCCCAACTGAGCAACGTCGGTGTGAAGTGTGAGAAGCAGCAGCCCTTTCGGGAGGAGTCTCAGGCCAGGTGAGCGCCCCTGTGGGGGTCTGCCTGTCCTCGGACCGGCCACGCAGGGCAGGGGCAGTGCTCACTGGCTCGGGATGGGCGGGGAGAAACTGAGCAGCCACCCCGGGGGGCGGCCCACGGCGCCCAGTGCGGTCTGAGCTGGGCGTCTGAAGTGCGTCTCTGGCGATGGGGAACTTGAAATCGCAGGACGCATATGGCTCCCACTGCTGGTACTGCTGTCGCCAGGGTTCCAGAGAAGGCTCCTACCGCACCTGAACTCCGCCCCCGCCCCCGCCCCCAGGCACGGCACCTGGAAGAGCAGGTGGCCCGCAGCGCGAAGCCCCAACGACTCTGTAAAAATCTCAGTGATGGCGGCACCCACGGGCTCTCCCAGGAAACACTGCAGCCTCCCTCTCTCACGGGCCGGGATGCCAAGGGCAGCAAGAGACGGTTTCACGGGAAACCGCAGGGCCTGCGGGAGCCAGGGTGACTGACAAGAGCCTCAAGGGGCGTGTCCTCGCCGACGCCCCGCCCACGGGAAGTACTGCCAGTGACCTGGGCCCGCTCCAGCCCCCTGAATGAGTTACAGGGGGGGCAGGGGGTGACACGGGCCTTACAGGTTAGGGATAGCATCTCTCCAGTGGCTACCGCGGAGTCACAAGGCAACATCACTGCCTCTTTGCTTTACAGGTAAACACTGGTGACCCTGTTTTAGAAACCTGGAGGAACTCAAGGACATGATGACCAACGTTCGCGACTCCAAAGAGCACGGACTCGGAGAGCCCGCGGGACTGGGCTGGGCCTGCGAGAGGGGGAGGAGGGGACCCTGGCCTCACGGACACCGGACTTTAAGCTCGGGCCCTCGGGCGGGCCCTGGTTCAGGCTCGGCCAACACAAATACACTTCTGAAGCTGAAGGCAGCCGGCGCCTGCAGAAGTGAGCCCCCAAACGTTTAAAAACGGGTCTGTTAGCCGTTTCTACTATTTTGCTGCTCAGACCACGGCACGAAGAATAATAAATTGTTACACAGGTTTGTGTCCAAGGGGGAAGCTGTTCCAACAGTGTGGGGATTTTCCTCGACAAACTAGAAGTATCGATCCTGGCTTTGACTGTGTATTTCTGATGGGGTGTTCAGCCTCCACCCGCGATTTTTAACCGGGGGCCACAAGAACGTTTAAAACACGCAACACCTGGCCAGTTCGTCAGAGGCACTGGCCGCGTGTCCCTTAGGCTGTCAGTTAAAAAAGCGACAACGGCCGGTACAACAATAGCCGTCTGGTGTGAATGAATCAAAATCATACCTTTTTTTTTTTGTCAGATAGGCAAAAAGTATATTTTTGGTGAGCCGGGGAGTTTTAGCAATGAGTTCCCGTGTGCCGCAAGATGAAGAAGGTTGAAAACCGCCAGCGAGGGGGCGGGGGGGTAAGGGCCAGCTCACTCTTCGCATCCCCGTGGAAAGCACCGCGCAGAGCCTTTGGTTGCTTCTCGGTCTGGCAGCCAAGCGCCCCCGAGCAGAGGCTCGTCTTCACGAAGCTTCCTCCCTACCCCATGGGACCTGCCCGGCCCCCCCCCACCACCCCCGCAGTGTCCATTTCCCACTGGGACGCCGTGCGCCACCCCCCATGCCGCGCGAGGAGCACGCCCCCGCAGGCGCCTCACCCGCATCCTGCTCAGGTTTCTGTAGTCGTAGAAGCTCTCGTACTGCTCCGCGATCTTCCGGCAGAGGATGATGCCGTTCTCCCAGCACTGCGGGCCACGGGGACACGAGTTAGCGATCCCCTCCCCGCCCCCCACGTTGCGCACCCCCACCCCGAGGTCGGACAGGGCTGCAGTCCGGTCACGGGGCTCCCTTCCCCACCCCCACAACCTGGCTCCACGAGGACCCCTGCCACGCCGGGCAGGAAGACAGCACGGAACCCAGGAACCCACGTGGACACCAGGAGGCTGGAGATGAGGATCCCCACCCCCTGCAGACCTGCTCGGTGGGAATGCCCAGGAAGGGCCCGGGGAATCTGCACTTTGATGGCCGCTTGGGTGTCCCTGAGGCACGCCGGCACCCGAAGGCCCCGCCGGGGGAGGTGCCACGGCGGGCACTCACCTTGCCCCGGTCGAAGTTCTGGATGATGGCCAGGTGCAGCTGCTCCTTGCGCTGCCACTCGGTCTGCATGGGGTAGCTGAGGAACTCGCGCAGCGGCCGGTCCGACCACTCCAGCAGCTCGTCGTACAGCAGCAGCGTGTAGGCGGCCTCTGCAGGGAAAGGGGGCCACGGTCCACACGGGGCCCCGCCCCCGGCCGCCCCCGCAGCGCGCTGCTCCCTGACAACCCGGAGAGGGCCGGTTCTCCGTGCTCCGTGAGACTGAGGAAGGATGCCGGGGCTACGGGCCGCCGCGGCAGAGCCGATGGCGCCTTCCCGGGGAGAGGGGACCCTCGGGGGTTTGCATCCAATCGTCTGGCCCCTTGTAGTCCCTTCATTCACTCTCTGCCTCTCTCTCCTTCCGTTCTTCCTCCTTTTCACAAGGCCCAGACGCAAGCGTCATCACAAAAATGTCGAGGGACGTGTGTTGCAGGGACGCGCGCCTCTGTGGGCTGGGGAAGTTGACGGTGAGTGCCTCCAGGTGGGACTACGGGCGTGTTCCCGAGGGCCCGTGTGGGAAAGCAAAGATGGTAGCTAAATGCTCCTGGGTGGTCCCAGGCTGCAAGACTGGGGCACAGTGGGGGGTGGGGGGGAGTCCGGGTGCAGGCAGGGTGCAGGAGGGGCGAAGGGGCCGGAGGGCAGCAGAGGGCACAGGAGAAACCCAGAATCTCCAGGGATAAACGCCGAGTTAGAAAGCACACACATGTTCGGCGGGGTGTGTGTGTGTGTGTGTGTGTGTGTGTAAACAGACCGTGGTAAGTGTGGGCACCAGGTAGCCCCAGCAGGCCACCAGAGCCGGCCGGCCGATGACTGGCGGCAGCATGGGGAAGGTGCGAAGACAACTCACACCTCTGTGAGGATTTCATTTGGCAAAATGATGATGGCTGCCTGGGGCAAACAGTTTTTGTAAAAAAAAAAAAAAAAGAAATCATACAATTTTTCATGAACTGAAACATAGCTCTGAGGCATGGACACCAGAGCAGAAGACGGAGGAAGATTTTGAACTTATTAGCAAGTGGCAAGTGTTTTGTTGTGATGTGCTGTGTGTTTTTTCTGTATCTTTAGTAGATGATATTATGTATTAAAGATGGAAAAATGAATCGCCTCCAAAATTTCCAGCAGATACTCTTTTAAAGAGCGTTCACAGTTTGAACACGAGGCATCACCGCACGTGGGAGCGTGGGCACCTCACTCCATCACGGGGAGGACCGTGCCATGAGGCCACCACTAGACGAAGGACGTGGTAACGCAGCGGGGACTGAGGGGGCTGGGAGAGCAATCCCTGCTGCAAACGGCTGCAGAGGGCCGTGCCCTTCAGCAGGACCCTACGAGGACAGAAGAGTTTCCCCATCAATCTCACTTCCTCCGAGGACGCACAGGAAGGAGAACAGGAGCGAGATGAATAAAACGTCCTGCGGGGAAAGGACTTGTTTCTCGGGACTCTGGGAACAGAGAGGCTGCAAACAAACAGAAGAAGGAAGACTTCCCAAGTGCGAGGAGCTGGATGCGGACTGGGCTTGGGGAACCGAAACAGAACTGCCATGTGTCTAGAAGAGCTTCTCTTATGTGTCCTCAGCTGCTTCTCTCATTTCTTTTTTCTTTTCTAATGAACTTTAAATAAAACAAGCCTGCCAGGTTTTTTTTTCCCCCCACTGATATAAAAGGTAGGTTTGGGGTCAAAGGGCAGGGGGGACTGGAATAACTATAATAACATAAATGATAAAAAAAAGTTTTAAGTTAAAAGCAATGCATTTATTCAAATCTCATATTGCCAGGCACTATTCTAAGAACTAACAAGACTGAAGAGAATAAATTGTCTCTATCCTCAGGGAATTCACCCTTGAACTAGAGATGAAGCCGTTTTCCTGTCTACCCACCTACCCACCTACCCACGCTCGTGCACATCCAGGCTTTACATAACTATTGACAAAAACGCTATGACACCTCCAGGCCTTACATAACTATTAATGAAAACGACATGAGGGTGCTGCAATCGAAACCTGGAACATGGCCATAGGGAAAGACTGGGAGACAGCCGCTCAGCGCAGGAGAAACGGCGGCGGCGGGAGAGGGCAGGCGGAGTCCCAGGAGGGCGCAGGCTGCACGGACCACCGCAGGGGGTGGGGGGAGCTGGCCCCGGAAGGGGGGAAAAGAGGAAGGCCGTGCCAGTGGGCAGATGAGGCTGCAGAGACAGGGGCTGGTTCCATTAGGACCGGCCTAGAACAGAGAACTGGGGCTTTCTTTTGTCAGAAGACACACACTGGCAATGGAGTTGCCGGTTACAGCGAGAGACGAGGCTGGCAAAACTTTCTCGAAACACAGACGGACAGCAGCACAGGCCTGCAGACCATATGGTGTCTGCTGGAGCCACTCAGCTCTGCCGCGGTGGCACGAAAGCGGCCACAGACAATGTGACTCTAAGTGGGCCTGGCTGGCTTCTAGCGACACATTCTTTCCCAAATCTGGCGCCTGGTCCAGCTGGTGGAAGGTGGTTGGCATTGCTCTCGGGAGTAATTTTGGCGATCGAGAAAAAGCAGTCCAGCTGAGGGATGGGAAAGGCTCATTTAAGGAAAGAAGTAGGAACCATGGAAGGAAACTATTTTGAGAGATTTTTTTAGGCCACACCAACACCACCTCACGGACGACGACGTGAGGGGGGTGAGGAACAGGAAGGGCCAAGATGGGCTCAGGTCTCCCCACGCAGCAGGGACAGGTGCTCTCGGTGGACAGGGGGGACCAGCCGCTGGAGGCGCCCGGAAATTCCGGGAACATGGGCGCCACTTCAGAAAGGACCCCCGTGCCCTCGGAAAGGCGAGGGAGTGGCCACAAACTCAGGTGTCCCCCGGAAGGACGGTGTAACAAGAGATCGAGATGGGCCGTCCCCGGGCCCAGTGCCGGGGTTCCGGTAAGGCGCAGCACGCACACTCCACCCCGTTTCCCCGGCGACTGCCGTGGAAAAACCCTCCACGGAACACAGAGCAACCCCTGAAGGAGTCAGACATACCGGCTGGCCAAAAAGTTCATCTATTTTTTCCATACGATGGCTCTAGGAGTGCTTAGCTGTCTTTAACTTCATTTGAAACAATTTTGTTAGACTGTGTTGTAACAGCGGTCATCCCAGTGTGAATTTTTAAAAAAGCTGACCACAATGGGTCCATTTTTGCCCAGCCACTTTAATACTGAAGATGGAAGAGGATATGTAGCATGTGTGGCTTATTGTGCTTTATTATTTCAGGGAAGGTGAACACACACCTGAAAAACAAAAGGGATCTGTGCAGTGTACGGAGAAGGTGCTGCGACTGATCGGACGTGTGAAAAGTGCTTTGCAAAGTTTCTTGGTCCTGTTGACATTTTGGCCAAGTAATTCTTTGCCGTGGGGCTGTCTGATGCATTGGAAGGGGTTTAGCAGCACCCCTGGCCTCTGCCCACGAGAAGCCAATTCCCACTGGAATTTAGCTATTCCCACTGGAAATAGCTAAAATACTCAAAATACCCAAATCAATAAAGTTATTGGTGAAATATGAAAAATGTGTCTCTTATTTTATGGAAAATAAAAACCACATGGACTTTTGGGCCGACCCAGTAAATCAGAGCAGGAAGATCAGTCTCCGATGGCCACAGAGTGGACAGTGGCCTGGGTTTATTTGCTGCCTCTCGTCTCCCGGCGTGGCCTGCCCTGCCCCCCGGAACCGCGCTGGAAGACAACAGGACGCCCTCCCAGGAGAGCCCCGCCAAGGGAGGACAGCGAAGAGGACAGTGACGAGGACCGTCTGCGGGTGGAGCCCATGGGCTCCTCCGGGCCGCTCCGTGTCCCGGGATCAACACTGCAGACAAGCAGTGGGGACAATGGGGACGGTCATAAATGGCAGTGGTGGCTTCCACAGGCTCCCGGGCGTCACAGCTCGGCCCCCAGGCAGACCCAGCGCAGGGGGTGCCTCCCCGTGCGGAGAGCATCAAGTCTGGGCTCTGAGTGTTCTGGCTCTGATCGAGTCAGACAGGAGGCGAGGAGCCCGTGAGGACCGGAGAGCGAGGGGGATGCAGACACAAGGGAGCTGGAGGGGTGGGGGTGGGGCCTTTAACTTCCCGTGGGTGACGTCACGGGCTCGTCCCCCAGCTGCACAAGGGCAGGCAAGACCAGACTCAACGAAAGATGGTTTTGAGAAATAACTATGGTACAGGTGCCTGTCTAGGTCCCAGACTCCCCCTGGGCGACGACCTCATGCTGGAGAGACGAGAACAGTGCTGCAACGGCTTTGGAGACTAAACCAACTTTGGGGGGGTCCCCATTTTCAGAAGATGGTTCAGGGCGTGAGGTTTGAAACAAACTGGACTGTTGGCTAAACTTAAAAAAAAAAAGGTGAACATTCTCCAGGAGATTTTAATCAAAATCCAGAGTCTCACAAGATAATATTAAAGAATGTTCAGGATACAATTCAAAATGATTTGATAGTCAAAGAAACAGGAAAAACAAACAAATCTCAAAGGGAAAAGGCAATTAACAGATGCTAACCACAAGATGACTCAGATGCTGGAACGACAGACAAATAATATGAAGCAGCTATTATGACCACGTCCCATGGATTAAAAGTGGACGCTTTTTTTTCCCCCCCGCAAGGAAATGGAAGCCACGAGAGCCCGATGAAGAGTTTACAGCTGAATAACACGGTGGTAAACGGAGGTGGACATTTCTCTGGAAGGGCCCCCCGCTCACGGCACTGACCCAGGGGAGTCGGCGGCCTTGGAAATGGGCCAACAGGAATCATCCGATCTGAACGACGGAACACACAGAAATGGAAAAAAAACAATGAACAGAGCCCCAGGAAGTCATGGAACGACACCAAAAGGCCTACCCTCCCTTCACCGGAGTCCCGGGGGGGAGGGGAGAGACGGGTGCAGAAAAGTATTCGAGCCAACAGGCCCCGAAAGCGTCCTGGAGTCGGTGAAGGAAGCTAGCTTCTCCATCCAAGGAGTTCTGCACCCCCAAGAGGACAAACACGTAAAGGAAACCGTGCCCTTTAAGTCGTAACCCAACTGCTGAAAACCAAAGATCAGATCTTGGAAGTAGCAGAGTACAGGTCACAGGCCAGGGCCCGAGTTAACGACGGCAGATCCCATCGGAAACCGCCGTAGAGGCCAGCACAGCACCGGGGGCGACGACACTTGCCCGCGCGCTGAAGCGAAAGCACAGCCCGCCCGGAGCGCCGTCTCCGGCAAACGTGCCCCCCCTCCCCCCCCCCGGAGGGTGAGGGGGAAACACAGACACTCTCAGGCGAAGCGAACTAAGAGTTCTTCCCCACTGGATCGGTGTCAAAGACCTCTAGGTTGAGTGAAAGTGGTGACAGGGAACCTGGGAACTCCCTAAACAGAGAAAGAACAGTAGAAAATACCTAAGTAACTAATTTTGTCTTGATATTTTTATCCTTGACTGTTGAAAGCAAAAACTGTGACACTCTCTGGCGGGGACTTCGATGCCTGTAAACGCAACGCACACGGCGGCCACCACACAAGGCAGGGAGGGTCGAAGGGCCGGCCCCCACGGCTGCTGCCCCCACATTCACCGCGAGGTGGTAAAACACGAACTCTCGGCAGACTGTGAGAAGTTAGGTACGCATCTTGTAACCCCCAAAGCAGCCTTTAAAAAACTATGCAGAGAGATGTAGTAATATATATAATATATATAAAAATTAAAATGAAGTACAAAATGATCCGATTAAAAATAAATTTCAATTTTTAAAAAAATAGGTGGTTCCTCACCTGATACAGGGGTTGGAAACAGAGAACAAGAGACGGATGCATTACACAAGAAGCAAACTTCAGCTTAGAGGAGACATGCCTGCGCCCCCGGCCCTGACGCCAGGGAGCGGAGGGTGTGTCTTGGCGAGCACCTGGAGGCCAGCCCCGCCCCCACCCCCCGCCCTGCGCCAGAAGACGGGGTTACCTGTGAAGTTCTGCGCTTTGAGGTGCAGGTCGTAGAGTTTGTGGATGTAGCGTATGTACATCTCTTCCTTGTTCAGCTCGGTCTTGTAGAAGTTCTGGAAAAAGAAAGTACAATGTGGAGAGTTCCTCCGCAGTCAGGCCTGCGTGTATCTTGCTGTTACTCTGCGGAAGCTTCATCAAAGAGAAAGGATACTTTTTTTCGTACAAATGTCTCTAAAAGCAAGAAGTCAGGAGGCCTGGGGACATGGTTCTGATTCAACACTGCCTGGGTTCGCTCTGACCCAACGGTCGCTGGACGCGCAGGGAGCTTTCACAGGTGTTACCACTGCTAACTAATGTTTCTTTCGTGACTTTCTATTCTTTTTCGTTAAACTGTCAATAGGCAATCAGCCTATGGGAAAATATGTAAAAGAGCAACCTGCTTCTTAAACTTAATTGGTGATTTCGAGGGCGTTTCTTTCAAGTTTCAAACACATGTTTACATCGAGGAAAAATAAGACATAAAAGCAAGGATGAATAAAAAAAAACAATGTGAACGCATTTGTTCCCCAAAGAATGCTGTGAAAGAGGGGAAATGAAAAAACCCTTCACTGACACGGTGTCGTCTGGGATTTTCCCCTTGCGCTGGAGTTTAAGTATTTCTACTTTATGTACAAAGCATAAAGGGATTAACAACAACATATTTTGTTTCGAATTATCATTAGAGAGGCAAGCTTATTGAAAATACTGTATTTATTCATAAAGAAAAGTATCTGGGTCTTACTGAACTTCACTAACGCATGGTGATGTCATCAAACTCAACTTGGACTTCACCTGGGCGTGTGACCTCGGCATTCAAAGGCACATCAGCAGCCCCTGCCTCCAGCCCCACACCACATTAGACATACTTCAGCCCTCCCCGGACGGAGTCCACAGAGGAGCAAGCGGGCATACAGCTGGGTTCCAGCAAGAGCACGGCGCCGCGCAACTCCAGTGGGCACTTTCGGGAGTGGAGCACGGCGGGGGGGGCGTGGGGGAGGGCTCCCGCCCTGCCTGCTGCTGTCACTCTGACTGGGGCCACTTTGTATGAAGGGAGGACCATGGCGGGAGATCAATCTGAGGACCTGACCGAGTGACAGGCTTTTCCAAGGGGCAAAGGCCACAAATCCTGCAAGGTTTTGAAGCCAATTAGCTAGCGGGGGCTTTGGGGAGGGACTAAATTAGCCAATGCGGCTCCTTAAATTGTACTTGAGCTTGAAGCCTGAGCACTCTGCATACTGGTGCTCTGAGCACGTCTATCAGGGTCCTTTCTGGACACCGCCTCCTAGGAGCCCACTCCTCAGACGCTTCCAACCTTGAGACCCTGACATGCAGTCGAATGTAAAAATGATTTTTTTCCAACTTATACTCTCCCCCTCCCCCTTTTCCTCTTGTGTTCTATAGACCTGGGCGTTCTTTAAACAGCTCAGTAACAAATGCTCTGCACAGCTCTCATTATAATCCAGATCATTTTAATTAGCAAGAACCGCTGTACCGTAAACACAAATCTAACAACCCACGGCAGGTTTTTACGCAATTAAAGGATGGTGTGCTCTGATAGCTTCCTGGGAAGGCACAGCCCTCTTTGAAAACAAAGTAAGGGATCCCTTTGTAAGTGAACAATTCTGAGAGAGAGAGAGAGAGAATGAGAGCGAGAACTCTCATCACACGTGAGAATATTTCACGTAGTCTGGGAAAACTTGCGACACAGAACAAAACAACAACGACATTCCTCGCACGAGCCATGTCCAAGATCATGCGCGTTCACCGATTTGACACTCCAGCTGAACTCTGAGGGTGCACAGAAAGCCAGGGCCCTCCCGAAGTCCAGCTGGAGCTGACCCCCCAACAGTGGGGAGGACCCCTGGCAGGAAGCGAGCGGTTGCAGGGGAGAACCGAACTGCTGTGAGGAAACACCAAGAAGCCGCCAGATGGGGCGGAAGCGGGAAAGATCAGCTTCGGTGTTACGTATCTGCTTCTTGAATCAGACGTGTTCGTGTGCTGGTGGAAATGAGAACAGCTTTCCAAATGGTAACATTTTCTAGAAGAACTATTCTCAGCCACTGCAAGCTAACTGGATAGATTCTTTGTGGCCACTGATCTTATTAAGCATTTGTTCCTTCCTTCGGGGAGATGAGAATAAACACATTTGGGGCAGAGTATTAATTCCTTCGTCTGAGGAAGCAATCCTTGTGCTATTCCGCTTGAGGCAATGAACTTGGGGAAATGGACCTGTACCTGTTTCCCTCCAGGCAGCAGGCACTGCGAGAGAAGGTGGAGGCAACAGGGAAAAACTCTTTTGGAAAACGGTGCAGCTTTCCTGTGACATTATTCATGAGCCTTTGCCTGGCGCTGGGGCAGAGCCAGGAGTCAGGAGACACACAGAGAAGAACCTTAAAGCTGGGCTTCCCTCCCCACACATGCAAGCAGGGAGCTGGGGCTCAGGATGCGGACTGGAGTGAGAGCTTGGGGGTGAAAAAAAACCCCGGGGAAACGCAGACAGGAGGTTTACAAGTGGGAACAAACTTAGTCAAGTTCGAGGTTAGAGACTCACATGGAGAGGGGAGGGAAGTGGACTGACCCAGCGAGCCTGGCCCGACGACCCGACCCGAGGCTGCCGCCGAGACCACTGGCAGGTTATGGGAGACCGTGCGTGGCGAGGTGCGGCCCGCGGGAGGGTGCGCGGGCCTCGCTGTTCTTAGAGGCTGGTGTCGGAGGTGGAGGTGTAACAATTAACTCTGAGAGGCGGAGGAGGAGGAGGAGGAGGCGGCAGCGGTGGGTGTGGGGAAGAACAGGGCAAGAGCTCAGAGATGAAGGCAGTGCGGTGAGAATAGGGCAGGGAAACGGAGCTGGCCGGGGTACAGAAGGGGGCGCTGAGAGCCGTGAAGGGGGGCCGTGCCCCCGGGGGATACACAGAACCTGACGCGGCCCCGCACGACCCACCGAAGCCGCTGAGGGAGGCCGGCAGCATGGGGGGGGGGGGCCCGAACAGGCTGAGCCCGGGCGGACACCGGACAGTCAGCGCGGGAAAATCACATACTGGGACTCGACGGCGACGTCCCATTCCCTCTGCGACCCGAGCCCGGGAGAGCGCGAGGCTCACAGGTCTGCAAACGGAAGCAGCCGCAGGCTCCTGCCTTCCAGATCTGGTTACGGGAAGTCACCCCGGCACCAACTCACGTGTGTGAGCACTGACAAAGGGTGTGTGTGCGAGTGCGCGGCCATCGCTGTGCCCCACGGCGAGCGCCTCGCTCAGTTTAACCCCTAGTTGTGAGACGTGTAAGCACGGACGCAGCTTTCCCAGGGCGGGTCTGGGGGAGCCTGCTAGCCTCACATAGTATTTCCTCTGACCCTCAAAACTAGCTCCTTTGGGTCGTAAAATATATAGGATCGTCCTACGTCTAGTCCAAACCTTATCTAGTAGCGGCCTAGCAGGGTTAAGGTACAAGGAAGCCGGAGAGTAAAAATCAGTGTGTTTACCAGAAAGCTGCCAGTCCCGAAAGAAGAGATCACTGACATGTACTAATTAAGGGTGAAAAGAAAAGCACAGAGTTCTCCCTGGGGGCGCTGTGCTCGTTGCCAGAGAGCGGCAGAGGCTGGGGAGTGCAGGGCCCGGCCACAGGAGCACGAGGGCGCGGGGGCGGGGGGGGGGGGGGCCATGGGGGCTGCTGGGACCCTGGGGGAATCGGCAGTGCGAGGGGCAGATCACTTTCTGGGATTTAATTCAACCTGAAGCTCGCTGGGCTTCTTTTAGGCGTACTTGTAAACTCGTCTAAGAAACGACCAGGTGAAAACTCACTGTGGACAGAAACCACACAAAATGCACTATTTCTGTAAAAACAAAACAAAACACAGTGTTAGGCTACAGGGGGGAGGGGCGGGCAGTGGGTTACTAACCAGAAGGCTAACTGTGCAGCCAATCTTCTTGCCGTCCACCTCCCCCATTTTCATGCAGTCCCTGAAAACAGAAAGCAACAGTCAGAACTCAGAACTCCCTGCCTAGGGCCGAGCTCAGAGGGTACTTTTAGGGAAATAAGAGGCAGGTGGCCGCTCAGATTAAGGCTGAGCAGCTGGAGGAACTTCCCAGGGCTGCAGGATCCCAGGTGGGGAGGGGGCTGACCCCCAAGCACCCACTGCTGCGGAGAAGTTCCCCTCCAGGGGGAGGCGCCCCCTCCGCGAGGCCGGGGCTCCGGGAGGAGAAGTGAAGGGGTGTAATCACACAGTGCACCTCCCGTGTGGGCGAGAAGGGGCGGGTAAGCCGGGCTGTCAACAATGGGGACGGGGGGCCTTGTTCTCAGAGTGAGACAAAAACACCACACATCGAAGTGGGCCAAACTGCTTGAACAGTTTAGATCATTTAAACATCTAAAAAATGATGGCTATAAAAAGCAGCACGATGGTGCAATTCTCTGTTCCACTGTCTTCACCCTAAAACTGATGGATCTACTTACTGGCTTGGCTCGCACAGCCAAGTCCAGATAAGAAACCAACAAAAACCCCTTTGACAATGGGACCTGAGAACCCCCTCCACCCGCCGAGACTTTGAAAGAACTGCTGACCCACACGAGACAGAAAGAAAGGGGGGAAACCCCACATAAACACTGTGCCAGCGAGTTCCAAGCCCATGATCTCCGTGCACCCGGCCCCCTTGCCCCCGTGTGCGGAGACGCACGTGTGCGTGAGGGCCACCACGCCCCGGGCGGCCTCCCCGGGGCGCAGCACACCAGGAACCCGCGGCACGTGGCTTACCTGTAATCCAGCAACCTCTCCATCAGCCGGGTCACGGTGGCGATTAACGAAACCCCACTTTCCCGCCATGTTTCCCGCTCGATTTTCTTCAGCAGACTGGGAGAGAGAGAGCCCGGGGCATTTTTAACGTTTATTTTTATCAGTCGCCATGACAACCATTTTACTTTCCTCAGCACCTTACATGTCTTAGCAACCACCGCCACGTCGTACAAGGAGCACAATTTGCAAACAGCGTCTTACCTAGGGTAGGGACCAAAGAGTGGAATTCTAATCCGGGAAGCATTGACAAAGCAAATGGATGTTCAGATTATCCAAGGCATCAAGTACGAGCACATGCACAGAATCACATTTCCCAAGACAGACGAGCACGCCTCACAGCCCGCAGACACTCCTCTCCCGGCTCCTCTGCAGTGGGAGCAGGCTCGCGCCCCACCCCGTCGGGCACCCTCTCGGCCAGCCCAGCCAGACCGGCGGCACCTGCGAGTCTGTTCTCCTACCTCTCGGTGGAATGCATCCTCATCCGAGCAACCCCACCGCACGGCACGGCAGTGCCACAGGAAGGTCCCAGTGCAGACGGCGTGACGCGTGGCGTCTCCTGGCTCACTGAGCATTTGCCCACTCGCTGTGGAGTGTACTATCCGCGCGCTCGCTCCCCAGTTCCACTCCCCGCGTCAGCAGCCACCAGGCTTTCTGTGCGGCGCCCCCCCTTCCCCGCGGGCTGCTGCCCGGCCCCCAGCCACACCCACACCCACACGTGCCTCCTGCCTCCCCCGACCTCCGGCACCTCGGCACGGAGGCACTCTGTGAACAGAGGGTAACTCCAGTTGCAACAACTAGCGTCTGCTCCCCTCTCCTCCCTGCCTCTCGGCAAGTTAACCGCACGGTGGGCAGCGCCTGAGAGCCTGAACGTGCCCCGGGGAGCGGGGCCAGAGCGCAGGCACGGCTCTGCGAGGACACCCCCCCCGTCCCTCCGAACCGAAGGATCATCCCTCTGTCCACAGTCTTGTGTGTCCTTCGTCCTGGGCGCAGAAATCGCCGGGAAAAGGGTTCTCACACAGAGCGCAGCCCCAGCCTGCGGTTCCACTCTGTGCTCAGTGGGAAGGGAGGGAGTGCAGGGAAAAGCTCCGCCGTCTCTCTGGTTTGTTCCGCGCCGTGTCCTAGCTGGCGGTGGGGGCGGGGCAGGTAGCATATGAAAGGGTGCAGCTTTCCCTGACGGACCCGCCCAGGGGGAGGCCCCCTCGTTTGATTTAAATGTGTTTTCGTTAAAAACAAACATACAAACAAAAACCCCTCGGAACAGCATCTATTTCGAGCTTAAATGCCAACGTGGCGCCGAACCAAGAGCTGAAACGCAACCGTGCCTGCCAAAGCAGCGCGGGGTGCCACGGAAACGGCCCCAAGTGGCAGCCCACACCTCCTGTGCTTTAGACGCTGAAAGACAAAGAACCCGAGTTAAGTGATCGCTCTAAAAATACACAGAGGCTTTGCAGGGGTGTGAGTGGGGCTCCTGTGCACAGCCTCCCGAGGCAGGAAGGAGCCGGAGCGTCTTGCAGGGAGAGGCAGAGCTCTGCACGGCCTGCTCCCCTGACGGGCCCAGCACCCACAGGTGGGGCCCAGCGCGCGGGCTTCTACAGCCAGCTGGTTCTTTGGGTCGAAGCTCGCCCTCCAGTCGCACCTGATACAAACCCCAGGCTACCGGCGGGGGGGGGGGGGGCTCCCTAGTTGGCCTGGGGGAGGCGGGGTATTTTCAGTGGGTCCATAATCCAGCCCACGTGCCCCGGTGAGTACACAGGGGACTCGTCCAACGACAGCACGAGGCGCTAGCTACTTCGTGCGAATAGACAGTCAGCGGGGGACCCACGGCGCTGGGCTGCAGAGTGACGCAGCGCCCAGCAGGTTTCACTCCAGGAAGGAAGCTTGTGGGGTGGGGGGGCGTGGACTTGACCCTCAGGCTACCTGTCTGTGTGTCAAGCTGGGTTGTGCTGGGGCTGTCACGCGTACTTAAAGCACCTGTGTCTGCACGCTGTCTCAGTCTGCACAAAAGCGTCAGGTGCCTGGGGGACAGATCACGGAGCGAATCCTGTGTCTCCAAACTACAACCTGCTGTGATGGCCGAGTAAGTCTCTCAACTGCTCTGGCGTCTTACTGGACTGCTCAGAGCAGCACAGGGGGGAAACCCGAGACGGGGGTTACCTCTCCTGGAAGCTCCCCCAGGACCCCCCAAGGCTGGGGGTCCCCCGCCACGTGCTCCCCCAGCCCAGTCCCGCCTGCGTCCCCGGCCCGAGGAGCGTCCTGGCATGGGCCGGGGCTCAGTCAAGCCTGGTGAGCGCTTCAGGACCGCCAGGGGGAGCCCGGTCCGCGTCTGACCCTCTGTTCTGAGCACTCACACTGGCGTCCGCGATCCGCAACATCTGCGTTATCGAGAGCGATCAGCCCCGACCCTTGCCTCAGAAGTATGCAGCATGGGTAGACCCAGACGACGTCAGGGTTGGAGGGAGCAAGACGCGCGAGTGCCTGGGAAGGCGCCGTCGGAATGGAAAGGCTCACACTAGGGCAGCTGCTACGTTTCAGGAGCAGGGAGTCGCTTCCGGCTCCTGAACTAACTTCCAGGAGTCCCAGACAGCCAACGGGGCTCCGTCCTGTGACCGTGCAGCAGTGGGTCGCTGTGACGGTGCTACTTCGCCCCGATTCCCACGGCCAAACAGTGTGTTCCCATCACCCGAAATGCAGGTGGGTTTCCACTTCCTTTTCTGGGCCCAGGTAGCAAAGAGGATGTAATGATCACCTCGTCGGGTTTCATGTGTCCCCACTGCGCTGATCGTCCAAGCAGGAAAGGAAAGTATCTATTGTAACACGTTTCTAGTATTATGCCAAAAAAAAAAAAAAAAGCACAGCACAAGAATAAAAATCCCCATTGAATAAACCAGGCCCTTTAAATAGTCCTAATTATAGATGATTAATATGTTAAACATTGCTGTGATTTCAACGCCAAGGCCTCTCCGCTGTTTCAAAGTCCCGTTCACACAGCGGCGATCCAAGCTGCTCACTCGCAGGCCGCCACTGAAGCAGCCGCAAGGCGCCACGGAAGCGAGCGAGGGGCTCTTCATCTTGCGCATTTATTACCAAAATTAATCCCGAATCTCAAGAGACTCATTCCACTGAGTGCCTTCTCATTTAGTGCTTTGTTCGAACAAAGGCCCCGTGACTGGCACGAGGGCTGCTTTCAAGAGCAATTCATTACAGCGGACGGGGTTTTAACCAGCGTCCTCGCTCCACGCCAGTGCTGTGGGGGGCTCCCGCTTTGCCCACGCGAACGGAGGCGGGCTTGCTGGACACTGACTCCAGCTCCAGGGCAGCGCAGCGCCAGGAGACGCAGCGCCGTTCGGGATTCCGTGCGCAGAGGGAGGGCATTGTCGCCCCCCATCCCCCGCACTGCCACAGGAAATCTGCACACCCGTCCTTGGCTCGTCTTTTCCGCAGAATCTTCTTAAAAGCTTCAGGTAAGATCCTGAATCAGGCGAGTGGAAGTCTCCCAGTCGCCAGCAATACTTTCCAGACCTAGGTGAATTCTTACACCCAGGGCTCCGAGCTGTGAGCGTGAGTCAGTGCTCCAGCGCTCCTGCTCACTTTCGGGCGGGCCCCGGGCACAGGAAGCACTGGGTAAGTGTGCAGGCTCGAAAGCGACGAAGGTGCACAGAACGCCGGAGAGAAAGCAAGTGCTGGCCTGAGAATCCTGAACACCCTTCCGTGTCCACAGGGCCACGTCCCACGGCAGACAGACACCTGCAGCAGCAGCCCCTCCTGGGACGCGCCCCTCTCTGCTGATGAGGACGATCTCGGTCCCTTGCCCCGTCCCCAATGCAGAATTCACTAACAATGACTCGCTCCTGTGAGTCTCTAACAGGAAACTCTCAGGGAGCCACAGACGCCGCCCCGGCCAGCGGCGCAGCAGGACGACAGCAAGTGCTGGAGGGTGGATGGGGACTGGGGACTGGGGTCCAGTGGCCAGGCCTTGCAGGGCACCGCGCACCGACACAACAATCACGCATTTTGGGTCTCCTCCCCCTCTCAGCCCACCTGGAAGCCATTCTCCTCCCACCCCGGTTCGCAAGTTCCCGGGCAGGAGGAGGGCGAGGGCTGCCCTGGGCCACAGGACCTGTCCCGTTGCAGACGAACATGAGACAAGTCTAACCATCAGTACAAGCCGACCCGTGTGCTGGAGTCAGGCCAGCCCCCTGGACCTCCCCCTCAGCAAAGACAAAGTGCACCCGTGAGCCCCAGCTGCTGCCGCGCCACCCAGCTGCGCACTGCCGATGCTAACCCCCGGCTGGACCCCACGGCGGGGAAATGCTACTCACATACTGTTGAAGAGCTCACGGTAGGTTTCGTCACCTTTGCCTTCGGACATCAGGCTGTCCAGTTTGTCGATGAGCCTGGTCTCCACCTGAAACACACCCAAGTATGACTCCCTGCCCCGCTCCACGGGCGGCATGTCCTGGCAGATGGAGACAGAGACCTCGGCAGGAGGACACGCCACGGATGACTGCGTGTGGGAGTGGCACGAGCCACTGTGGTTAACGGCAGTCTCCCCACCCCACCCTAGGCCTCGGCACCCCCAGGGGCGAGCTCAGACGGAGCAGCCTGGCTTCCAGCACCTCCCCACGGGGTGGCAAAGCACCTACTGGTTGCATGCCACCCAAACGCTAGTGGCCCAGCTCCAACCTTTGAACCCTGTAGGAGCTATGAAAACTGGCAAACCATTTCTTCTCTTAAAAATCACTATGCATGCATATGAACATCAGTCAAGTAACAGATCCTTGAACATTAACTTAAATCTTTGATGTGTTTTCTGGTTTTGCTTTTTTTATTTTGCTCGAACAGGTCGAGGCTGCACAGAGCCCGACCAGCAGGTGAGAGGCGCCCGTCCACGCACAGGTGGGGCCCTGGGATGCTCTGTGTCAGCAGTGAGCAGGGGGAGGGAGGGGGGACACGGCTCCCGAGCACCGTGGGCCAGACGGCCCTGCCTCCCAGAAGGACAGTCCCCCAGGCTTGATGGCACCCGAGCCAGCGGGGGAGACAGAAAAGGACAGACCTCTCCAGCCAGACACCTGGATAAGCGGGGCCTGCGGAAGGGCCTGACTTTGTCCCAGGACTTGGGCCCACTCGCTCCTTGCAATCTCGTGTCAGTGAGGGGGCGGAGACCAAAGGGAGTCGCAGTGGCCCCCCCACCCCCCAGTACAGTGCTTCAGCGGCCTCTCAGTCAGCTACTCGCTTTCTCGGAAGCCAAGGTAGACACAGACATGGGCGAAACGCCAGGCTTTCGGCCACAGGACAGTTCTGTGCAGGCCCTCGGCTTGCTGGTCAAGTGGGTGGTGGGTTTTCTAAGATGCGAGCAAGGTAACTTCACTGGGAGGAGACGAAGCATGCAGGCGAGTGCATGCAAGTGAATGCAGTGCAGGTGAGAACAGTAGGAGTTAGTGTAGTTCAGGTGAATGTAGTTCAGGTGACTGGAGTGCAGGTGAATGCAGTGCAAGTTGAGTGCATGTGGTGAGAGCACAGGGGCGAGAGCACGCGGATAAGTGCACTTCAGGTGAAAGTACGCAGGTGAGCGCACGCAGGTGAGCGCACGCAGGTGAGCGCAGTGCCTAAGAGCACAGAAAGGAGTCCTCGTGTCTGCAGCCTGAGCGACACGGCAGGGCGGAAGCAGCTGACTTCTGACACAGTCTGGCTTTGGAAGGAGAATATGCATCTTTTCCAAAACCGGACCAGAGCTATGAGAACCTACACCGACAAAAAAAGATAGGTTCCTCTGCTCGGAATCTCCTGTGCAAGAATTTCCACCGCTTTCCCCTTTAAATTAATCCTCAACGCTTGGAGCAAAGAGGCATCACAGGTGCCGCGCCTCAGAGGCTCAGAGCCGTCCCCGCGTATAATGAGCAGACCACCGTGAGCCCGATGGTTTTAAGGCTCGTTAACCTTCTGACCCCCCGTGTCGTGTCCGACGGGGAGCAAAGGAAGTCTCTGCCCGTCCTTAAACACAGACATGGGAAATCACACCACTTTTTAGCTGAAACGGAATGAAATGGCTTTTCAGGGCTTCCCGGAGGCGCAGGGCAATGCAGGACCAGGGGCGTGTCCCAGGCCTCAGGGCCAGGAAGGGGCCGGCCGGGCGGGACCCTGCCCTGCTGCGGGCTAGTCGTGCTCAGCCAGGACCGAGGGGCGGCCCCACCTGCTTGAAGTTGCCGCTGCGCCTCTGCTCCCAGTCCATCATGTCGTGGAAGATGGGGATCACGACGTTGCGCAGGTCCGGCTGCGGGATCAGGGTCACCTCCAGGAAGGGGCCGATCAGGGCGGGGATGAAGTGGAGCTTGTGTTCTCCTGAATTGAATAAAACGGTTGCGTTTCAGGCTCGTGCATCTTAGTAGGACTTCAGAAAATTAACACTACAAAACGTGTTTAAAACTACTTTAAGTACCGTTGTCTCCGTTATTACCCTCTCCTCAAGTGAGGACAGATTTCCTGAAGCAGAGATGTAAGCAGTAAGTTTCAACGTGCTGGTTAATTTAAAACTAGAGAATTTGTTTTTTCAGTTATAAAAAAGCCCCCAGATACAATTAAAAATTATATAAATCACCAGGGGTCGGTTGTATCTGCCCGAGTATCTGCCCGAACACTCGCCCACTGGAATTTCTATGCTGCCAATTGATGAATGAGGCTGAAGGGCAAGCAGGTAAAGGTCCTCAGTGTCACGAACTGGAGAGGTCAGGCGCCCCTTCCACACAGGGGTGTCACACTCATCTTCACCGGGGGCGGGGGGGGCCCACGTCAGCCTCGCGGTTGCCTTCGAAGGGCCGAGTGTAACTTCAGGGCTGTGTAAATGTAGCTACTCCTCAACAGTTCAGCGAGAGTTTGGTGCTGCCTCCAGGCAGAAACAAGGTGCCCGGCCGGATACAACAAGGGGGAGGCCGGATTCGGCCCGCGGGCCTTGTGTCTGCCCCCTGTGCTTTAGAACAACGTGCGACAGCCCAGAGGACATTCCCGAGGGCCGCCCCGGTCACTGCCTCCCGGTGGGGGGACTGCAGGGGACTTTTATGTACAAAAAAGGGGGTTGCAACCTGTATACATATTTTTTACATCACAAACACAGCCTAAATAAAAATCTACATGGTGGTCCCAAAGAAATGGATTTATCGTAACACATTTCTGAAAAGGCTGCACTGTAACAAAGGTGAACCCAAAACGGTGTGTTAGCAAGCCTCAGAGGTATGGGACTAGTAAGGGGGAGGAAGGGGTGTGGAGGGCGGGGTGGACACGGAGGGCGGGGTGGACACGGACAGCGCCATCTGGCAGATGAGTGTTGAGTTCGGTCCATCACCCTAATCACCTGTGTTACGTCTCATGGTTTCTATTTTTATCAGGAGACATCTGTGCGCTGTGGAAAACGCACGGTTTCTCCAGAGCAAACCCTCAGCCTCCACTTACGGCCGCCCAGGACGGGGCGGGGAGTGGGCGGAAGTCACCGCGCTCCCGGAGAGGACCATCTGCCCGTCTGTCTGCTTCCCGCCTTCGAGCTCTGGTATCTGACCCTGAGGTCAGACACACACAAAAGCCATACCGTGCGGAGTTGCCTGCCCACTTTGGAACTCCTGCCTTCTCGCTGATTTGCTTTGTTTGAACTGGAAGGCATTCGGGCGGCCATGGAGCTTGGACATGTATATAAATCCAGGCACGAACAGAATTTAATTTCCCGTGGACGTGGGGGTGTGTCAGAGGAAGGAGAACGTGAAGGGAAGGGTGGGGAAGGAGGGAGAAGTGTCGGATGTGGTCAGAGGTGGGCAGGCCCACGTGGGTGTCGGGGAAGCCACTGCTTTTGCGACTGGAGTGCCGCACGACAGCCCTGCCGTCTCCAGAAGGGGGTCCCACCCTGGACCCCAACACCATGGGCACTCAGCAGGACTCCGCCGGCAGCCCTGCCCGTCCGAAAGCCCCTTGACCGTGGTCGCCGAGGTCACACAGTCCCTTCCTCTCCCCCGGAGACTTCGTCAAAGGCCACTTCACCGTCTCTCCCCATCTGTGAGGGGCGCACCCCCACTCCGTGGTGGAGGCAGGACACTGGCTGGTGACTCCTCCTGCTCCCCACCCTGAGCTTAGCCGGCCTCGCCACCAGAACTTTCTTACACATCGTAAGAAGCGTCCTTAGTAACAGGACCTGCTTTTATTTTCCTCCCAAACCAGCAGCACGTGCAAGACCGACAAAGACACTGCGGCAGAATCTACACCCGTGTGCGTTCCTCTGCCCGCACCCCCTACCCCCGCCCCCTATGCACACTCTGAGCGGGCGGCTAGCACCTGCATTTGCCCTTCTTTCCCTTGGCTATTTTTGTCGGGGCAGACAGCAGAGAACCTGAGCTCAGGGACTCACTGTCAGCGGTAAAAGCCAGACGTGCTCCGGGGTTGTCCAAGGTGTCCTGGAGGGCAAGTGGAGGGAAGGGAAAGGGTGGGGGTGGGGGCGTGGATCCTGTACAGACAGAAGCCCGCAGGTCCTGCAATGGGCCAGCCTGACTCCTGCTCCCTGGCCCAGCCCCAGGAGACGGCTGCAGGGGTTCAAGGTCTCCCACCAGTGCTCCGGCACTGCCACCGCCGGGCAGAAACACGAACGGAGGACAGAGGCCACCCCGGCAAGGACTAATAACCAGAAGGGCCTCCCAGGACACTGGGGGTGGGGGGATGGGAGAGGCAAAGAATTCAGACTAACGTGGGACTCCTGCCAGCGGGAGGTCCCACCAAATATGCGTGGGTGGGATGAGACGTAGGGCCACCACTGTGACCTCCCTTGCGACCTTTCCAGAGCCCGGCAGCCTTCGGCCTCTCTAGCGAATGTCATCACAGCCTTCCTCTAGTCCCCAGCAGTTTCTTAGGAGCACTTTCGAATCTCTTTTTTAAAAAAATCTCTTCCATCATCTCTAGACAGTTCATGGACTGATTTTCTTTTCAGAACTTTTTTTACTATGAACAATCTCCATGCATACAAAATTGCCAGGAACAATACAACAAATCCTCACCTACCCATTATCTAGTTGATAGTTATCAATGTTTTCGACCAATCTTGCTCACCTACTGCCGCACCTTCTCCCCCCCCCCAGGGCATCTTAAGCCAAGTGTCAGCCATCCTAGCTTTTACTTGTACACACGTGGGTAAGCATCCCCAACAGGCGGGGTGTTTTAGAACTATGGACTCACAATGCCTTTATCTCTCTTAACAAAGGCCAATGGTCATTTCTTATATCGATCTAAAAACATGGCATTTACAGTCGGTTTCTTCCAGTCGCAACCCCGAGTCCTCGGGCTGCATCTTGCAGCCGCCTTCTCCCCGGGCGGGCAGGAGAGCGGCCCTGCCTACCTGTGAGTCGCTGCGCGGGGACGCCTCACCTCCGGACCTGCCGAGAACACGCAGGGGGACGCGGCACCCGCGCCAGCCCCTCCCAGCCCCCCACCCCAGAAACCCAGGTTCTGACCCCGTCAGCAAAGCGAAACCTTGAGCAAAGCATGTGTGGCGAGAGCAAAAGCGAGGTCATCGAAGAGACGTCCTCCGAGAGCGCAGGCTGAGGACACCTCGTCTCTCACCGCCCGCCACGTGGTCTCGTTTGGAAGAATTTAGGGCGCCCGAGACTGGGGCGGCTGGGGTTTTACACGTGTGCACATAGAGGAACAGGCGCCGGGGAAAGTATTGATTCTTCCACGGCAGCTACAAGACGCCGTGTTTGCCAATGTGGAAGAAGGAGCCCGTTTATATTTAGCAAGAATGTTAGTTCAACTAAAAATAGGGAGGAAAAAACTGAACCTTGCAACGCGCTGGAAGCCGAATGTGGGGCAGGGTGGGGAGGAGGAACCCGTCTCTCCGCAGACGACTCCTGCGAGCGGCTGTAGAGACACGTAACATTTCGGCGGCAAATGTGCACCGTCTCCCCTCTCCTGGCAGAGCACTCTTAGTCCTTGGACTTAGAGAATGAAGAGACTGAGCAGTGACACTGAGGAAAAGGCGCTCCCCTGTCTCTACTAGGTCTTCACTCTTGAAAAGTAAATTATTTGATCAAAACCACCATGACACGCCACCTCACGCCCAGGAGAGCGGCTGCCGTAAGGACACAAAATAACAAGTGTTGGCGAGGACGTGGAAGGAGGCGCTGGGGCCTCGAGCACGCTGGTGGGGAGGGGGGCTGGGAGGGGCGGCCACTGCGGGAACAGCGAGCCCGCCTCCAGCCTTGGACGCGGAGCTGCGGCTGTTCCCGGGCAAATCCCAGCAATCTGTTTAAAAGCCGACCGACCGCTGAATTGCGAGGGCCCTGATTTCCCAGTCCTCCGAGGACGCCAGACAAAGCCCGTGTACTCCTAGCACGTGGGAGAACCCCCACGCTTCTGCGGTAGACGCCCGTGGCTGGAATCTGACGCACGCCTGTTGGCCGGTAACCCCGGTGTCTGCGGACCGACCGGCTGGGTGGTGTCCGGTGGCAGACGGTGCCATTAGTGACGCTGGGCATCCGCTCTCTGCGTTTACTTCCTTGGACTTAGTGATTGCTGTCTCTACTGACGATGACAGGATCTTGACTTATGAAATCATAAAAGTTTATTTGCTTTACTAAAACAGGTGAATTTATCTATATCAAGCTCCCCCCCATAAATTGAAGGAAAAATTTAAAATACAAGGTTTAATAGCTAACTTCTTAATAGGAATGGACCATTTTTTTTCTTGTACCCCCCCAGAATCACTTGCATGTAGCCAGTGCTTTATGAACTACAGTAAATTGAATTTATTAGCCTGTTCCATTAAAAAAATAAAATCTATAATTATCTAAAATATGTTTCTTTCATATTCAAAATACTCACTACGGTATATTGATAGGTAAACTGAATTGTAACTAATGTATTTTGATACGCCTAAGTAACAAGCTCACTTAAGGCCTGTAAGGGGTGTTCAAATCCTACCTGGAATGCTTGATTTTTCTGACCACTTTATAGAAATATACACTGGCAAAGGAGCTTCGACTTCTCTGAACATTTCCCAATCTAGCTGCCGTACAATAGGAATGACCTCTGAAATTCACCTAATGCTTTGGAAGTCTCAGAAAACTTAGGACACCACTCTGGGGAAATAAGGAAGAAGCCACGGAATGAAGTGAAAATTGCCACTCACCGGGGCCCGCCCGACCTCCGCCCTGCGGGGGGCGAGCAGGGGACGAGTGGGGGCGGGTGGCTGAGTGCAGCGGGGGTGACCAGCCTGCTCCAGCGGGGCCCGTCTCCTGGGCTGGGCACACAGGACGGGCCAGCGCCCCCTAGGGCAGCGCTTCCACATCTGCAACCCCGTGCCCGGGAGCGGCTGCAGGGCGTGCAAGCTCAGGGGCTGGGCCCGCCCCCGGGGCTCTGGTCCAGCGGGTCTGGGGTGCCACCCAGACCCGCGTCTTCTACAAGCTGCTGGGGACACTTGTGGCGGGTCCCCGAGCGCCCCCATTCTGAGTTCTGACATGGCGGTGCATGACGGGGCCAGCACACACACAGGCTTTCACACTCTCTAGATCTCCCAGGAAACCAAAGAAGTCATTGAGCCTAAACAGTTTCATTTTGAAGACAGAACAGAGAAGAAGAGTTGACGACGTACACGGTGACACCTCCCGGGGCCAGCTCTACGGAGCGAGCCGGGGCTCCTGGGCCCACGTGCACGGCCACGTCCGGCCGGGAGAGAGGCTGACGCACAAACAACCGTACGCAGCGATGCTAGGATTTCTAGAACACTCTGGTCATCCAGACGACTCCGTCCTGGCCTGCCCACTGAGCCTGGACAAGAGCCTCAATCCACGGTCCCCCCAGAGCATTTCCACGTGGCATTCTCTGGAGACCACCTCGCTAAATTAATGCCGATGCCATACGGACACTCCGAGGGCCTCGGTCTACTCCTGGGAAATGAGGGCACGGAGAATGACCGCAACGTGACCACGGGCAGGAGTGCTCTGCAAAGGGGACAAACGGCTGCTCCTCCTGAGCGGCCTCTAGTGACACGCCCTGGGCTCCTCAGACGGCTGGACGCTGCTCTCTGGACACGCGCTCTCTTTTCCTGATTGGACCAGCAGGCGGAGGGCACGGAGCTCGATGACCCGCACGGCAAGGCTCCCTTGAACTGCTGTGTGTGTGTGTGTGTGTGTGTGAGAGAGAGAGAGAGAGAGAGAGAGCGAGCTGCACACACCCTGGGGAAACACCGCTCTAACATGAATGAGGTCTAACGATGATGCCTCTATTCCCACGCACAGAAAACATACCCCGCCGCCTCCGAGCTGCGCTCGGATGGGCCCGAGAGAAAAGGCACCTTCAGGTCACTGCACATTCAACTCAAAGAGGCTCATCGTTTAGCAAATCACGAGGAAGAACACCACGCAGCGGCAGAGGATGAACACTATACACGTGCACAGGTAACGTACCAAACAGGAAGTAACGTGCCAAACGAAGGAAGTAAATAACAGAAACCCTCTGCCAATGGGATTCTAGAACAGCCTCTCTTCCAAGTACCGTCATTTTCTACGTAACCAGACCTGTGGCATCGGTCTGCTGGAATAATTCGCTCTGTCTGCTGTGGCTGATTCACAGAACTGACCTAGTAGTTTCTTAGCAACTGCAGACACTTTTAGATCCTTTGGTTACAGTATTCATGATATAGGTCAGTGGTTTTAATTTTTTAAGAGTCGTGACACTCAAGTCAATTTTCATGAAGTTTAACCACATTTGTTATGATTCACAGCCTCAGTTCAGAGTTCTAGAAATTTGGAGGTGTTACAATTTCAAATTTCGACAGGTTAATTGTGTATATTACTGGAGAGCTGGTAGATTATACAATTTATCTTTCACTGATCATGAAACAGATAAAGATAAGGTGGCTTGCTTCAGCCAGACACCAATTTAAAGAATTAGCCACTACCCTCTCCAATGCCGTGTCATTAGTTCCTCTAGTCTAGACAACTTAATTGATTCAGACACTTGGGTTCCCGCGCTGTCATCGGGAAATCGCCAGCCTCACTTGGGCACTCCTGGGCACAGTGAGAAGCTGCGCGATGCAGGTGGCTACTCTCTTCCTCACTTACCCAGGTTCTGCCACATGCTGAAAACCTCACAGCCCATGGTCACCCGCATGTCACCATACCTGCAAGAGAACAGAAGTCACTCCTGACACCCAGCCCCCGGAACAAAGAAGCATTTGTGTCTCTTTAGGACACACTCTCGAACCCTGAGTTCAATGACAGTACGTGTCTAATTAAAGACGTTTAATGTGCGGGACTTGATGCCTCCAATTCAAACCTTCATATCAATCCTTCAGTAAAACAGATTTGTCTCGTAATTTTCACTTTGACAGGAATGTTGAATCCCGAAAGACTCGGGACAGAAAAAAAAAGCTTAAATAGGTTCAAAATACTGAAACTGCCAGAAAAGCTGGCTTCTGGTCCTCTCGCTCATTATCCCTCCGCTGCAGTTCCCAGTGGCGGACGTCTGATTTCTGAGTCACTTCAGCCGAGCAGCGTGGAAAAGGGACAGCGCTGGCTGTGTCCCCTATCCCCCCTGGTCAGACACCGGTACTTACTTTTCCAATACCTTTTTCTTTTTGGAAGGTGTGAACATCTCCAACTGCAGACACAACTGGTTTATAAAAATGACGGCGAGGTAAAAGTAGGAGTCCCAGATCTGAAACGAGAGCAGAGTGTTTAAGTCTACGGTGTCCTAGAGATACTCGCAGGTGAAGTGATATGGCATCTTGGGTTGGCTCCCCAAGCGGCCCATGCACGGGGTATGGCCAGTCACTGTGGAGGCCAGGTAAGGGTGCCTGGGGCTCCTCGCTTGACTCTTTCCACTTTGCCGTGTGCTCCGGGCGTCCTGCCACAAAGGAGGGGACGAAGGGGACACTGTGTGTGCGAGTGGCCGCAGTGCTGGGTCCCAGGCTTCTAGAACTCTCTGGCGTACACTAACCGGCACACGCCTTATTTCTCTTTTAGCCTACGTGTCTCCAAGGGGGATGAGGCAGGAGATGGGTCACAGAATTCCTGCGTGAATTCATTTTTGGAACTCCTCTTAATGTGGAGCTCAGATACATGCATACACTTCTTTGGAAATGTTGGTTTTCTTAAATTTGGACGGTATAGAACAATCTCCTGCCCGGACAAAGCTTCTGAGTCAGGGTTTTCTTATCCCCAAAATAGCGTCAGATGGAGATCAGCATAAAACTCCTGGCAATAAACTCAACTGAAACCATGTAGGACATCATAACAGGAAACCACTTCTCCACTGACACCATGCAAAATCACAAATAAACAGGAGAACTATTAAAAAGGAGAGCTACCTTTCATACAAAACCGAGAGCTCACAAATGATGAAAATACAAAGTATGCTAGAACCGCCCCCCAGGACACTGAACACAGGTCCCGGACAGACAATTCACAAAATATGAGTTTTAGTTAATAACTGGTCAGAAACTAATAACTAGCAACTAGTCTATAACTAATAACTAGTAAGAAATGCTAATTAGAGCAAAGAAGATTTTAACCCTTAGCAAACTGTGAAAAAAAGTTGTCTCTGCCAGTGCTGGTGCAGACACGAGGAATCAAATGGTTGGTGTGACAAGTTAACTCAATAGTTCTTATAAATACTTGGCCAAAGAAATAATCAGTGACATATGCCACATTTTATTTTGTAAGACTGTACATAAAAAGATTTATAAGAATAAAATACTAGAAACAACCTAAGTATTAAAAAGGAGAGATTTAATTATGCGATTTTGATATGCTAATTGAGGTATGAGATAAATATTATGCAACCATTAAAATTCCACTGGTTTTTACTGTATTTGCTTTTTTTTGGGGGGGGGGAATTCTCTAGTTATTCAATAAGGACATCTTATTAAATGTCTAATGTGAAAAATGTTATTTAAAAAAGAATAAGCGTCTTGGCTGGTGTGTCTCAGTGGATTGAGTGCCATCCTGTGAACCAAAGGGTCACCAGTTTGATTCCCAGTCAGGGCACAGACCTGGGTTGTGGGCCAGGTCCCCAGTAGGGGGCACACAAGAGGCAGCCACACACTGATGTTCCTCTCCCTTTCTCCCTCCCTTCCCTTCTCTCTAAAAAGGAATAAATAAAATCTTTAAAAAAGAAAAAAGAATAAGAAATAAAGATGGCAAAAACAGAGGCTCTGCCCACATTGTCACCGTTCACCATCTGCCATTTAAAAACTAGGCTATCAAGAATTCTCAGGGACCCAGACACAGCACAGCACATCACAGATGTCCAGGGTTCTGCCTTAAAGAATGTTACTAATCTTTCTTTTTTCCCCATTAATGTAGTCTAAAAATAAGAGGAAGATGAAAAATTAAAGAAAGTAATGCGATTACTTTGTACATTTTTTTTTTCACATAAACTGTCTTTTCAACCATGTCTTAAAAACATTATGTTCTAAGTCCCCTTTGTCATGCATGGGGACCACACAGAGAAGAATAAGAAAAATGACAGTAACAGTCAAGAACTGTCTTCTCTTAAGTACTGTGACTCCCACCATGTTGGTAACTATGATTACAGCCCTGACTTACTCACACATGTAATGAAACCCTTCTAATAATATTCACAATTAAAACACACGTAGCCCAAGATTAGTTTGAGGTAGCTGGAATACATTGATTTTCCTATTATTAAGAGGAAAAAAATCCCCACGAGGTAATTTCCTGAGTATGAACAGTCACATAATTGATGCTTACCTTATAATCGAAGTTTTCATTTAGGAAGTTCTTACGGAGCGCGTCTGACAGGTAGAGCACCGTGGTGATGATGACGCTGGGACCAAAGAGAGCACAGACAGTGTTAGGGACTCCACACCGACGAAAACCACTTATTAGATAGGGATACAAAGCAACCAAGACAAAGGACAACCTGTGGGAAGAAGTAAGCCTGTGGAACAAGATGAGGTAACTCGCATTTGAAACTTAAAAAAAGAGAGAAGGAGAAATGCCAGGTGAAAGAAAGAAAGAAGGAAGGAAGGAAGGAAGGAAGGAAGGAAGGAAGGAAGGAAGGAAGGAGGGAAGGAAGGGAGGAAGGGAGGAAGGGAGGAGGGAAGGAGGGAAGGAAGGGAGGAGGATCTATCGCAGAGGTCGGGTTCTTTGGAAGGATACACAGGAAGATCTATGATTTCATATGGCTCAGGTGGAAACATGTGGATCTCTTGATGCTTTCTAACATTTTTACCAATTTCTGAACAAAGCAATGATCTGATACAGATATACTATCTGGTTAATTAACCCTTAAAAATAAGACTTGCCCACGGCTAGAGCGAGGTTAAAGCCACTCCACTCCAGCGGCGCTCACTTGCGCTTGCCCTGCAACAGCCTGGGCTGGAGGCGGCCCCACGCGCCCCCTGGGAGCTCAGCCCTGAGTCGGTTTCCGGGCACGCAGGTCCCCGAGCCAGCTGGAAGCATTTTTGCAGACTGCTCCTTCTCTCTAGTGGACACCTGCGGTGTTTAGGAATCTTTCTTTACTTGTTCCAATTTATCCAAAACCATGAGGCTCCTTTGGTTTTATTCTTTGACTCGTGACTCAGCGCTGCAGCTCAGCATCCCAGAAAGGGCTGCAGTCTATTATTACTGTAAATGGCCAAACGACTGGAATCTGCCACAGAAGTGCAGGCACCAATTAGCCCGGACAACCGCGCTCTGTGGGCAGCGCGCGGTCAGAGGTGCACATGAAAGGCACCGGAAACCAAGGTTGCTGCCCCAAGTTGCCCAGCTGCGCCCACACTCTGGGATTCGGGACGGATCTTTAAACTGTGCTGTTTCCGCCCTGCACAAAGCTCCTCTCCCATAATCTGTGCTTCCGAAAACCACTCCAGCCCCAGGACCCACGCAGGCCCCGCTTCTCCGCTCTCTTGAAAAACGGCAAACTTCGTCCGAGGAGCCGCCTGTCACGGCTGGTTTCCGATCTGCTCTCCGGCTCACGCCAGCGAGGCTCTCTCCCGCCGCCACCTGTCAAGGCCCCTGGTGTCTGCACCACGAGTCCCAGGGCCAGCTGTCAGCCTGCATCACCCCAACCTCCCAGCCGCTGCCGACACTGCTTCCTGCAAGGCAGACTTTCCTCCGCGGGATCTCACGCTCTTCCCTTCTTGCCTTCCGCCCTGGGCTGCTCCTTCCTGCCTGCTCTGCCAGACGCTTCTCTGCACCCTGACTTGAGGTGCCGGCGTGCTCCACGCCGAGACCTAAGGACTTTCATTGTGTCAATCTATGCTTCCTCCCTGGGTGTTTTCAAGCGCAGTCCACGTGCCGGTGACCCTCCCACATCCATCTCTTGCCCCGACCTCTTCCCGAAGCTCCCGTGAGCACGTCTGGCTTCCTCCGCCACATCTCCGCCTGGGGGTCTCACATCCTCTCATACTCGAGTTCGACACAGGAATCCTCACCTGCGCTACCCCAGAGCAGCGACTCCCCCGCTCTTTTCCCCCTAAATGAACGGCAACGCTGTATGCCCTTCCATTCAGGCCAAAATCCTAAGTGCCAGTTCCTTTTTTTTTCTTCTTCCACCCAGTAATCTGCAAGTTTCCTCATTTCTGTCTTCGAAACCGACCTCCCCACTACGTCCGCTGACATCCACCTGCTCCATCCACCGTCGTGTCGTACCTGGTTGCAACATTAGCCACCTAACCGGTCCTTCCTGGTTTCCCTCTCGTCTCTCTCCCTCCCAGTGTCTGGGCCCTGTTTTCTCCCTCTCCCAGCCTCATCTGTCTTTACTGTCTCCTTCCCTCCTCCTACTGTAGCCACACTAAGCAGGCTTTCCATTTCTTAAAGGCGCCACGTTCACTCAGAGCACGGGGCCTTTGCATAGCCTATTCCTGCTGCCCAGAACCTTCTTCCTGAGCCGTTTGCCTGTCACCTCCTGCTTTCACTGTGGGCTCCAGATTCAATCCCCCATAAAAGGCCCCTCCCCTCCCAGTCTGGAACCAGTGCCTTCCACGCACATCTCACAGAACGGGGCTCGTGCTCCGTATGGCTTTTATCTTATACATTAGGTGCCGAACAGTTGCTGAGTGAATGGGCAGTGAAGGAATGGGTGACTTCCCCTTTAATTCCATAAATCCTTATTTGCTACGCAGACGTCATCTGAAAGCCAAATTAGTTAAAGGTAACAGCCAACTAAATAATGCAATGTTGGTGGGGAAAAAACACAAAAGAACATGCACGGTACATGTGAAGTCAACATGTGCACAAGACAAACAAAATAAGGCCTCCAGTTTCAACTGCGGGGCCAGAGACCTCCTACTTTCCTCAGTAAGCCAGTCTGCTGAGAAAGTCATCTCCTTGAAACTGTCTGCGAAGCTGTGACTTTATTTTCGTGCTGTACTGTGCAAGGTGAGGGGAAGGGGGTGAAAAGCAGCCCGTCTCAAAGTGTCCTGAATTTTTGATTCCTAGTTTTCATCTCCCTTATGTTCTTCTTTCCCCCTCGGATTCAGCAGCACGTGTCCTCGTCTGAAACACCTACCATGGGCTCACGGTGGGTGCAGTACAGCTTCGCAAGCCAGCAGGCCGGAGAAGTCATGGTTCTTGTCCTTGGGAAATCCCACAGTATTAAACAGTCGGGGGCAATAAACAAAAGAACACGCTAACCCCCAGGGATCTGGTCACGGCTCCCGGATGGACTCACACAAAGCAGTGGGCAGAGGATTTGGGACGACACAGCTTATGGGTGAAAGTTAAGGGCATTTGACTTACTTGAAAACACAGAGAGAAAGAACCATCCCACAAAATAATATATATTTTGAGGGATGAGCTATTCTGTGGAGTTCAAGGGTAGGGCCAGGGTGACTTCTCTGCTAGTTGCCACTAACACAGCAGGGATGAGGCACACAGGCGGGTGGTAAGCATGGGAGTTGGTGTTAAAATGCCCCTTTGAGAGGCCCTGGACACGTATTGTCTGAGAAAGTCCGTTCCAGGGGAGAAAAGGTGGCGAACCTCAGATGGAGACGCAGCACCTGCAACTTGTGTCTACACGGTTTAGCGAAGTGCCAACTTTTCCTTCCTGCCGTGTGCTCTTCAACATATTTAACGTATCTTTAACATCTTTCAGAAATTTATTCTCCTACCAATCTTATAGATGTTACTGTTTTTTGCCGATGAAGCTCAAGGACTTGGAGGCTTACTTCTGGACTTCCTTGCATTTATAAAGCAAGAACACTCTTATGTGCTTTCGTCATTTGAGTGAGATACGGCGCGGGTGGATGAGCGGGGAGAAGCGAGGACAGGAGGGTGTGGGACAGCGGAGAGCAGGCGGCCTGGTCCGCCCCAGCAGGCGCCTCCCAGGCCCTGGGGTTCTGTCTGCGGCGGGACTGGCCACAGCCACACACGGCCGCAGCCAAGGGAAAAGGGGACCCAGTCCCTGTGGGTTCCGCCTGGGAGGCAACGGAATGAGATCACCGCCCTTAGCAAAGGCCGATGGCCTTGCCCTTGGCTTTGCCACCGGAGCCGTCTCTGTCCCAACGTCTCGCACAGAACCCGTCTCACACAAAATCACACTCCTTTTGGTTAACGCTGCAGATGAAAATTTTGACCGTAACATGTTTACCCAAAAGCAGGGTCTGGACTTCTAGGTCTGTTACCCACTCATGTGACCACGATGTCTTCATAAACAGAGTAGAAAATTTTTTTCAGGGGGGCGGGTTGCAGAGAGAGATGGCATTTAATACCAAAAAGCCACACAGTTGTCATGGTTTCAGGAAGCTCAGGCAGAGCCTGTGTACGTATAAAACAAAATGTCAAATTCACTTGTTTGAATTTCTGCCACTGAAAATTCCAATTCGAGTCAAGCTGTCCCTCCCTGCACAGGGCAGGGAGAATGGCCGAGCGATGACGCCGTGTGATGACGGTGGCAGCAGCCTGGACCCCTCCCGCCCGGCTCCCTGGGCCACTGCACAGCCTGCCCCAGGTCCCACCCCCAGGAGACACTGGCAGTAAGCCCAGATGTGCGACCGGCGGCTCCCACATAAATCCATAGCGTCCGGACGTCCGGGTGAAGAGATACTTGGTTCTACTCACAGACAGCAAATGAAACACGCCAAATTCTAGAGAGACCCATTTGAGGAGGCTCAGTCAGCCTTCAAAAGGAAAAGAAAAAAGCTGCTTCCGTACCTGTGTAAAGTCTAACGGGCCATGTCATACGATCTGTTATGTCCCAAGGTTTTAACCCTTCCTTTCCACACCTCCACATCGGTACACGCGTGCAGCAGCACACGCCGTGTTCGGCATGTCTAATCAGAATCAAATCCTGTACACCCGGGCGTGTGGGGAAGCCACAGGGTGTCCCTGGCCTACGGGTGGAGACCGGCAGGTCCAGCCCTTGTCCCGAGTGCAAGGGGGACGGGGACTGGAGGAGAGGAGAGAGGAGGGGCGGGAAGCGACAGGCGTGACAGTAAGAACGCCTGTGCGACGGCGTGAACTCCAAGTGCGGAAGTGAGATCGGGCTGGAGTCCTGCAGAGCTTCATCCTCAGCCTGGCTCTCGAGACGACAGGGGCAGGGGACAAGACGCAGGTAAGTCACGACCCCCCCCCCCCCCCCTGCCGGCTGTGCCCGCCCTTCTGGCGGCCCCCGGCCCACTCCCCTGGCTCCCGCCGCTTCAGGCATCCAGTCCTATCACTTCGCATTCCCCACCAGGTACGCCTGCCGCACGCTCATTTTATCCGCTCCCGGCAAAGACACACCCTTACTCTCCGACTCCTCCCCAGTGTCTCTCCCCGGGCTCAACTGCCCTCGGGGCACTATTCCAACGCCCCACCGGCCCCGGCACTCCGGTGGGTACGAGGCACTTCGACGGTCATGTGCCCGACTCAAGGCACTCAGCACACGGGGATGCCTAGTGTCACCTGCTGTGTCAGAATGAATTATGACACATCAGGAACGCCCAGGTGTCCAGCAACAGGGCTGGTTAAACAAACTGTACGGCACATCCCTCCAACGGAATACCCTACCGCTGTAAAAGAAAAGAAACGGGAAAGAATGAGGGGCTTTGCAGGTACTGACGCGGAAAGACCGCGGGGAATGTGAAGGAGAGAGCCAGGTGCAGAAGGGTGTCTCCACCCTGCTCCCTGTGAGGCTGCAATACAGGGACCCTGACACAGCGGCTGTGGATGGACGAGCTGGGGACTAACGATGCGGTCACCACAGGTTTGGCTGGGGACACGCAAGGGAGGGGCCTGCGGCTTCTCAGTGCGGCCTCGGTTCTATTGTTTGGTTTGTGACCACGTTAATATATTACCTGCGTAAAACAAATAGGAATACATTTTTGAAAAGAATGAGCGTAGGGCTGGTGTGGCTCAGTGGATTGAGCACCAGCCTGCAAACCAAAGGGTCGCTGGTTCGATCCCCAGTCAGGGCACATGTCTGGGTTGCAGGCCAGGTCTCCAGTGCGGAGCACATGAGAAGCAACCACACATTGATGTTTCTCTCCCTCTCTTCCCCTTTCCCTTTCCCTCTGTTTAGAAATAAATAAATAAAATCTTATATATATATAAAAAAGAGCGAGAGTAGGTAATTCAGGGGCAAAGGAAAAAGACCCCAGAACCTGGAGGTCCTGAACTGGAGATAAGATGAAAAACATCATTTTGGGCTCTGCCCCACCCCCAGACCAGCGACTTCCAACCGGCGTGCCGCGAGAGCTTCCCGAGTCTAAAGCGCGCAGTCCCTGGCTGTGCGGTCAGGGGCGCCGGCCTCTTTCATCTCAGACTGTCAAGTAAGGACATGACAACAGCCCATACGATCACTGCCATCCAGTGAGAACGAGTCAACATTACACCCGTTTTTGTAAGACCGGCAAAACCACGGTAATGTGTTGGTGGGTTGGTGGGCCGCAGCACCGCAGCAATGAGTCTGTGCGTGCAGTGCGACGACACGGGGGTGGGGGGGGGGGGGGGAGGAGGGACGGCTGCTGCGGACGACGCGCTCCCAGTCCCGGCCCCGCCACCGGCTTACTTGTTGGCCACCAGGCGCATCACGGTCCAGTCCTTGGGGAACATCTCGGGGCGGATGAGGATGCGGAACACCGTGAAGACTTGCAGCAGGAAGTCCTGGGGAGAGGGGGAGACGGGGCGTTTTACCGGGCTACTGGTGATCTGGGACACGCACCTGCGCACACACACACGTGCCCACACACAGACGCTGCTGCTGTCCCCACCGCCGCCGCGGCAATGACAGCGAAGGGGGGGCCGCGCCGCAGTACTCGACCCCAAACAGACCGTCCCCTCCCCGTCCTCAGGCCCCATCAGCTGCTGCCCCTCCCACTCGATCCCCCTCTTCCTCTTCCTCGTGCACGGCGCAAATGGCTTTCGTCTGTTTTCACGAGGTCTGAAAATTAAGGTCTCAGGGGTAAAACGGGAGACGAGTGACACAAGATGAGCACGCAAATCCCATCTCCCCCCCACTCCGGTGCCCTGAGGGATCCCCACACTGAAGTTCGTGTCCTTAACACGGAATGCTCAGGCACACGACACAAAAATAACTCCTCGGTGGTCGTCAGTCTCCAAGGGCTATTTTTCTGTAATAAAGACTATGAGTCAAAATAATTGCACAGAAAAAAATGGCTTGGGAAGCAAGCAGACGTTTATCAAGAGAGCTGACTCATTCAACCGAGATCCATCCGAGATTTACTGTTGTGGGAACATTCGGGCTCTCTGCTTGGGACACAGGGGCAGTCCCCGCTCTCACAGGACCCAGCGTCATCAGGATCACCATCGAACAACAAGTGACTACCACGCACCGTTGGGTGCCACCGCCGAGGGCGGGCTGCAGTTCATAAGGGTATGAATCAGGCAGTGGCAGTGAGTTGGTGGTAGAACAGACTTTGTAAGGAGGCAAAAAAACAATGATTCTGATGAATTAAAACTCAGGCATATGGCTCGTTCGGAGTACGCAAACGATGTTGGGGGGCTGGAGCGGAAGGGGTGTTGTGGAAAGCGGTGGGGGACAATGGGGACGGAAGACCCGACCAAGACCTTGGGCTCTGTCCTGCAGAGGGTGCTTAGTCCTCACGGTTTAAAGTTGGCAAGAGCCTTGATCAGATTTGATTTTTGACAGCTGGTGGGCCAGCACACGAGAGGCAGCGCAAGGTTACGTGAACGCTGCACGTGACTTCCGGAACACGCACAACTCGCGCTGTGAAGCAGGCCCCACAGCCCTGCGGGAAGCGTCGTCATCGTCGCCCGAGGAGACTCACTGCCTCCATCTGCACAGATGCCAGCGATGAGGACGACACTTCAGCCCCCGCGAGGAGGCGGGCATGTAATAAAACCTTCTGATGCAGAAGGAGGAAAAAACCCTGCTCACGTCTTGGCTTTTGCCTCTGTTCACTTCTGAAATAACGCCATGTTCTGGGGGGGGCAAGAATCCAACAAGGCGGAGAGGCGGCCCTCAGGCATTTCTGCTGCCATGGTGCGTGCCCCCCACTCCCCCCAACAAGTCCCCGAGGACCTCGAGAAGAAGTGGCATGCTGTGAAAACGCCATCTCGACACCACTGTACAGGGACCCGGGGCAGCCAGGCCCTCTGAGCAAGAATGCAGCTCCCACCCCACCAGCCTTAGCAGGTGCTTGAGAACGACACACTTTCTAAACCCACTGGGATTTCGAGGATGGTTGGGAAAAGCTGGGACACATCCTTCTCTGAATTGTTAAGGAAAAAAAGCAGTAACGCTAGGAACAAAAACAGTCAGATACTAATCTGGAAATCGCAGTATGTAACTTCCCAGCCCGGTCCGACAGCCCTCCTCCAGGAGTCCGCTGTGCAGCGACAGGGCGTAAGTCCATCACAGAGGGGATGGCCACGTCACGGAGCATCACCAGATGAGGCCGGGAAGCACGAAAGGGGCAGTGGACTATAGAACACACCCACGATACATCACGGAGTGAGGAGGTATGGCCCTCAAGAACAGCAGGACCGCATTAAAAGCTGTGTGCGTGTCTCACAGCACAGAGAACAGTCCACGAGGTCTCGCGCCTATGTGTCAACGGAAGCTACCCTGGGGACTAGAACATGCGTCCGGGGAGGAGGGACTTAGTCCTTCAAGCCGGCCGGGTGGCGTGAGACTTTCAGCGTCTAACTGCAGTATCAGCTGTAATTTTCCACTTCTGGCATGCTGTCAAGCTCTACCTTTCCTTACTGACAGTTGCCCTATTTATTCCATTGTTAACCTAAATGTAGATATACAAGACCCCAGTAACTCCCCCCTACCTACCTCCCCTTTCCCAGACGCCCCGAGGCCCCGCTGGAATCGCTTCGTCACTCTTCACGAGCTCTCACGTGAGACGTTAATGCGATTTGATCACGATGACTCGGGGGTAGGAAAGCTTGTTAAAGTCTAGGGTTTAGGGAGTTCGGCTGCCCGAGCCGAGAGCTCAGGTGGTCACGGAACCCGCAGGCCTCCCAAGGACCTGCGCACACAGTAGCGGCAGCGTCAGGCTTCACAAGGAGGGGGCAGTGCCGTGCGATGCGAGGTGGGCCCTGCATCTGGCTCCTCGCAGGCGCACAGCGAGGAGGTTGTTTGCACGCGTCACGCTCCGTACTTAATGCCTTAGCCGCCCTTCCTCGCACCGAGGCTCGCACAGACTTTGAACCAGGACGTCCCAGGCTTGGTACGTCACACCTAACGGTGGCTCATTGTCAACGCCTGATGATGTGAAGCTAACAGCTGCACAATTATCCTCCCTCTTAACCACACGGCTCTCGATCCATAGGGTTTGAAGGCTTTGCATCCACTTCAATTCTGAACTCAAGAACGGATGTGAGCATGAGAAACGTGGTGTCTGCAGGCTTGAGTGTATACAGCTGATTGGGGACTGCTGGAGAGATCGGGTCTGCCCGCCCCGTTCCTAGTCCCACGTGACTGCACCTGACCCGCTCCAAGGTCACTGACAGGCTCGTCTGAGGTCGTGCATCCCCCAGGCAGGCAGGGGTCAGAGATAAGAGGCCCTCACGCACTATCTGTATTTTTAAAGATGCACGAGCGCCCCCTCCAAAGGCACTGGAGGGCTTCCTTCCAGTCGTGGACCGCCACAGTGGGACTGCACCCACAGTCCCAGCCGTCCCCACCCCCCGCACTTCAGTGGCCTGTCCGTAATGGCGGCTCACGTATGAAGTCGTCTGGAGAACTGGAGACACAGAGAAAAACGAAAGTAGGAGGGACAGAATGCAGGTCACCTCCCCAACTGAGGACAATCCACTTCCGAGCTTTTAGTGAACGCTCTGAAGGAAGCATGGAAGTTCCCTAAATCTCAGCAAGGATCAGAGGGCATTTAGAGACCCGGCATCGATATTTTTAATTTAATGTCAGCACGGTGTATTGATTAGCCGGCAGCTGGCAGAGAATATCGGAGAACACAGCGCGGGCTCCGCACTCAGAACGAGGCAGCCAGCCCTTCCTGCTGGGGCTCAGAGGGATGCAACTGGCCCCCATGTTTCTGTGTCTTCCGTGGAGGCAGCCTCTCCAAGGCCACTTAACTGGGGTCACTCGATGAGCATCGGTCTCGTCAGTTCTGTGACTGTTTCTGGCTTATTGCACTCTGACGACAGGTGTTTTAACTCCTATGTTCTTGTCCAAAACGAGAGTGAATTACTTTGCATGAGTATAGAAATCTTCACAAGCCCATATGGGTGAGCAGCTGTGTGGATGAACCTGAGAAAAAGTAGCTTAGAATTGAATGGGAACAGGATAAGCAATTGTCAAGGAACTGTCTGCATAATGATCAAGGAGACCCAGAGAAGTTAGAAAGAGATATTTTAAAAAGTTTTTTAAATGTCACTCACCCTTAGTTCTTCCTTTGTGTTGAAACTATCGAGAAGCTGTTGGTAATGTCTGTCTGTCATTTGTCGCAGTAGGGACAGGAGACAAGCAACAAACTCCCCCTAATTTAAAAAGAAAAAGCAAAAGCAGTAAGGACATAAAAGAACACCAGCAATTTGCTTTGAACTACCCTAAAATAGAACACTTAAAAATGAAAGAAAACAAAACAAAACAAAAACCCAGTATGACCCAAACTCACCCAGTGAAGTCTTCTTAACCTAAATTGACCATACTATCAAAGTCAGAATTTCTCCCTATGACTACCACTTCCTTGTTCTCAGTGAATTTTTAAGTTCGGGGCGGGTTTCTTTACTTGGGTGAAAGCTCCCCACCCCCCAAGGAACCCCGCCCACCTCGAAGAGGCGAGGCAACCAGGCCCAGACCGTGGGTTAAGCAGTTTACTGCACCTTCTCCGCGCATCAACTCACCCGAGCCTCACATCAACGCCGCCGCGAGGTAGGCGGTCCCACGCTTACTTAAGGAAGGTGAAAGGTAGGGTCGGCGCACTACAGAACTCGCCCAGAGCTCCACAGCCAGAAACCAGCAGCAGGGCAGTCGGCCCTAAACCCTTCCGACCACCCTAAACCCTTCCAACCCGGCTCTTCCGGCAGCACTATGCTCCGCGACGGAGTCCGCACGGCCCTCCCGGCTCAGCACGGTACGGCGCCCATCGGTCAGCAGCGTGGGCAGAAAGCCCGGGAGCGCGCGAGCAGCGGTCAACCTCCTTTCAAAAATACATCCCAGCTGCCCTTCCGTGCTCGGTGCTACGGGACGGACCCCCACGAAGCCCAAAATCTTAACAAAAATCAATAATGGAAAAGACAAATATACCCAGCATCACAGGGCTGAAGACCTACAAAACTGCTATCGTGTTCATTTCCTGTTTTCTAATTCTCATTATCTCTGCGCAAGGCAACCTTCGTTTGCTCAGCAAGGAATTTATATGCCTTTAATTCCCTTCATACAATCTTAATTACATTTCAAACAATACAAACACAACAGGAGAAGCAATCGGTGGTAACTGACTGTAAATTCATAGAAATGCAGTTTAATCAGGAATCAGTTTCAGGGAAAGAGACTGTGGGGTCACGTGTAAAATCGGAGACGACAGCCCCGAGGAGTGGGACCTTCCGACAGAGACAGCTCCGTCAGGACAGTCGAACATGCCCTCCCCCACCCAGCGGCCAAGGGCGCCTGAAGGTGCTGCTTCATGGCCACGTCTGGAGAACCGGAGCTGTGCCCTGGACCCCTGCGTGTGAATACCATTTACACGCCCACAGACACACGAAACAGAATGACCCCTGCAGACGTATCAGAGCAAATACTCGAGAAACTGACCAGTGTGGGCTAGCAGAGATATCCTCCAAGCTCAGCACGTTACTTTATTAACAGACGAGGACACCTTGATACTGAGCACAAGAATCAGAAAATTGAAGGGCGCAGTTATTCCTATTTTAGTGCACGGGTAAAGGGAAACCGCCCTCGGTCAGGCCAAAACTGCCCAGTGGGGCTGGGAGGGGAGCCCTGGGTGCTCACTCCGGACCGGGGTGGGGATGCTGCCTTTCTCGCCCTCCGCTCGGGGCAAGCCCAGCAGGCGGGCTTCGGTTACAGTACTAAGCAGGGTCTTTCCTCAGGGGCAGGGAAAAAGTACTGCTAGAATAAATGATGCTCTGATCCTACTTAAAGTTCCAAAGCAAGATGCAAAATGAACAGTTCCCAAGAAATGTATCCTCCGTCCACAGCAAAGATCAATTCTATGTTTAGAAATTAAAAAAAAAAATATCCAACTCCACCAAGGTAAAATTCACAACATCTGGCATTCAATAAAAACCTACCAGGCACACACAGAATCAGAGACAATGATCGTATAAATGAGAAGAAAAAAATAATCACTACAAGCAGACCCAGAAGTGACATAGCTAACAGAATTGGCAGTCAAGGACATTCAAGTACCTATTATTACTGTATTCTACATGTTCAGGAAACTAGAGGAAAGGTTTAACGTGTTAATTAGAGGCATGAAAGATATCAAAAGAACCCAAATTAAACTTCCAGAGATGAAGACTATAATGTATGATATAAAAATTTGTTGAGTGGGGCTAATGGTAGATTAGACATTGCAGAAGAAAATATCATTAAACTTGAAGATGGGGTTATGGAAATTCTTCAAAATTAAAAATAGAGAAAAAAACAACAACAAAAAAAGAAAAGTACATCAGTGAAACATAGGATGACTTCAAGTAGCAGAATTATATATGTATAAAAATTGGAGACCTCAGAGAAGAAGAGGAAACAGAAAAAGTAATTGAAGAAATAGGGGAAACAATTTCAGATTCTTGGAAAAGGATTAACCTGTGTACCAAAGAATTTCAACAAGCCCTAAGCACAAGAACGGGAAAAATGACACTGAGACACATTATGAGATAGAAAAAAATCTTTACACCAGCCACAGGAAAAAAGACCAGACATTACGTAGGGAGGAGCGAAGATAAGGACCCACGGTCGCCCACTGCAAGCAGCACGGGCTGGGAGACGGCGGAGAGACAGCAGGAGCCTAATGTCGGCAGGTTCCCGCACGCTGCCAATCCCACCGGCGACTCTGCGATGTCGTGTTATTTACTCACCTGTCTATTTGGGGACTCCAAGCACATTTAATGTTGTGAAGCGTCCTGGGTGTTCAGTAATTGTCTTTGCTTTCTGAGAGATTTTAAATGTCTAGATGAAAACCCTACCCTCACAATTTGTTAAAAAGAATAAATTTATAAAAACCCATCGTTGCCCAACATTTACGTAGTTTCAGTGAGGAACTCTTTACACATAAATCACCTTTGAAACACCACATACATCAGTGGCCTGCATCCATTTGATGTACAGATGGAGAATAATGGCCATTTCTACCAATAATTGTGAATGAGCTATCAGGTGGCCGCTGCCCAAGTCTGCAAGAAACCTCCTATTACACACAGGTGCAATTTTTCCAGAAATTTCTCACAGAGTCCCCCAGAATTCTTTCCCCTCTCCAAACCACGGGGCTGTTGTGCACGAAAACATCAGAGAAAACGTCAGACGCGCACCAAAGCATGTCTCAGATGCAGCCCCTGCTGAGCCGAGTCTCCTGCTTCACACACGGTGCTGAACGGAGCTAAATACAAGGAAAAGCAGCATTTAGGAATTACAAAGATCACGGCAGTCCCACGAACAAACGGCGATCCACGCTACTTGATCAAAGCCGCCTCCGTGCACAATTAGATTTTTGTAAGTAAATGGTTACAAGCGAGTTTTCTTTTCTTCCCAGCTAGAGAGAGCCTTCTAAAGTTCAAAGAACAGTTGGCGGAAGAACAAGAAGTACAGTCCCTGTAAGTAGTAAGAATCGGGCTGCAGTTTCCTGGAGTTCTGGGAGGCGGGGAGCAAGCCAGGGTACTTGGAACGGGAACAGCCTCAAATGATAAGCTGTAGGAACTGCTTCACCCACAGCCCGGCCACCTCCGGGGGCACTTGTTCTGCAGGGACTGCAGAATGCTCAAGGTTGGACCACACACAAAGACTTGCCATTCAGCCCTGGCTGGGGTGGCTCAGTGGACTGACTGCCGGCCTGCAAATCAAAGGGTCACGGGTTCAATTCCCAGTCAGGGCACATGCCTGGGTTGTGGGCCAGGTCCCCATTAGGGGGGCGCATGAGAGGCAACCACACATTGATGCCTCTCTTCCTCTCTTTCTCCCTCCCTTCCCCTGTATCAAAATAAGTAAAATCTTAAAAAAAAAAGAAGAAGAAGAAGAAGAAAGAAAAGACTCACTATTCAAACAGCTATTCTCTGGGAGAAAACGATGGAGAAATCAGACAGGTCTCCCTGCCCAGAGAGGATGACTTCGGGAATGGCCAGAGCCTGTTTCTCACCAGAGAACTCGTTACAACCCCAACATGATGAGTACTTTGCTGGAGAAATAATTACGGTGACTCCTGAGGCTACCACAACTACCAAAGACTGAAATGGACTGAGATGGTTCAAACGTTTCTTCACGGATCTGAGGCAATCCCAGTGCAAACTCTGAGATACACACCGTCGCTTTCCCTGTTCTAGAGACAAAGGAGCAGACGCTCAGGCGGGAACCGGCCCTGGAAGCAGGGCGGGGTGCAAACCGGGGCTGCCGCGCATTCTCGAGAAATGTCTCAGGACCACCAGAGGTCGCCGATAGTGTCAGTGAGTGCTTCCTTAGCAAGTTTTATCTCACGCCCTCTCAGACTTGCTTTTTCCCACAGCAGGACGCACAGCCTAGGTGCAGGGAATGTTTCCCTTCGCGTGATTCTCCCAAAATGTAGCACATTGGACAGGCACCCCAAACCCATCCGCCACCCCGACTCCCTGCCTCCTCCAGTGTCTTAATCCGGACTGATTGCTGTGGGGCACGGCGTGCAGTGAAGGCCTCACAAATCTGGGAGAGTTTGAAAAACCGCCCCAGCTTTTGACTCAGGCGCCCTCAACCACGGGCCGGCTTCGCTACTGTTTGTTTGCGGGGTCACCGTCACTGCAGAGTGAGGTCACAGCCGTGTGGCCAGGAAGTGGCGAGAGCGCTGTCACCCAAACCGTGGTGACGGAGACTTTCTCTCGCTTCGGGGGGATGGCGTGGATGTGCCTGTCCCCATTCCTCCTGCGAGGTGCAACTCAAAGTGGTTCAAGGGCTTCAATGTCAAATACACAAGCATGGCACTTTTAGGGGGGAAAAAAAAACAAAACTGGAAGATAACCCTCAGGATATAGGGTTAGACAAAAAGAGTTCTTAAACCTGATATTAGAAGTCGGATCCATAAAAGGGAAAACTGATAAATCGGACTTGATCAAAATTGTAAAATTTTGCTTTAAAAAAGACCCCATTAAAAGAAAGAAGACAAAACAAGCTATGGAGTGGGTGAAAACATGTATGAACCAAGTATTCAATAAAAAACTAACACCCCCAATACACGAAGACCTCTTAGAGCTCAGCAGGAAACGGCAATTCCGTCAGAAACAGGGCCACGGACAGGAGGCGGCGGTCCCCTGAGGAGGAGACCCGGGGGGCAGACAGGCCGGTGGGGAGGTGTCCGGCCACAGTCCTCGCTGTCCTCCCTGCTGCGTCAGATGCCGGTCCGGGTGTTGAGAACCGGGACTGCCCACCCACTGTGGGTGGGAGAATGGAAAACGATCCAGCCACCCTGGACAACAATTCGGCAGCTTCTTAAAAAACGAAACACGGGAGGAGCGCGCAACCCGGCAGCCGTCCTCCCGGCGCTGGGCCCCGAGGAAGGAGCCGCCGGCCCTCACTCACGCCTGCGCACAGGTGTGCAGGGCAGCTGGGTCTGCAGCAGCCCACCCCTGGGCGCGGCCCAGAGCCCCCCCGAGGCAGAGGCGCACGGAGGACTCCCCCCAGGTCTTTGCTGCAGCCCGCCCCCCCACCCGCCCCCCGAAGCGACCGACACTCAGACCCCCACGCGCGGTCCCCCCGGGGCCATCCGCTCTGTGACATACAGTGACATCCTGGAACTGCAGCCGGGTGGACGAGCCGGACGGCTGGGGGCGACTGGTGATCTCCAGGATGGTTCTCAGCAGGGTGTCCAGCAGGCTGGCCACTATCACGTCTATTTCCTCCAGCACAGACTTCTCCTTCGGAGAAAAAAGGAAACATAGCGTGCTCAGGCAGTGCTGGCTGCGTGGGCACGCGGGCCTCTCTTGAACGGAAAAGGGGGACAGCACACTTCCAGACGCAGGGCCGAGGAGTCAGACAACTCCAGAGCTCTGGGAGACCCGGACCCCACAGAAGTCACCGAAGTAAAGGACCTCCCTCCTTTCACGGAACAAAGGCATGGAGGCGTTAACGGCGTGCCCGCAGACCCAGCCCGGCTGCGCATGCGCCTGAGGCACGCCCGCAGACCCAGCCCGGCTGCGCATGCGCCTGAGGCACGCCCACAGACAAGCCCTGGCTGCGCATGCGCCTGAGAGGCGCCCGCAGAGGGCAGCCCCGGATCAGCGTGGGGTGGTGCGGCCTTGAGCCACGCAGCGTCTTTCTGGGCCTCGCTCGCCACTGAGCGTCGTCTGGGTTCTAAAAGCCCACCCGTGATTGTGTTTTTTTTTCTCTTTTTTTAAATCTCAGATTGTGCTTACAATTGTTCTCCTTAACCCTTGAATTGCACAGGTCATTTTCTAAAACTATTTTAAGTGCAAAGGACTATTCCTATAAAAATGATTTTTTTAAAGCACCCCCCCATGGAAATGTTTGCAAAAGCGTGGAGACCAGATAAATGCCGTCAGCTACAGGTGGGGCCTGATGTCAGGACCAAGGGGGGACGGCTTTCCCGAAAACCACAGTGAACCCTCTCCGGCCCCGGCTGAGGGAGCAGCCCAGGCTGCTCTGTGCACACTGTCCACGGTGAATCTGGGTTCTTGCGCACCCGCTGCCCACGGCGCAGCTCTGTACGAATCAAGGCTCCCTAACAAGGAGATCGGCCCTGCAGAGAAAACACTTAGGAGGTGTGAGCTGGAAGGAGCTGGTTGGCTGGACTGTTACGGTGCACTTCCTTACACTAGTGCAGAAACCACCGAGGCTCCCCTTCTAGGGCAGAGTTCCTGCTCTGAGCTCCTCATCAGCTCAGCCCAAACTTGGACAGAGACCCAAACCCAGACGGCGCCTCAGCAGTCACCGTCACTGGGACAGATGAGCACAGGCTCAACAGACAGCTGCAGACAGCCCTGGAGCAGGACGTCCCCCGCATGTGGATTCTACCTCAGACCCCCGGGCCATGGCTGCAATGACCCCGACTTATCCCCATGTACAAGCAAGCACATGATTTCTCTCCATCTGCACTCAACCCCTCATGCAACAGGGCTGCATCAAGACCCAGGAAGTGACGGGGTTCCCAATCCCACAATAAGTCAGTGAGTCCTGAGAGAGCTGGGCAGTCATAGGGCGAGACACCCCAGGCTCCTGGGCCTTCCCTGGGCTCCATGGCCTCCACGGGCTGAGCCAGGCCACACTCCAAGGGTCACCACCATCTAGCAGGCAGCCTTTCACAGACCAGGGGCCCCCAGCGCCCTAGCGCCGCCTAGAGCAAGCAGGCGTTTGTTCTCGCTGCAGCACCTTCAACATGTTGAGATCAAAGACACTTGTGGGAGGCTTCGAGAATTCCAATTTTCCTAACTGGGGACTCAGTTCCTTCTTGAACTACAAGTTCAGGAAACCCAGGTTATCTGGGGTTACAGCAACCCCACAAGATTAAAAAAAACACTCCTTCGAAGGAAAAGCACAAAGTCCCACCAGCTGGATGACAAAAGTGGGAGTGTCGGTGAAGACACTCAATGCTTTCCTTGCTCCCAGGAGCCCCCCAGCGGGACCACGCAGGGCAGCGGGCATGTGCTCACCGAGCTGTTCTTCTTGATGAGACAGAACACGCTGCTCAGGATGCGGGCGCAGGCGGTCAGGTCCTTCTGCTCCTGCAGGTGCGTGTGCAGGTGGTGCAGGACCACGGGCAGCAGGATGCACCTGGAGTCTGCGGGGAGAAGCCGGGGGCGTCAGCCGGCACGGCCCACGCGCCCTCCCGTCTCCCTGCGAGCACTCGGCGAAGGCAGACGCGTTATCAGCACGTGCGTCCTTAAACGGGTATCCGTTCTACGAGGCTGATGTTAAAAAACGAACCAACAAGCAAACGGTAGTTCCTTTTCCCAACCCAGGATTCCTGAACTCAAGGCTTTTCACCTTTACTGAAATAGGGTTAAAAAAAAAACAAACAGTTTTACCTACAAATTACCAAAATGCCATGCTTCTCTGGCTGTGTCCTGACTTTCCCTTGAGGTAGATCAGCGATTTTCAGCTGGTGTGCCGCAAGGATGTTTAAAACATGCAACAACTGACTATTTAGTTGGGGGCTCTGACCTTTCCCTTACACTGTCAAATTAAAACATGACGACAGCCAACACAACAATAGGCGCCCAGTGTGAATGAACCAAAATTACACTTTATCGTTTTTGTCAGATCAGCAAAACATGTAGTTTTGTGGGCTGCAGAGTTAATATAATTAAGTTATATGCGCCATGAGGTGAAAAGGTTGAAAATCGCTGAGACGGATCATCTACTGGCTCCCTACTATGACCAAGATTACTTACGGGTAAGATTTCGTTTGTTTACGTTTTCCTGTTCCCAGCTTCTCAAGAGTCGCAGCACAATTTCCAGCGAAGGTAACATTTGGGGTTGGCTGCCATTCTGATCTCCAACCCTTTTACCTGATCAGGTTCTTGCTGGGTTTTGTTCATCTCTTTTTGAAAGCTTTTGGGGACTATTCCTGGTAATTCAAAGTTTCATACTTACTGCTTGCCTTCCTCTTTCCAATCCATAAACACATACCCTTCAGCTTGGGGAACCCGCCTTGAATTATTTCTGCAATTATCTCCTTTCATTTTCTTCTGTCCTGTGTCTGAGACTTCACCCATATTCACGTCATGCATCTCTTAAACTATCTTCTATTTTTCCCGGATTTTTAAAAAGTCTTCTTGTCTACCTTTCTGGGCAATTTCCTTGCTTTACCCTCTAAGCCTTCTACCCCATTTTCCTGCTTCTGCTATCACACGGTTAACCTCCAAGGGCCCCCTTCTTCCTTCCGAGGCCAAGGTCACGGGCCTGCAGCCCGGACAGGGTCAGGGGCGTGTGCCTGGAAGGGCCCCACGCGCTCTAACGCCGTGACTCCTCAGTGAAGGGCCTGCCTTAGGCTCGTATAATGCTTAACCGTGAGAGGCTGAAAGCTTTCTCCTTACGATCAAGAGTGAAGCAGGGATGGCCGATTGCGCCTGTTCGGTTCCACACGACAATGGCTTCCCAGGCAGTGTAATAGGGTGCACCCACAGGGAAAGAACGTCTGAGACTGCACCCCGAAAAAAAACCAGAAGGGATGCAAACTAAGCGTTCACAACTCGGGGAGCGCCCAGTTTCTCTCTGCCGCCTTCTTGATGTCTGCTGGCAGTGAGTTTGGAATCCATTTCTTCAGCGCCTGGCCCGGGGCTACCAGCCCCGAGAGGCCCGGCCTCGGGCTGACGACCGAAACAAACCACACCGGGGAGACACGCAGTCCTCCCTTTGAGGAAGCCAACACGGAACACTGAAACCCAAGACTGTGAAATAATTCACGGCGGGCTGCCTTTAAAGTTGTTAGCATGGCTAAGGAACTTAAATACCTATTTATAAATCAATTGCTGGACGAAAAGAAGCAAGGGAAAGGGAAGAGAAAGGGGCAGGTTACGCGACAGGAGCCCCTACCGGGCGATGCCGCGTAATTAGGGAGGGAGGCCCGGCTTATCTGATCCGCTCCCGCAGCCAGCGGGACTGGATCTGCAGAAATTCAATTTGCAGCCAACTGTTAGGAAAATAGCTACTGTGGAAATGGTCAGCAAGGCAGACAAATAATTCGCGTGTGGTGTCTCTTAAAAGAGATACACGACGGGATAGCCTACGGAGCTGACTTCTCTGCATTTCGGGGCAATGCCCACCCGTGAAATGATGGAATCAGCGGGCAAATACCAAACACGCTGACTGGTGAAAATGCTAATTCTTACCTTTAAAAGCAGGAAGGACAGAAGGGAGGGAGGGGGAAAAAAGGGAGGGAGGGAGGAAGGGAGGCAGGGAGGGAGGAAACCCGCAGTTGCAGTTGCGCGAACATGAACTTGCCATACATTCAGCAGCAGACGCTGCTATGTACGTGGTGGCCCCGTGGGCCGGCACGCTCACAGCCACGCCTCAGACAAAGACTGTGGTATCGGGCGTCCCGCTGAGTGTGCAAGGGAGTCACCCTCAGGCACTCTGGGTGCTGCCGAGACTCACTGGAGCAGACGAGGCTGGCCCCCGTGTATAACCCTCAGTGGGAGCGGGGCTGAGACATGCGGGTGGGTCTCTCCTTGAGGCTCATTTTGAGGCGAGTCATAGTCCTCGCTGCCTCTATCAACAAGCTTTAGAGAAGGATCCCTGGAGGAAGGGTCTGTCCACTCCCACGGGAGCGAGGTCTGTGAACCTGGGGGTGGCATGCAGGGCCGCCAGCAGGGGCCCGTGGCAGCCTCAGGAGGTGGCGGTGTGCGGGGCCGCACTGGCGGCACACAGTGCTGCACACGGCTGGGTGCAGCGATGAACCAGCCCCGCAGAACACACCTGCCATCAGAAATGGGGCGGGCCGCTGGGGTGGGTGCCACCAGGGACTGAACTGTGATGTCGCAGAGAGCAGCAAAGCCCGCCAACAGGCCAACAGGCCATCAGACGCTGGAGGGCAGACAGCACTGGGGGGGCGCGGGGAAGGGGTGCCAGGGGCTCCGTGGCTACGGGGCAGGCAGCCAGCATCAGAATCACAGCGAAAGGCCTCATAGAGAGCTGAGGAGGACCCCCGGGCAGCTGCCCGATCTCACCCGCTGGGTAGGATGCCCATGATGACCCCACCGTGGAGCACCCTCCCGAGGGCAAAGCCAAGAGGCTGCAGACTGCCCACGAGTGGGAAAGAGTGTGCAGATACAGAGACACGGATGGCCGCTCAGGTGGGGAGCTCAGGAGAGAGACCTGGCCTGGAAGGAAACCTGGGTGAGGTCAGCACACGGGACCCCTGACCAAAGGTCAGGGGGTGGGATGAACCCCAAGGCTCACTCCGGCCTCCCCACTCCCACGTCCCACTGCATGACAATCGCTCCTTTGAAGTGCACTACACACCAGTGGGAAGTGACGGGGCTACAGCTGTGTCCGGCAGCACGGGTAAACACGAGAGTACAGAATTAGCAAAAGACAAAACTGCTGCAGTGTGATGTCATAGAAACACTACAAGATGAAAATCAATATATTTTTGGATCTTCACCATGAAGGCACAGAGAGCGGGGAAGGGGCTCTCGGAGAGGGGGACTCCCTCTGAGGGAGGCCAGCCTGCTCAGCGGAGCTGGGTCGACGGGTAGTGAACAACCTCGTGACCAAAGGCCCAAAACACAGACACCCGATGTGGCTCAAGTCTGTTAATGACGCGTTTGTATTATGCTCCGTTCTTTTGTGTACGTCTGAAATTTTTACAATGAAAAATGTGAACGAAGGCTCGTTTACTGTATTTGAAACCCCATTTCCAAAATGCTCTAGGCATACACATCCCCGTGGGAAGACGACACTCAACAGAACGCGGGTTTTCCAACCGGGTCCTACGGACCGAGGCTCACGTGACTTTCTAATGAGGACACACGCCATCGCAGGAGGAACTCGGAGGAAACGAGAGGCGATGGGATGTAATAACAGACACGGGACTGGATGATTTAGTAACTGCCACGTGAGTCACGCGCTGTTAGGATGCAACGGAAAACGACAATACAGCCGAACTTTCCCCCGGTGCCAGACCACAGACTGATGGAGAACTTCCAGGAGACAGACACGCAACTCGGGTCAAATCAGGTCCCTGTGTGCTTCCCGAAAGGAAATGTTGCATTTTGGTGAACGTTAAAAAAAAAATCTGTAATAAGAAAAAGTGAACCATACACCACAAATAGTGGTGTATTAAAATCATTCATCAAGAGGATTTCCTTTCTTTGTAGAAGTTGGAATAGCCGTACTTTTGTGTGGGGTGGCCAGAAAGTTCTTTTTTCCTGTATGAGTGCTTAGTTGTCTTCAACTTCATTCAGAACCATTTTGTTAGACTGTATCGCGACAGCTGTCCTATCAGTGTGAATTTTAAAAAGCTTATTGGTGAATTTTTGTGCAGGCATACAAACACTGGAGATGGAAGAAGAGATGCAACATTTTTGGCGTATTATGCTTCACTATTTCAAGAAAGGTAAAAATGCAATTCAAACACAGAAATAAAGATCTGTGCAGTGTATGGGGAAGGCGCTGTGACTGACTGAACATGTCAAAAGTGGTTTGCAGTTTCTTAGTCCTGTTGACATTCTGGCAAAAGAATTCTCTGCTGTGGGGCTGTCTGATGCACTGGAGGATGTTTGGCAGCACCCCTGGCCTCTACCCACGAGAAGCCGATAGTGGGAGACAGCCGACACACTCACAATATCCAGATCAGTGAAGTTATTGGTGAAAAAGAAAAATGTGTCTTTGCTTTTGTGGAAAGAAACATGCAGACTTTTTGGCCAACCCGATATTCGGCTACTCGGTAAAGGTCTTCTACCCACCACCCACACGGGCAAGACTCTGGAGAAAGGGGTTGACAGTTTCCTTGTTCCAACAGCTTCTGCTGACCGATGGCGGCAGGGGGTGAGCTCGGCCCTCAGAGAAGTACCCCCCTACCCCCCTCGAGGGCACGCCCACCTGGGTTGGTGTACAGCTGGCTCTCCACGGTCTGGCCGATGCACTGCAGCTTCACCGCCTGCAGCGTCTCGTCCACGTGCACGACGGTGGGCAGGCTGCCCAGGGTGTCGTGGACCAAGTTGGCCACCTCCCGGATGTCGAAGAGCTTCAGCAGCTCGGAGTACACGGCTGGGAAGGAGCTCAGAAACACGGCCTTAAAAGAGAGAGACTGAAGTCAACTCCCAGGCGCGCCCTCGGACACTGGGTCCCACGTGCCGGGGAGTTTCACGCTGGGACAAATACTTTTGCGTGCTAGGACGATCAATGTCAAATGTGTCTGGTGTCGAAAGCTAAAAGGCTAACATTAAAATTAAAAAGGGCAGAAAAGTCAGACAATTTTTTTTGAAATGTGCAAAGATACAACACAAAAACTAGGAAATTCTGGAAAATCACTGACATTAGCAAAGTGATTGGCACAAAACTCCACAGAATCAGAAAAATATGGCATGGCCAGGTGGAAAGAATGCTCTGCTGGGCCCTGGACTGCCCTCACTAATATTTCATTTCCTTCTGGAGAAGCTTTCTAAAGTGCTGATTTAAACTTCATTTGCCTTTCAGAAACCAAACGCATGGATTCCCTAACACGCCCAGTTTAAGGTTAAAGGGGAACCAGGGCAGGGCACCAGAAGACCTAGAGCACAGATAGCGCTGGCTTGGCTTCCGAGCAACCCCGTGACCTGGGACAGGTCACGCCAGCCTCCTGGGCTCCGGCTCCAGCACCTGTGAAACGACAAGATCATCAGAAAACTCCTGGAGGTTGCCTTGAGATTTATTCTAAGCCCGGAAGTGTGTGTCCTGACTAAGGACAACATTCTTTATGTAAATCAAGAAATCTGATCATTGTTTTTGTCAGAAGAAAATAAAAGGATAGGAATATCCGACCCGAGGGGCACACCTCAAATCCTGAGCCACGGCCGCACATCAAAACAGACAAGCGCGGCCTTTCAGAATTCCGCAAGAGGCGGCGGTGAACGCAGGGGCCACCGGCCTCACCTCCCCCTGGGGGAGCCCGCACGTTCCCAGCAGGCTGCGCGCTGCGCGCCGGCTGGCTTCCCCGCGAGATCCGACACGGGCGGGAAGCAGGTCAGCCTGCGAGTGCCGAGGCTCCAAAGGCGGACTCAGGTTCAAGTTCACGGACTGCGGTGTGCAGCTCTCTACGCAGCCGCAGCAGACATGCCCGGCGGACCCACTGGAAACCCAGGTCCTTCCCGACTCTTAATGACTACAGATGTATTCGAGTGAATTCAAAACAAACAAGCTGGTAGTCCCCGCTAAAAAAAAGCACGTTCATATAACCCCCGTTTCACTCTGCGGCGGGGAGCTGAGTCACCCAGATGAAGTTAAAAACAGTGAAATAAAATGAGCCCAGCTTTCTGACGACGGCAAGTCAGGCTGGTGTGCTGCGGGGACCCTCTAGTGCACTGCTTCCTTCCTTGGGCACATGCACCCCTTCACTTCACGGGAGCGTGCGGACGGGCCTGCCGTGCGAGGTGCTGCTGCCGCAAAGGCCGAGGGAACACACAGCTTGCGGTGAGGGCCCAAGGACGGCCACACCAGTGTGGCTAAGCTAAGGACTTTCACTGCAGAAATTTAAAATAAAAAATCAATTTCATTTTGACCTTCCTAACAGCAAGGACACATTTTTGGGAAAGATAATGACTCTGAATTTAAAGGTGGGTTTGGGGCCTCAACTCCCCCTGTCATTCCTCTCCTCCTGGGGTCCTCAAGGTCGGGGCCTACCCAGGGAGGGGGTCCCCGAGAGCCACTGTCTCAACAGCCAACTCAGCAGCTGTGGCCGGGGTGGGGCTCCCCCCGCAGATGGTGGGTGAGCCGGCACGGGCGGCGGAGGGGCGGTGGGGGGGCAGCGGGAGCCTCAGACAGGGACCAGGACGGCCAGGGGCGCGGGGCTGCCGTCTGCTGGCCAGCGCGGAGGGCCGACGGGGTGGCTGCTCTGCCTGCAGGAGACAGGATGTGCCCTGGGCCGTAGCCCACGTGGAGATAATGCAGGAGGGAGCGAGGGACCAGGGCTTTTGCCTTGGGGCAGCCTGGGAGTCGAACGCCAGCCAGCGGATGTCCTTGGCTCCGGACGTGGCGGGCGGGATTCTAGGCTGACGCCCACGCCTCCGTCCCGTGGGCGGTGCCCACGAGTGCATCATACTGTGTGGTGAAAGGGGTTCTGCAGACGTAATGAAGTCACTAACGAGCTGATCTTAAAATGCGGAGGCTATCACGATTGGGCCTGACGCCGTGAGCCCTGAAAACAAGTTTTCTCTGGCTCAGGGGGTGATGGGAAACGTCAGAAAGAGGGAAGATTCCACACAGTGGCTGGCCTTGAGGGGCCATAGGAGGTGCCAGAGACCAAGGAGTGGGCGTGGCCTCTAGGACTGAGAGCACCCTCCCCCTCCCCACCCCTGGCTAAGAGCCAGCGAGGAGATGGGAGTCTCCATCCTACAAACACCAGCAGACTGATTTCTTCCAAAAGCCTGAAAGACCTTGACAGTGAAGGGTTCTCCATGGCCCAGCGAGGTCCTCAGAGACCCCGAGCCAGAAATGCAGCCACTCCTTCTGACCCACAGAACTGTGGGCATTATAATGAATGGGTGATGTTGAAAGCCATTAAGGTGTGGGCATCTGATAGGTGGCAATGAGCATGCTGCACACTGGCTCAAGCACAATGTGCGGGGTCAAAAGGGAACCAGGCACAGGAGGGGGTGTCCCACTCCCATTTCTCCCCAAATGCAGGGGGGACAAAGTCCCCACCACGTGATCAAGGAAACCAGCCGCTGCGTCATCTGATCTGAATTTGCTCTTAGCATCGGACGAAAATGGCATGATCCCATCAAAATGCACACGCACAGACACTGCAAGGAAGTGAGCCGTTCCCACCGAGTGTACGGGGCGACTGGGAAACTGCGTGTACGTATTGTACGTATTTCCTGCGGATGGAAAGGGAAACGCGGGGTTCTGTGAAGGCGCTGAAGTGGCCTCGCTGTGCCGACCGGAGGCCGGAGCTTCGAGGGGCCAGTCAAGATGCCGAACGGACACAAGGAGGCCTGCTCCTCCGCCCCGAGGCTGGACGGGCAGCTGGTGTCGCATCAGGGCGGCCACCGGCACCCGAGGAGACAGGCCTGAGGTCAGAGGGTGTCCGTCTCCCCCATCTGAAGAAGAAAACAATCTTTGCCTCCCCAGGAGGTGTGGCAAGGAGAGGGCATGACTCGAGGGCACTCACCCTTCCAAGTGAGGGATGTGTGTCACACGGGAGCTCGGTGCTGTCCCCATGACCGGTAAAGATTTAAGAAGAAAAACGAACAAAACGAAACCAAACAAACTGTCCATGGCTTTTGTAAAAGTGATGAACTTCTGAGAGACCAGATCAGAGGGGGCACAGGGCCGGCTCGCTGGACCGCCCTCTTCCCGTGTCTGAGCGCAGGTCCGCCTCGTGGGCCGTGCCACAGCCAGGCGTCTGGCAAGTCCCTCACGTGCAGGGAGTGGCCACGGGCGCCCGAGGCCGGGAGGGTGTTAAAGGAGCCTGAACCGCAGCATCCTTGCCCAGAGGGTAGAGGAGTCCGCTTCTGCCGGGAAGACAAGCGTAGCGCCCCAACGGTCGGAAAAAGTTGGGCGTTACCACCCAAGGGCTGGTCTGTCCCCAGTGTTTGGCCGTCACGGAGGATGCCTTCCACGTGTCAAACGGCACAAATCACAACCACCCTCCGTGGGGTCCAGTTTCACCCTCTGATCTCCCCTCGCACGTCCGGGTTCTCACTGACTCTAAGTCTCCCATCTCTGGGGGTTGGGGGGGTCACAAAGAGGCCGCTCCTCCCCCTGACGGGTTTATAACCAGGTCACTGGAGTGGAGGGTGTGTGGACAGGACTAAGAAACACGGAGAGAGACACGCAGAATCGCCTCTCAGAACGCGTCCGAGGCCAAGCGGACGGATCCTGTTCTACAACAGCCCCCGTGAGCTGCTCTCCGGGCCACAGAGTCTGACAACGGCCCCGCAGTGCCGGCCCCGTGAGACCGGCCCCAGGACAGCGAGGGTCCAGTTCAGCTGAGTCTGACCCCACGAGCCCCCTGTGTGGACGGGTGAGGGCACAGCACAGAGCAGGGCCCGGGAAAGGGACTCCTGCAGTGATCTTCTGTCCACTGGGCTGGCGGGGACAGTGCTGCTCACCACCAGCGTGCGTCCTGGAAGCTGGGGTCGGGCTGACGTAAGCCACCAGGCCCTCCACTCAGATGGGACCCTCCCCGAGGAGACACGGCCCGCCGCCTGCTCTGTGGGCTCCCAGACCCGGGGGCTGGCTGGTTAGGGCTCTCCCGAGCCAGCGAGGCTGCAAATGCGCACCTGGCCCTGGATTCCCCCAGGAGCAAACACCTCCACGGAGGCCGGACAGACAGGCAGCTGGGCTCCCTGCCCCCTCCGGCAGGGACCGCAGGGGGATGGGGGGGATTACCTGCGACTGGGACAGCGCCCCCGACCCCTTGCTCTCCTGGGACAGGAAGAAGCGCACGGACAGCAGCAGCTCCTGGATGCAGCGGCGGAACTCGTCCTCGTTCTGCCCGCCCGTGGCCAGCGAGAACAGCCGCCGCGACCGCACGATGACCTTGAACAGGTACTCCTGCGCCTGCAACGACAGTTCCCGAGGGTCCCTTCCGGTGGGGGCCTGCAGTGTGCGCATCCCACGGTGGGGGGTGGGGGGGCAGACGCGAGAGCCCCGGCGCCACGCCCAGTGCGCAGGGGACCTCGGTCTCGACACAAGGAAGGACGTGGAGCCGGCCCACCAGCCTGGACGTCGGAGGCGCGTTCCTCCTCCTGACACGTGATGAGGGGACACGTGTGGAACACCTGGAGGTGGTGGTGGGTCCACGGGCGGTGGGCAGAGGGCGCGGGGGCCGGGGCGGGGCGAGGGGGGGAGAAGCACTGAACTGTCCCGGGGCGGGACGGGCAGCGCGGGGAATGCGGTTGGTCATTTCGTGGTGACTGTGTGTGGGGCCGGGTGGGCGCTAGAACGGCAAGTGATCTCCGTGTCTGACCGCGATCTGAACACCCGAAACGCATGTCATACTGAACGTCAGCTGTAACTGGAAAAAAAATTTAAAATACATTAAAAGTAAAAATTCTGCGTAATGCTCCAGAGGTGTGAACGTTCAATGTTTCCATCGTCAGAGGTTGCTGAGTTAACAGAGAGAGTCTGTTTACAGAAATGATTTTGCTTTGCTTGTGAGTATTCTCGCCACTTAATACTGTCCCTTCAACCAGACCAAAATGGTCAATTTATGATGATCAAAATGCTTGATTTACAAAACGCACGCCTGTCTCCCTTCACCTGAGGAGAGGGAATGGGGGTGTCCTCCAACAGTAGGGGTCAGAGGTGCCCAGGGCAGGTCCTGGACAATGCCTTCAAGAACGTGCCTTCTTTCTGGACGTGTCTGCAAGTAAGGTGTCAGCCTCCCCAGACGCGACTGGGCGTGCGGCCCAGAGACGAGGCCAGCGTGAGACCAGGCGGCCCAGGCAGGCCCTGGGCGCCCTCACTGGGATCCCTGCTGCGCCGCCCATGCCCCCTGAAAACGTGACACCCATTGTCCGCGGACAGCCACTGTCGGGGAGACAAAGGCAAGGACCAGGGGCCGCCGAGCCCGACTGCCCAGCGGCCGTCCACTGTCCCACCCCGCCCTCCTGCCGACCCCAGAGGTCACTGCAGGTGCTCTGGAGCCCGGAGGAGGGGGGATTCAGCCCCGAGCAGGTCCCAGTGCGGGAGCCTGGCGAAGTCCCATTCCAACTTCACCTGCCCCGGCGCGGCCACACAGCGAGGAAGAACCCGGGGCCCGCATTACCTTCAGCACCTGCTGGATGTGCTCCTGCCGCTCCGCTTCCGTGACCCTGTCCACGTACCACTTGAGCACCTTGATGAGGTCCCTGGAGCACGGGAGACAGGTGAGCGAGGCCCACGGGCCTGACTGCCCGTGCACGCCCCCCGCCCAGCCCCCGTTCTCGTCCCGAGGGGCCCCTTCGCCTGTCACGAGCCCCGTGTCCTTTCTACCGGGCTGCTCTCGGCCGGTCTGCGGGCGGCGGCCTTCCTGCCAGTGAGGACCCTCTCGGTCCTGACATAGCCCCCCCAATCTCCTGGCTTCTGGGAGCTTCCGAACAGGCGGCCGCCAGCCCCAGGGGAAAGGACTCTGGCCAAGGAAGTGCCGGGAGGCACGGCTGTCACCGCCACCCCTGGGTGACTGCTGATCGGGATCCCCCCCTCCCCGTGACAGGGAAGGGCTGGGTGAAAGATCCTGGGGGGGCCCCAGGTGGGCTTCCCCACCTCGAATCCCACCCCTCGGGAGGGAACTCATCAAGCCAGGCCTCCGACCCTGGGAAGAACAAGTTTAAGTTCACTGTGTGCCTCGGCAGGAGAAGGTCTAGAAAACCCACATTTTATTTTTTGAGGAAACAGAAACTGATTAACACCCTCCCCGCTAATCCCCGCTCGCTCATGCTGCTCCAGACCGCAGCCCCGCTGCGGGAACTCTGGCCTGCGCTCGGCTGCCGGGGACAGAGCAGCCTGCACTGCGCTCCTGTTTGCTCCTGTTTGCCCGCGGGCGGCCAGGCCGCCGGCGGGGCGCGGCCCGGGGAGTGCAGGGCTGCCCGGGGTCAGCCAGCGAGTCTCTGACCGCCTGTGGCCCAGCGCAGGCCACCAGCACCCTGCCTCCCTGGCCGACCAGAAACGTGGGAGATGGCACCCTTGTTCCCCAGCCTCCGTGATGGTTTCTGTCGGAAGCGGGGACCCCTCGTGTGAGGGCCCAGATCGTACACCGAGTGGCGGGCCCCCCGGCCACATTTCCAAGCCACTCCGGCTGTCGCCTGTCACCCTCTGCAAAAACCCTGTGCACGGAGGGTCCGACTTTGCAGAACTCATGGTCTCACCTGTACGCGAGCGCCCCGGCAAAGTGACTCTCTATGTACGTGTCCATGACGGGCTTGAAGTGGTGGAACTTGCTGTCTTGCAGCAAATTTATTATGTGGACCTAGAAGGACAACTGAGCTTCGTAAAACCCTTTTCAGGCGAACTCACTCGCTGTGAGGCGTGCGCGTCTGAAACTGCCGTCGTCCAGACGGAGAGACACGGTGTTAAGATGTCATCATAGTGAACGTCAACTCACCAGAGAGTCAAACACTTTGGACCCATACTTTTGGGAGTTCTCATCCAAAATTCCGAATAAGGTGTCCAGTGTATCTTGCAGAAACTGTCGGGTAAAGAAGGAGGAGGAGATGAACCCATCCGCCAGCGCCTGCCCCTCCCCTCCAGACGCCCCTCGTCCCGTGAGCTTCCCCGGGCTGGGGGGGGGGGCGCTGGGGGGACGCAGCCCGCGTACCTTCACTATCTCCGAGCCGTCGATCTCCTTCAGCTTCGAGAGGCAGCCTGTGATCTTGTCCGGGTGGGTCCTCCACTTCAAGAGATCGAGCATGTCACCTTCCCGAACAAAAGAGAAGGGATTGTCTTCCTAGAGGCCGGCCTCTCCCAGCCAAGTGTTCTGCTGGTTAAAGCGGAACTCTTCCACACGGCGCCTGCCGTCGCCGGTCACCCAGGCGGCAGGCTCCCCCGCACCACGGCCAGCCCTCCGAGGTGGCGTTCGCTAGTGCGTTCCAACGACATCTCCTGTCCCCGTGGTCTGGACTGAGGAACTCCCGCCCCTCCTCTGGCTCCCAGGTGAGCAGTGGCTTCGTCTAGAAGGTCTATCCTGGAACATTCCAGACTGAGCCAGCGGCCACTCCTGCGTGCCCCCAGGTCACAGCAGCATTCATCCCCCCCCTTACAGCTATCTGTCTGTCTGTCTGTCCCACCAGACTGCAAACCCGAGACGACGGAACCACACCAGGCCTGGCCCTGCCGTCCTCCCGGCCCCCACTGGGCACAGCCCCGCGGCCAGCTGTGGATAAGTATCTGCTGAATTATCTTCTGCCTCTTCCCAGTAACACGGGAGCTTCTTTTGTTTGTTTGTTTGTTTAATAAACATATCCTCCTCACCCAAGGATATATTTATTGAGTTTTTTGGAGAGAGAGAGAGAAACATCCATGTGAGAAAGAAACATCCACTGGCTGCCTCTTGTTCAATCCCTTATGGGGTATCGAACCCGTAACCTAGGTATGTGCCCTGACCAGGATCCAACCCACAACTTTTGGTGCACCAGATGATGCTCCAACCAACGGAGCCACCCGGCCAGGGCCACAGCGGGGGTTTCTGGAGTACTGGGAACATGCTTCATTCACGCTTGTGGCCCCAGCTGTGCCCAAACCGATCCCACAGGCACGAAAGCCTTCCTGGCAACGTGACTCACACGTGGCAGGACGAGAAGGTCCCCACAGAGGGATGACAAGCCCGGCCAGCGGACAGATCACCTGCAGGCCCTCGGACCTGAGGGGCTGGGTGCCGGCCTCCACAGCCGTCTCTGTCCCCAGTTCCGGGGACCCCGCAGCTCGGTGTCCTGGCTTCCTACACTGACAGCACGTGGCCCTGGCTGGGGGGGATGGGAACAAAGGCGTCCCTCCGCTTCCCTGCACACAAGCCAGCAGGGCTCCTGAGCGTAAGGCTCCAGAGGGGGCAGGGAGACTGGTGGACACAGGAAGAAGGGACAAGGACAAGGGACCCAGCAATGCAGGAGGCTGGGGACCCGCAGGGCCAAGACCAGAGCAGCCGAGAGAGAGAGAGAGAGAGAGAGAGAGAGAGAGAGAGAGAGAGAAGAGCTTCTTTGCAGGCCTAACAGGGAGAACCCCACTTCATGGAGAGACCCAGAGATATGTGCTGGGAGACGGAAAGACCAACGTGGACACGAAACTCCCAAGTGAAATAGAAACCAAAGGACCGAGAAACCAAGGCGGCACGTATGATGAGAAACAAACCACGTCGCAAACAGAGATGAGACGAAAGCATCTGCGTCGTGGGAGGAAAGCACAGTGACCCCCGCCCCAGCCAGATTCAAGAGAACAGCTTCCCAACAACTCACTTAAAAGGAAGAAATGGAGTCCCAGGAACGTGTGTCCACAACAGAGAGAGATACAAGCAGGAGGACAATTTCGAAAAAGAAAAAGAAGGGAATGTAAAAAAATACAGACTTTGAAAAAAAGACGGGTGATGTTTTCATAACAGGAACACCTGGAAATCCTTAATGCTTGTGTTTGACTCAGACAGACATCCCGGAGATGCGATGGAGACCTTTCTAGAAAGGGCCGGTTATCCACGAACATCTGCTGCTCCCACGGAGTGAGACGCGCAGGGGCAGGGGGCGCACCTGACACCCTCCTGCCCGCGGACCCCTGGCTCCCGCCCCCCCCGCCCAGCATCGACGCTTCCCCTGGGGGCACCTCCTCCTGGAATCCCCGAGGCATCTCCCTTCCAGTTCCCTCTCCTCCCACCCCGCCGCCCTCCGACTGTCCCCACACTCCTACCCTCTCCCGGGCCCTCGCTGTGGGGGGTGGGGAGGGACATGGCTAGAGGCCGCTGTGGGAAGCCAGGCAGAGCTGGAAAGAGCGGGCCAGGGTGCAGACAGACTGGGGGGAGCTGTTCATGTTTCCTGCCGCAGGCCTCACTCAGCTCTGGGCTGCTGGTGATGGGGGACTCAAGAGTTGGAAGGCTTTAGTTTAAGGCAAATACTTAATAAGCCTAGTAGGCAATGCATGCGTTAAAGCTGTTGTTTCAGGAACTGCAGATAAGGCCCACCACTCCTGGGAGAGACAGCCGACCTCCTGGGGCACTGCTAAAGATTACCGCCTGGGGGACAAGTGGAGGCAGCCAGGCCGCTGTGTTCCAGGGAGAGACAGATGAAATAGCTAACGGCCCAGGGCGAGAATGCTGCAGTTTTCTTTTATCTAACTTTCCCTGAATTTCCAACCACCTCACTGCTCCTTGTGGACTCCCTGTTATGAACAGGCTGGCCTGGAAGGAGAAATAAGACTGTGTGTTACGGTGCGAACCCTCCGTCTTCTCAGATCTCCAGCCATCCGAATACAGCGCCCATAAAGATTCCATCCCCGTCTCTGCCTATGGGGTTCGGCACGTGACAGGCGGTGTGAACCCAGGTGTCTTTTCTGGTTTCAGTAGTTCCGGAGCAGGAGGAGGAGTAAAGGAGCGTATCTGTCTGGACATGATCATCATGCAGGCCGAGTCCTCAGTTCAGTCCAAACTGTCACCTCTCGGCCCTGACGTTTAGCCGTCTGAGGCTGCACTGCTGGGGCACGCTGGGAGCTGTGGCCTGCTGCTGGAAATGTGAACGTTACATATTCCGTTCAATATGCACTTAATGCCTAGCCTGCCGGGGGCTGTAAAACAGGGAGACAACAGGATCCTCCCTCTATTTTTTTTTAAATCACAATCTCAGGAAGAGATGGGATGAACCACCCGCCCGTCACTACAGGGGACCGGGGCTCACGGGGCAGTCAGTAACTGAACAATCGTCGGACAACGTTTAAAGATGGCTTTTTTCCCCCTCGACCATTTAAAAAGTTGCATTTCACAGCCCAAGGAAGGTCACAAAGAAGTGAAATAATTTCTTCCTGGATCCTTATTCTTAAGAAGCTTAAAATCTCCTCCTGACCTGGCAGTGATGGCGGTCCAGCCGCTGCAAACCAACGATGCTAATACAGACCGTGCAGACAGACACACAGCAGGGACCTGAAAGGCAACTGTGCCCTGGGAAAGGGTTCCCGGAGACCACGTGGCTTACCGAACGCTCACCGGTAATGGGAGTGGGATTTGCATATCTTCCAAGTGGAGTGAAATGAACAGAAAGCCATTTCAGTTTGGATCTGGATTACCTCCAGACAGAGATGCGAGGAGCAGAGGTGCACATTTCAGAAAGACGGACTGACTCCCTTCCTCCTTCCCAGCTCACTGAAATACGCGACTCGTTTTCCTGGCTCCTTGTGAGCCGTCTTCCGGCGACGAGGTTAATTACAGCCACAATGATAATTAGGCACTTACACGCCTTCCATGCTGGGAAATGTTTAATATAATGATCGCACCAACCGTTTATTTACCCACACGCACCTGAAAATGTTCTCTGCTTTTCACAAAACAGCAGCTTCCAAGAGTCACGGTTTGGTTCTGTCTTATGTTCACCACCCCGCCCAACCTCCTAAACCCAGGAACTGGAACAACCGAGGGGGGCGGGACTAAACATTGTAATGGCAGAGAATCTACGTTTAGGTTTCTTTGTGTGGCTGGCAGAAGAATGGGCTCTGAATGCCCCTGTCCCAGTCCCTGGAACCTGTGAGTATGTTTACCTTAGGTGGCAAAAGAGATGTTATAGGTGTGATTTGGCTTGAGTACTCAAACAAGGGGGGCTGCCCTGGATTAGCTAGTGGTCCCGATGTAGCCGGCCAGCGTGGCACAGTAGATTGGGTGTCTTCCCACAAACCGAGAGGTCATTGGTTCGATCCCCAGTCAGGGCAGGTGCCTGGGTTGCAGGTTCTGTTCCCAGTTGGGGTGAGTACAGACAACAACCAATGGATGTTTCTCTCCCCACTCAAACAAAAAGCAGAAAACCCAAGGAAGATGGCCAGAGTCAGGGAGGGCTGGGAAGACGGGGAGGGGTCACGGGCGAAGCGATGCAGGTGGGCCCTGGGGGCGTGGGCAGAGGCTCCCCCTTGAGCTTCCGGAAGAAAAGCAGCCTGGGGGCTGGCTCCCGGGTCTCAGCCCAGTGGAGCCACTTCAGACTCTTGACCGAATTGTAAAGCAATAGATTTCTGTCGTTTTAGGCAGTGAGTTCATAGTCATTGCTACAGCGGAGAGCCAACAAGTGAATCTACAAACACGCTCCCGGAGACAGTCAGGGAGTGCACACCGGGGCCCCATAACCGACACAGGCAGAACGGGCCTACAGCATCGGACGAACCGAAGCACTGTCTGCGGGAGTGGAGGACAGGTCGACTCTGTGACATTCATACCCTCCGCGGGGGTGGACATACCCCCTAAAAAATACCCGAGGCTTGGGGAATGCTTTACAATCATTACAAAACCATGCCAACGCAAGTCTTGTTCAAGCACGACCATTAACCACTGCATTCCGATACGGTCTGGTATCACTTGACGTCTCTCCACTCGGTGATAACGACCTTCAGGCGAGATTCCCCAAAACAGACCCTGCAGTCGATGTTTAAAAATACTCCTCCAAACAGGCTTTGGAAGGGGGGAACCCCAAAGCAACACAAACGTGATGCAACCATCGGCCCGGGGACCAGGCATGTAAACAGAGAATTGCGAGAGACACTGAGAAGCATCTTGAAAGCAGTCGGAAGTGACACACGACATTTTGCCCGATGCCTAAGAGGAGAAACCCATTTCCGGCTGCACGCCCTGCTCCGAGCCTCAGGAGACATCCAGGACGTCTTTCTCGTAAGGAAGTTCGGGCACGGGAGCACCGTACGAGACCCAATCCCTTCCTACCACGTGGTCCTCCTCAACGAAACCCATCTGACTATCAGCACGGCTTTCAGGACGCCGCCAGACGCTTTACGGGGCAAGCGTGAGGAACGCAAAACCCGTTTCCTTTACTGCCTGCGTCAGACACGGTTTTCACGACAAGTGGCCAAGAAGAACCTCTCGTGTTTTGAACTATGACTTGCTAAACTGGTGTAAAAAGGAAAGCTGGACTAGAGAAGCCTATCATCTAATTAAACAAAAACAGCCTTTCCTCTGAAGTCTGCAATTGGCACTGTTTATGGACAGGGGAAAGGGGTGTATTCTTTGTCTTGTATTTTACTCTTCTGTTCTGCTAAGCAGCTGGGTTTTAAGGGGCGATCTGGAGAGCCGTGTGCTCGGGGGCCGACGCTGGGACAGTTATGCAGCCCTGACATGATGGGCATTGGACAGACCGGCGGGCCACACGGAAGGGCCGGCCACCCCTCCCGTGCGAGGTCCTGGATGCCGACACGGGTGCGCATTGCACGCGCCCGCCCAAACCCACCAGCACGTTCTCACACGGCCTTTCAAAGGGGAGAGCCTCGTACGTACCGTTCTGTGTGAGCTTTGTGGAGCAGAGGGAAGAGGTGATCCAGAAAGACTCCTTCGTGGCCTTCGTGGCCTGGCTGCTGTTCCCCAGGAGGAGCCCCTTGGAGAAGGGCAGTTTGAGGTAGCGGGCGGCGTCCTGGAGGTTTGTGTTTTCTTCACACTGTGGAGGACATGCACACGGGGGCGGGGAGAGAGAGACCGCGTGAGGATCGTTAGGAGGCGTGATTCCCAGCCCCGGTGTTTGCGAGCTGGGGAGTGGTCCAAGCAGCATCGCAGACAGAGACCGGCCTCACGGGACGTGCAGCAGGAAGGCGGGAAAGGAAGGAAGCGCGGCCACTGGGCTGGGACCCCCGACTGGGTCCGAGACCCAGCCCCGTCCCTCCCCCCACGAGCGACTGAGCCCAGTCACCGAACCCCTTGGGACTTCGGGTCTGTCTCCGAAACCCTGTGTTGTCATAAGCAGAACACAAAGAAGCCCTGAGCGCCGTGCCTGATACTTAGGGGGCGCTCAAGAAACCTCACTGGCGGCGATCACAGAAGTTGGAGAGACAACGCTTACGGTCCCTCACAGTCTCATCTGACACAGCGTCTACACAACTCCCCGCTTTGAAAACGGCGACCACTGCAGACAGAGTACTTCGGGGTGATCTAGTTGTCCCACTGCGCGAAGGGAATCCCTCAGTCACAGAGAGCGCCAGCTAACGATCAGTGTGAAAGGAATTACAGATTCCAGAAACAAACCTTTTTGTCCCTAATGTCATTCGTTCTCTAGCCAAGGACTGTCACTCAGTGTGAAACCAGCAGGAAAACTGCTGAGGAAAGCGACGTTCACAATGCCAATGGAGCAGGAGGACCGGGGTCCCTGCCCAGGGGTGGGGCGGGTGGGGGCTGGGCTGTCTGTACCCCCCAGTGGGGCGCTGCAGGGAGCTACCTTGCCAGCCCCTCCCAGGGGTGCTGAACCGGCCCCACCACCCCTCCGGGCTCCAAGCGCACCTCCCAGGAAACACCAGGGGCAGAGCCCCAGGCCAGCACCCCTGGGGGCAGCCGCCACACAGACCCAGGACGGGTGCCCCCGCAGGGGCTGCGTGCTGAGCAGAGGGGCTGACCTAAACAGCACGTCAGAGACAGGCAGCTAGATGCCACTTCCAGCCCCAGAGCTAAACACAGCTGCCCGAAAGGGCTGTTTTTTCAGGTTTATACGTGGACTAAGTTCTAGAGGAAATAAAAATTTAGTGACTGGAGAACCATAAAATGAAAGAGTCGATTTTGTAATATGTGTGTGTGTGTGTGTGTGTGTGTGTGTGTGTGTATGCAATAAAGCCACTACGATGTCCTTCCACTGACAAACGGATACATTGTGGTCCATCCAGAAAGCGGACAGTGCTCGGTGCTAAGAAGAAGTCACTTATCCAGCCACGAGAAGACGCGGAGGAAACGTCGATGCATGTTACTACGGGGAAGGAAGCCGGTCTGCAAAGGCCGCACACGGAGTGATGCCTCCAGCTCCGTGACCTCCCGGAGAGAGCACAGGAGCCGAGGAGGCAGGACAGTCAGGGGCGGGCAGGGGCTGGGGGGAGGGGCATGGCCAGGCGGGGCACAGAGGGATTTTGGGGCCGTGTGTGAGGTACTGTGATGGACATACGTCATTATACATTTATTCACTTAATAAAATTGATTACAAACTAGAGAGGAGGGAGACAGGAAGGGGCCCTCTGCCTCACTGCCCTGCAGAGTGGGCTCAGCCTGGACCCGAGACGGGGGCCCGCCGGCTTGGAGAGAAGACGGAAACGCGGCAGCTGTCAGCCCTCACATCCTTTGAGACTCGAGAGCCCGGCTGGCCGTCTGTTCCTTGCCCAGATTCACGACCGCCTGGTACAGCGCTGAGGAATGCACCGTGGTTCTGACCGCCGTCCCGGGCACGTGACAGACAACTGTGACGGCCGGTCACAGTGCTCGGGCAACGTGACATCCACAGGAATGCAGGCTCGGTGATTAAAAGGTGGACATCCACAATGTATTCGAAAGTAAACTGGCACAGAGCCCTGGCTGGTGTGGCTCGGAGGGGGAGGGGGGGAGTCGTCCCACAAGCCAAAAAGTCACTGTTTCCACGCCCGGCCAGGGCCAGGGCACATGCCTGGGTTGCGGGCCAGGTCCCCGGTCGAGTCCCCAGTTGGAGCTGCGCGGGAGGCAGCCGGTCAGTGTTTCTCCCCCTCCCTCTCTCCCTCCATCTCTCTAAAATTAAATTAATAAAATCTTTAAAAAGCACGTAACTGGTACAGAAATTAATAGTATATTTATCAGATGAAGGGGTCTGTCATCTGCAGGGAGTAAAGAATTAAATTAAAAAATACGGTCGGTTCGACAATCCAGTTGGAATGAATGTTACCAGTTCATCAAAACCAGATTGAAACTGTTACGGCAGCAAAACACCTCCTTTCGGGGACTCTCAGGACAAGTGGCCACGCCTGGTGTCACAGTAAACATGTCCTCAGGCCCTCCTGGCCACCAGCCCTTGAGTCCGGGGTTAAGGAGGTCACAGGTCCCCGTGCCCCAGGGTGCTGCACACCTGACCCCGCCCTCCCCTGGGAGCTCTGTGTGCAGAGCTGTGAGAGAGCCCGCTCACGGTCGTCCAAACAGAAACACAAGTCCAGTTCCCCAATCACGCCCTGCATGCGCGCTGGGCCTCACGCTGAGACTGAGCTCGCTGGCCCAGCCTGACCTCAGCGAGACGCGGAACAATAGTCGTTATGGTCGGCGAGTGCCCTACGGCTGTTTAAATGAGCCACCCAGGACAGCCCCAACCACGAGACGACTCGGGCCCGCACCACGCAGGTCTGCCCTGGACGGGCCAGTCCGCCGACACCACCCCAGCCTCCTTTGAGGTGGGGGGAGGTCACTGGGACCACCTGCCCTTTACATGGTCCCAGCTCAAATAAATTTTCCTCTGCTCTGGGGATCAGAATGTGGATCCTCAGTGAAAATTCAGGCAAAGGCTTGAGAGGATTCGAAGCTGCGTTTCTGAGAAGAGTGTGGCCCTGCTCACGGGCAGCCAGCCCGCAGGCCCCCAGTGACGGGAGCAGAGCGGCCTCTGTCTGGGAGCCCAGAGCCGCCGGCCTCCTCACGGCTCCCACGCAGACGCAGGCTCCGCTCCCCGCCCGCCCAGTGTTCCAGTGCGCGGAGGGCTCGGGCAGCAATAGGACGCTGGGTGCTCTTCACAGTCGCTTGGGGGCGTGAACCTGACGTGACTGGAGACTTGGCACCCGCCCCCGAACACCCCCGACCCACGGGGGGGAGCCCACCCGTGACGTGTCCTCAAGCAGGGACTCTATCTCCTCTGACACCGGTCCCCCGGGCGCCCAGGGGAAGGCGCTCGGCCCTGTGTTTCTGAGTTACAGCTGCGTGTTCTACAGAGACGATGTCACAGACATGGGGACAGAGCACCGCCGCGTCTTCTGGAAAACGGTCCCTGAAGACGCTGCCCGTCACTGCAGGCATCTCGCCACGCGGCCTCGCGCCTCACCGTGAGATGACGGACTTCGGTGGCTGGGACGTGGGGTTCCTCGGTTGGTTTTAATGCTCCTCCGTTTCAAAGTTATGCTCATCTTTGCATTTTAACACTGAGCACTTGGAGGTCACTCCCCAAAGCAGAGACACTGACCAGTATTCTCGGGTGACATTTCAGGACGCATGCTTTGTAAATTCTCCTTCTGCTGCCTACTATGGTGTACTTCACTCCCAACGTTCTTAGGCCAACGTGTGAGGCAGATAACAGAAAGGAAGAACCGCTGAAGCTGTCATAACGCAGCACAGCCACCCTCGGCTCGCTCGGGCAGAGCGGCAGACGGGAAAATGCACCGTGACCTTGGAAAGTCACCCCTGGGGGATGCGGCTCCAGGTAAGAAGGCTCGAGATAAGTAGGCTGGGAGAACCTACTGGTAACTGGTGAGGCTCACTTAATCCGGACGCAGCAATGGAAATGACTCTGAGGTCAACCCAGAATCCCTACACTTAAATTTAGACAAAGAAACAGACCACCTTTAAAATGTTTCAGAATAGGACAGAATATAGAAACAATGCTTTCACGAAAGCACTGTCCCTGCCAGCAATTTTCCGAAGGAGCATTCCTTCCAGTCACCACTGCGTCTTGGGCAGAGAATCGCTGAGACAGTGGCTGGTCACCCCGCCCGTCCTCCGAGGCCAGCCCCGCGCCTGACCGCCATTACCTTGTGCACGATGAGCTCATGGCTGCCGTCCGGAAGGGTCCTGCCGTCCTCCTGCATCAGGGGGACGAAGGAGAAGCCAAACAGCTTCTTCTCGCCCTTCTCCTTCGCTGTGGGGGTGGGGGGGGAGAAAGAAAAGAAGACTTGCTTGCTTGTTTACGCACCTGCTTACACAGCTCTCACAACTCCGTCCGGAGACCCAGGTGGTCAAGGAGCATGATTATCAACCCAGACATAAAACCCACCTCGCCAGCTCCTTTGACCTCGACGGAGCTTCGTCTACAGGAGCCTCTCTCCAGCCCCACGGGCCTGCCCCTGACTCCGCAAGTTACGTTTCTCAACTCATTTCCTTCAAGGGACTGACTCATTATCTGAAATTGCGTGTGTGTGTGTGTGTGTGTGAGAGAGAGAGAGAGAGAGAGAGAGAGAGAGAGAGAGAGAGAGAGAGAGAGAGAGAGAAAGAGAGGGAGAGAGAGAGAATTCGTGTATGGCTGGTGTCTTCTCACATCCCACCTCCACTTCTGGATGTAAGCTCCATGGAGGGCCGAGTTCTTATCTGTTATTTCATTCCAAGCATGGTGTCTCCAAGGGTGCCGAGAACACAGTAGGTCCTCAATACATGCAGGTGAAAGAGCGCAGGAGCACATGCACGTGAAACACGTTTGCTCACTACTCATGGAAAAGGAGACTTACTCGAAGCCTCGCCCTGGGCACCTCCTTCCCTAGAGCCACAGGGGTGCCGACAGAGCGCCCGGGGGCCATGAGCTCTTCCTGGCATTTGGAAGAAAGGCAAGAGCCCGTTCATCATCTCCCTCCATCCTGAAACACCCACAAAAGCTGATGGAGCTCCCCGAGCCAATTCTGACATGTGGTGTAGTCCCAGGGACAGGCACAGTCCTCTCCCCGAATCCTGCCTGAGCGACAGCTCACAGGTGACGACGTCACCACAGAGGTGCCTGGCCATGCCTCCGTCCCTTTGAGACTGCACAGGGACTTGCTACTTCTGGTCAAGTGTGAGCATAAGACACACTTCAGTGACACAGGGCATACCAGAGGGTCCCTAGATTGGGGGGTGGCGGGGGCAAGGAGGGGACTTGAGAAGGCAGTCATGAGTGCAAAATAACGAAAACAGAGATGGCAAGCAATGGAGATTTTATGGGCAGCAATGTTCACCCAGGCGAATCCTGTCACATCTCCACGCCTTGGGTTTCTCAGGTCTGTAAAATGGGCCATTACTTCATATCACCTTGAAGGACCATTCGGACTGACTTTCCTCAATTCTCATCTGAATACTGCCTGAGGCTGCATGATGATGCAAATATATGCAAATCAGATATAAGCCTGAGCCAATCAGAGGCCTTCCTAGGGACTTTATGCACCCGGGGAGGTCCTGGTGGGTCCCCTGAGAGCTGGATGAGCTCTTGGAAGGAGAGGGACCTTGGAAGGAGAGGGACCGGATGATGCTTCAGGACCACCCGAGACCAGCAGAGCCGGTCAAGTTTTCATGCTGTGTCTTCTCTAACATTTCTAGACCGTGGAACTGATGGACTGATTTTAATGAAAGTGGTCAACTAAAGGAGCATGCTGTAGATTTCCACAGGCACTTCCCCCCCTCCATGTCCCACGGAAGTTACTGGTTCTTCATGAATAAGTGAGCCCGCTTGTCTCTCCAGACTCCCCCGGCTCCGGCGCCCCCCCCCCCCCCAGAGGCCTCTGGGTCATTACACACTCACTCTGCACGGCAGCCCACCCACATCACGGCTCGGCGAGCAGACCACCCCCACACGACGGCACCCACCGAGCAGGACACTCACTGGAGCAATGCCGGAACTCGAAGCGGATGTGCGCGCCCCGGAACTTGTCCACGGGGATGGGCAGCTTCAGCAGCTCGGACCACCGGGGGCTGTTGTTGTGATACAGGACGAAGGAGTGGTAGGCGCTCGCCAGCGGCTCCCCGGAGCCGAAGGAGATGAAGTCCTGCCAGGGAAAACGGGCCCGCTCGTGACGGCGCCACTGGGAGGTGACTTTGAAAGCAGACCAGCAGTTGCTTTGCCGAGTCTGCCTGCCCCCCAAGGAGCACCCATCTCACGGGGCATGACCCGCCCGCCAGCTGTGCAAGGTTCGTTCTGCAGCTGGTGTCCCAGGGCCTTCGGTGCCGAGGGTGGCCTCGGGGGTGCGGGCAAGGTGGGCAACTGCAGGCCCCATGTGAAGGTCAGGGCTGAAGCAAAGGTCTCGACCTCCGCAGCGAGAGCCTGCGCTGTGCCTCCCTGGGACACCCCACGGGCCCCGGGGTCGCACAGAACCCATCTTGCACGAAAGGTCCTGTGGCCGTCTCTCCAACTCCTCGTGCCCCGAGCCCCAGGCCCTCGTTTGGTCAACATGAAAACACACAGGATTAAAGGCGGGATGTTTTTGGTTTTCGGTTTCACTGCGTGCCAAAAGACAGTATCTACCTCCAAAACCACTGCAGATGGAAGGGAAAATATGAAATGGCATAAAAATGTTGTGTGTACAGAATAATGGCCATGAGAAAATTGTTGGCACGATTAAACAAAATATAGGAGCCTCTCTGCTTTTTGACTTTCCTTTCTGAAAGGCATTTTAATGATGTTTTTTGGTTTATTAATATTATTTTTATTTATTTTTAGAGAGGGAAGGGGGGGAGAGAGAGAGAGAGAGACAGACAGACAGACAGACATCCATGTGTGGTTGCTGGGGGTCGTGGCCTGCAACCCAGGCATGTGCCCTGACTGGGAATCAAACCTGCGATGCTTTGGTTCACAGCCTGAGCTCAATCCACTGAGCTATGCCTGCCAGGGCTGGCATTTTAATGATTTTAAACACGCACAAGGGTAGAGGAGAGAAAGACGGAAAACAGATCAGAGATCAGCTGACCTCATTACGGACCGACCCAAAGCCATGAGACGGAATGGCCTCCCCCAACCGAATCACCGTACCTTCAGGATCTGGCCGCTGCTCTCCACGATGAACATCGTCACTTCCACGTTCCTGGCCACACTCTTGCCTCCTTTCTCAAACTCCCCCCTTTCTATGGTGATGTATAAATCATTCCTCATCTCACCTAGTGGGAGAGGGAAATTATAAAACTGTTTTATATAGACTCAGATGCACAATAAAGCACTCTATGAAGGAACACTTCAGTTCATAAAATACAGTGTTCTAGCATGCACAGAAAAGCGAAATATATTCCATTTATACCTTTATAAAAGGGTCTCCACCCTCACTGCTAATCTCCAAGAAAAGCAAAGGCCCACCTCTGCTAGGCGGAATGAACAATACTGGAAATGTCCCCTGGGAAAGCAAATACGGGGGCTGAACAGAAAGGTGTCAAATTTCACCATTTTTCAGTATTTCTCTTGTTTCAGTTATGAGGCGTGATGACAGAATGACAGCCTGGCAGGGGTGGCTCAGAGGGACTGGTCCTGACACTTTACAGTGGCGGCACTTAGAAGAGAAGGAATATCTAAATGGAATAAAATGACAGGGCCACCAAGGGTCCAGCTACGTGGAAGTCTTTTCCCAGATGCCCGGACAAAATGATCTCACAGCTGGGAGAATCCGCTTCGTGCTTCATGGACGCAGATGGGGAATAACTCAGTCGCACAGACACACTGCCGAGTATTTCTTGCCATCAAGTTGTAAGACCAGTGAAAGAGGCCTTGGATCCAAACAGACACATTCTCCGTGCACACATACCATCTATTTTTCCTCTATTGGTTATTTGTAAAGCTTGAATGCTTTTTCATATCCCCCTTTTCTTAGGACTGCAAGAAGAAGGAGAAAGGCATTGCCAACCAGCAAACACACACAGGCAAGCCGACGGCCTGCCCTCCCCAGGGCGAGGAGGGGGTAAGTGGGGAGAGCGCAGAGGAGGGAGAAATGAAAGCCACGTCCCACGAGAGAGAGTTCTGGAAGGTAAATGCTGGCGAGGGTGGCCAGGCTGAATTTACTTTCACTTAACGTGGCTTTCAAAAGCAATTCTCTTTTTTTCCTATTAAGGAAGTGAATTACCAGAAGCAGCAATAACCACACAAATATGCACGCGATTGGGAGATTTGCAGAACTCCCTGACCCAAGTGGGTACAAGAAAAAATGCCCGAGCTTCCCACTCCACAGGGGAACCTCAGTGTGCACAGTCCCCTTCCCCACAAGGACCCACTTTTTATAATGTCACCGTTCACGAACGCCCCGGGCTCACTGGGAAACACAGGAGCCGTAAAAGAGAAACGGAGCCCTCAACAGGATGAAAATCACATTACTTCCCAATAAATGTCTTGGGGTAAGAGCAGTTAATAACATTATGTAATCTGCAGGTGTAGAACCGTATACCAGGGCATCTGTGTACTGTACCATGCTCACCACCCCAAGTCGAGTCTCCTCCCATCCCCGTTGATCCCCCTCTAGCCTCCACCACCTCCCCTGCCCCTTCCTCCGTGGTCATCACCGTGCTGCTTGTTGTCTGTGTCTGTGTCTGTCTGTCACTTTCTGTTTCATATCCTATATGGAAATGAGATCGTATGGTTCTTGTCCTTTTCCACCTGACTTATTTCAGTTAGTATAATACTCTTAAGATACATCCCTATTGTTGCAAATGGCAATTATTTCCTCAAAAGGGAGGAAATAAATCTTAACTACCCTTTCCAAGGAGTATTTAAAAGAGTACATTCGTGGCAACTGTGGACACAGTGATCTCTGTCTTATGAATGTCTAGTACTCTCATACAGCTCATACAAACCAACCTGGGAAGGCAGTGAACTTGGAATTGCAGAAGAAAAGCAACATGTTTCAACACACTTAAAATTGTGGCTGAATGCTTTGGAAGGTTTTTGTTTTTACCCATTCCATTTTTTACAAGTTGTGTAAATTTTACAAGTTTGCAAGATTTTTACAACCCAGTTTATTTTATCATTGTATATATTTATCACTACACACACATTTTTAATGCTATTTATTTTAACTCTTCACTATAAGATGAAGAGCAAACTCACAAACTTTGTCCTCTGAATCCACCAATTTCAACTCAAAATAGGCCCCGTACAGTAAAGATCTGCACATGTGCCATTTCAACAACATGTCTGCAAGGAAATCCTTGACGACAGTTTTCCTGCTAACAGATCTGGCAGGTAAACGAACACTCAAATCAAGGCCCCTTCGAGCAAAAGTGTCAGCCAACAATAGCCACACCCCTCTGCGCCTGACAGACGCGCTGCATACAGACTGTGAGCCACGCGGAGGCATGGGGAGGGTGGCCACGGCATTGAACCTGAGCAAGGTCTCTTCGTGAGTAACCAGCTCATCCACACCACAGGGGGATTAACCACCCACGGAAGGAAGGGTGTTCCTTGGGAGGGGGCTTCCACGTGCATCTGTCGTAAGGACAGGGCGACTCCGAGTGGAGCAGAGGCGGGAGGGGCCCAGGGTGGTCTGCGAGGCAGCCCGCTTCCCCGTCCGTGGGCTGGGCCCTAAGGAGGGACGGCGGTCAGGGAGAGCCACGCATGGCCAGCTGGCCAGCGGCACTGAACTCTTTCTCGTGTAACCATTCAGCAAGTACATCTTGAGCACCTACTGTGTTACAAGTCCCTTCCCTCCCGAGCCGGTTCTAGCAGGGAGGTCTGGGACAAAGAAGGAAGCACGTGGCATGCTGAATAACGACGCGCCCCATGGGTACAGGCAGGGCAGAGGAGGAGGGGCGTGTGGTTGGAGGGGGGCAGTGGGGTGACCGAGGGGGAAACCTCTCCAGGAAGACGAGAGATCTGCGTCAGCTGCGGTGTGTTTTGGAAAAGGAGCAAATTAAAGGTGGCATCAGCTTCCCAAGCCAGCCCCGACCGCCCGTGTTGCTCACAACTTAGCTGGATTCTTCCATTTCTTCTGCATTCAGAAGACGTTCTGAGTTCAAAGAAGCCCAATGGACACAGGGTCCAAGGAACAAGGACCTTTGGACTCGAGGCTCTCTCTGCTGCCATCTGCCCTGTGGGACACTGTCTCAGTCTAGACAGGGGGATGTAAAGCTCTGGACCCCAAGGTTTGATGTTCTCCAGATGGGGGAGGGGAGGGTGAAGGCAGAGGCGGGGCTGGGAGGGAGGGGAGGCGGGACGAGACTCCTCACGCCTCACGCCGTTTGCATGCCTCACACCAGCACTGCTGGAGCAGAACACAGTTATAAACGACGACAACTTACACGCATGCTTCACTTTTCTGTGCCTTAGTTGTCACGAAGCCTGTGACCCCTTCATCTTCTGCCTCCCTGTCCTGACCCCTAGCAGAACACAAACGAACCCTGAAGGTCAAGTCTAGCAAATGAAAAGGACGAAAGCATCAGGTTAGCTGACCATCAACGCAACACCGGGACCAGAAATGCTGTTGACATGCATTTCCTCACGGAACAATGCAGCCCGTATTCCTCAGAGCCGCCAGTGACCATGAACTTGACGCAACACAGTTCTGAGAACAACGCAGGAAAACACAGCAATGACCGCGCGTTTGCCAGTGGAAAACACATCATTCACTTTTACAGTTGTTTTCAGCTGTTGCAGTGAATGCATACCTCTCCCCCTTCTCCATCTAGTGTGTAAAGTTAAGAAGCCAAAGAAGAAAAAGAATGTATTGCTAAAAAAAAAATAACCCCTTGCATTCCCGGCACTGCAGACTTGCATGTGGAGGATGGACCCCCTGGGCAGTGGGGGCCTCTCCGTTAAAATATGGTGCAGCCTAATTCCACGGCAAGTTCATTTCCACCGTTGCAGCCAGACCAAAGCTGCCCGAGCAAGCGCATCCCAGACAGTTACTCAGCCGGTGGAGTGCCGTGTTGCTTTATGCTTTTCCATTGCTCAACGATGCTGCCCAGAGGCCGCGCTGAGGAATTCTTCCAGCAGCTGGCTGCACCCTGTCCTAAAATATGTTTTTCATATTAGATTTGCCCGTCGGTTTGCTTCGCAGCAGGATGACATGTTTTTCTTCTTTGTTAAGGAGGAAATGCCAGTTATTTATAGCACCTGAAGGGAAGGGGGGCGGGATAACACGTGACCAAGTTCACAGCTTGGTAAACAGTGGTTTTGGACAATAGTGCCTGGGGCGGTCCCTCGGCTGGGTCAGATCCAGAACCTTCCCAGGCCGTTCTGGTCCCCGGGCAGGACCAGGCTCCATCGGGAGGTGGCACACGATCGGGAGGCCGCAGCAGCCCACGCTGGGCACGTCTGCACCAGGCGAGGTCTTTCCTCCCAGCGACTCTGAGCTGGGCTGGGCCCCGCGCAGGCGACCCCCCACCAGCTTTTACACTCGGGGTTGAAACAGCGACAGAGAGGGTCTGCTCCCCACAAACACCGACAGCAACAGCAGACGTCTTCGTCTGGACTTCCCACTTTTCTCTCCGTGGGAGGCGGGAACACGGAGCCCTGAGAAAACACCGCAACGTGGCGTTTGCCTTAAAAGCATGAATCTCCTCCCCGCCTCTCTCCTTAAAAGAACTGAAGCGTGGTTGGTACACGATACTACATTTGTTGTACTGGTTCCGGGGCCCAGGGAGTGAGTGGACATCCGAATAACCTCACAATGTGATGAGAGTGGGAATCTCCTGGATCCCTACCTTCCCCACTCGGAAACACAGACACACACAGACACACACGCACACCCTGGTGACAAACCCCTCCACGAAGGGCTGTCACTCAGTAACTGTTCTTGTCCACACTGTATGGACTTCCTCTACGCAAGTTTCTGCCGTCTTCCACCCAGGGGTACCATGTTTCTGGACACTACCTTAGTGTTCTTCCCGACCGTGGCCACGACGACAGGCAGCCATGCCCACCGCAAGCTCCCTGTCCTCATACGATCAAGCTGGAAAGGCACTTTCAGCAAACTGCTGCTTAGTATCACGTGCAGAAGGTCCCTGAGTAATGAATGTCGTTTCCTTGTAACACCGGCAAGACGCCATAGAAACGGAACTCTCCTTTGCCTCCACGAGCCTGCGATAACGCCGGTTTCATCCCACCTCACGTCACCTCACGTCGCAGAACCGAGAGAGAGAGACGACCCGGAGTGAGGACTGCCCGTACTCCGTCTCAGTCTTTAGCACGGCGCTTTGGAACTCTCCGAAGTTAAAAAAAAAAAATCTCAAACGCCAACAGCAGCCCAGACACCTGCATTCCACCCCGCGGCCCAGCACGAGTCACTCACCCGGCATGATGATGTTGGAAAAGCCCAGCTTCCTCGTCACGGACACGCCATGCGAGAACACGGACGAGCACTCGCGTCTGATCTGCTCGATGTCCCCGTGCAGCAGCTGCAGGGACACGGCGAGGCCTGCAACGAGTCAGAGGGCGGGGACAGTGGGGGGCGGGGCCGGAGTCAGCGGGGGCGGGGACGGAGCGGCTTCCCCAAGCCCCCTGGATGGCCCCCTTATTGTAAACTAAGGGCTCCTATGTAGACAACATCAACAGAGCCCGCAGGGTTATCCAGGTCAGACCTCCCCAGCCCGACTCCCTGAGTGTCCCCGTTTCTCGGGAGGCTCGCGCCAGCTGGAGCGCCCTACGGCGGGACTCTAAGCAGGGGAGGTCTGGCTTCCAGCCCCGACGGTCTCCTCTCCAGCACCCGACGAGACCCGGACCCCACGGTGTCGGCTGCCGTCCCCATTCACCGCTCACAGTCCCACCACGCCGCCGGCGGGAGAACACAGAGGGCAAGAACGATGCGATCGCGCAGGAGCGAGAGAGAGGAGCCAGGTGCACCTGCACATGTGCACACAGACGAGGCTCTCCCTCTCGCCCTCTTTCAGCCACATAAACAAACCATCACAAAAGCGGGGTTTCCGGGTGTGTTTGCGTGCTTCTCAGTAGAGTCGTTGAAACATCAAGAGAACATACTTTAAAGGAAAGCATTAGGCTCAGAGAGAAGGCGGACCTGACCTAGGGAAGGCCCACCCACCCACGGGGCAGGAGCACAAGAGGAGGAGGACAGGATGGCATCACTGCACCCTCCGGCCCCCACGGGTGCCGGTGCCCGAGCGCTGTGAGAAGGCAGTGCACCTGGCAGGTGCCCAGGAACTTCCTGGGGATCCGCTGCCCGTGTTTACCCAGCTGCCCTCTACCCCCCCCATCCGCGCGGGGCGAGTGACAGCAACAGACCGGACGCACATCCGTCCTCTGAGCGCCACACGGACTGCACTAGGGGACCAAAAGGGGCCCAGATGACCCAAGGGTGACAGCTTTGGGGGCCCTTGTGTGTGGTACTCTGGCTCCTGTTAAAACCAGGGGGTGGGCGAGGGGAGACTCAGTAATGTGCCTTACAATCGCTCAATCCCAGAGCACAGTCTCTCCCTGACTCACACTCCCCAACTCCCCGCCCCCTCCCCCCCCCCATCACTGGTGTCCCTGTTCTCCTCCCACTCTGTGCTGCGGCCTTCAGAACACCCACCCACGCTGCCGCATCGTCACCAGCACCATCGGGCACTGGTGCTGCGTGTGCCAGACACGGAGCCTCATCACAGGACACACAGTGCAGCACGCGGGTAGCGTGCTACGGCAGTGTCCACCTGAACCTCCATTTTTTACTAGCCAATGTCACCCCGCCGATCCAATAAAAATGGAAAAAAAACAGGGAAGGAAGATGATGCATATGTACACAGATCATCGGGCAGAATGGGTCGGTCAGTGTATGATAGGAATATTAAAAAAGGAGAACGTAGTATTGATCAAGGGAATTTGGACGTTCAGGGAGGATATGTTTCTTTAAATAGGGATATCCAACAACTTAAAAGCTGAAGATGAAGGTGAAATTTTTAATTTCACAAAACAGAACCATTATGTCATATAATCACCTTTTCTCCTGGCCCTTAATAGAAGTACCCAAAAGAAAATAGTTACGGGAGGAATATTAATATTCCCCTCTATCAAAAGAAACAATCATTAAACTGAACTTTTTTAAAAGAACACCCTAGATGTCTACGCCCCAACTGGAATGACCTGAGCTGATTTTAAATACAGGCGCAGTCACTGATTGATCTGCAGCCTGCCTTAGACAACGTGTGTTTCAGGACTCAGCCTAGCTACAGAGTCAGGACAGGAAAAAAGGCTTCGTGTCTGTTACAGAAAAGGGGACCTACTATTTGGCAGTTCTGATTTCCTAGGAATTGAAGCGAACTCACTCCAGAAGGGGCATCCTTTGAAATTCAGGAGATTCTGCATTTTAACATAAAAAAATGGCAAGCGCAGCATGATTTATAAGGAGCTGGCAAGACCAATTTCAGGCTAGATCAGCCGTTTTGCCCCCAGCGAACAAATCGCACACCGCTGGGAACGGCTGCAGAAAGGCGAAAGTGGAAAACAGTGGTAAACGCGCAGGGTCCACGTGACGCTGAGGCGTGCAGTGTGAGAAGCCTTTCAAGCATCTGCAGGGCCCTGCCTCCACGTGCCCGCGGCTTCCGCAGCTGTGAAGGGAAGATACACCTCGTACCAGCTCCACACAACACCGTGGGCGACACCTGGCAGGTGCGCCGGCCGTCAGCGGCTGCTACAAGTACACGGCCTCTTCTCTCGCTACGTCTCACCATTGTTCTGGGCCTCCCCGCCACAGAGACCGACGAATTAGCTCCCATCAAGAAGCGTGCAATGCTCCCTAAGTGCCGTCCACAGAGGCAGTACTCCCTTTCATGGGCTTGGCAGCCACGCGATGAAGCCAGCTCCTGCCAGTCTCCTTGGTACTCGGACGACGGCGTTCCGTGCAGGTTGTGGAGGCAGGTCTGTCTCTCGGGAACAGTGCTCGAATCGGGGAGGTTCGACAGAGGTGTAACTGATAGATACGAGTAGGCGCACAGGCAGATGATCCGTGGAGACGATGGAACTCCGGGGACGCGGGGAGGCTGGTTTTGTGCCCAGAGAGCCGTGAGCCAGAGCTGGGAACAAGTGGTAGGTTCCGATGTACCCTCGGGAGGACAGTAGGTGGGATGTGTTGAGGGGGAATTTGGGTTTGTCAATTGTAGTGAATTTCCTTTATTTCTTGTTTTCTTTTTTCCTTCTTCGTTGCTGTGCTCTACAGAAACGGTGTTTTCTTTAGCTCCCCATAAACTTTCTGGAGTTTATACATTCTACTTCTGTTTTATATATATATATATATATATATATATATATATATATATATATTTCACTAGTTCTTTCTGTGAATGTGAGTGTGAAATTCACACCACTTTTATCTGAAAATTTCTTTATTTCAATGTCATTTTTAAATAACTGTCGGGGAAATACGAAGCTCAAAGTTGGCCATTACCCCGGCAGTTTTAAGATGTTGTCCCTTAACACTCTGACCCCTGTAACTGCCGCTGAGACTAGGATGTCATTCTGGGTGATGGGTTTCTCCTCTCCGGTTCCTGCTTCTGCCTTAGGTGCCCCCGCGTTGACCCCGGTTTACGGAGACATCTCTGAGTCCACCTATCCTGCTCGCGACATCTGCCTCGTCCACCTGAGGACCCACACCCTCTGCCCCAGGGCTGCGAGTCTCAAACGTCTCTACTCAAATGTTGCCGTTCTCACACGGACCTGGAACTCCTACAAGATGCCTGCCGGTCTCTTTCATTCAATCCATTCTCCTTTAAATGTTTATCCAGATTTTTCCATTGCACTTTCCCTTTGTGTTGCATTCTAATATGTCCGGCTATCATTTTAGTTTATCGATTCTCTGTTCAACGGTGCCTGTGTGGTTATTTAAGCAGTCCGTTAATCCTTTCTCCCAAGGACTCCCTTAAAAGGATTTCTGAAGTGCTATTCCGTTCTTCCTCACCATTAGAATCTAAGCACCTCGGAGGACGAGGATTCCTATTGGCTTGTTCAGCGCTGCATCCCCAGTGGCCTGAGCAATGCCGGATCCGCAGACGCTCCATTAATCCTTTTGACGCATGCATCTGAAACCTCTGCGTGCTCATCTTTTCGGGATGTTTTCTTTTTCGTCATAAGTCTGTTTCACTACCTTTTGTTTACTCATTTTTGTGAAAGTTTATCACCTAAAATTCTCAGAGGTCATCACTCCTATTGGTTGCACCTGCTTTCCTCAGCCTCACGGTAGGTTGTTTCATTGTGGATTGCTGCAGCCTCGTTGTACTGCTACTCATCTCCAGGGGGAGCCCTTTTGTCCCACGCACCGTGGGCGGGGAAGTGGCAACACCCAGTGATTACACATTAACACTGTTTCAGTCTACTCCACCCAGACCCATTTTTTTTTTTACTTTGAATTTTACGACTAGGTTTTCCCAAACTACTGAGTCAGTATAAATGAAGACTAATGGCAAAAACTGGAATTTTCATATCTAACAGGAGAATCACACAGTGGCAGCATCTTTCTTTTTTTTAAAAAAGATTTTATTTATTTATTTTTTAGAGAGGGAAGGGAGGGAGAAAAAGAGAGAGAAACATCAATGTGCGGTTGCTGGGGGCCGTGGCCTGCAACCCAGGCATGTGCCCTGACTGGGAATCGAACCTGCAACACTTTGGTTTGCAGCCCGCACTCAATCCACTGAGCTACGCCAGCCAGGTGTGGCAGCATCTTTTCAAGACAGACACAAGAGAGATGAGCTCGAGCATCACGGCTCTCTGGCCGTCGTGGTCTTTTGTGAGATATCAGATGCTATTCTGGTTTCTGGGGCTCCCATGTGTGAGGAAGAGTTTTTCTCTTGCTGCTTTCAAGACTGTTTTTCAGTATTTTTACTGTGATGCATCTGGGTGAGGATCTCTTTTTGTTTATCATAAGCTTCTTGGATATGTAGACTAATGTCTGTCATCAGACTCGGGGAGTTTCCTGTGTTTCATCTCTATTTCCTGCTCCTCCCCCTTGGCCCTCTCATCTGGTATTCTCATGTTGTATGTGTTGGTGCACTAGATAGCACCTCCCATTTTCTGAGTCTGTTCGTTTTTCTTTACTCTTTCTTTTTTCAAAAACAAATCCCCTATTTCTCCCTAAATCTCCATTGTTTTCAAGAGTTTCTATAGGCTTAAATTTCCATGCACTCTGTTTCAAGTAAGGTGAGTTCCTTTCAGGAGAGCGTCTGAGTTTTCTCCTTCTTATGGGTGATGGCCCCTGCCCCTGGGCCGAGTCTCCGGCCCCCTGCTGCAGAGCTGGAGGTGGCTACAGTGGCCCCTTTACCAGAGTGACCCCTCCCTGCTTTGTGAGCAGGTTGAGAAGCAGGGGAAGCAACCTCTGGTCTTCTCCATTGGCTTCTCCTTGTGGGAACTTCATCCAATGAGTGAGCTGAGATGATCAGCGCCCTAAAACCCTTGGCCTGCTGCACCCAGGGTACAGCCCCTGCCCTGTGAGTGGGG